ATTTTTTGGGACTTTCAGTGTCAAACATCTAGGCTTTTCTCTTATTTTGTTTCAAAATTGACTTTCAGGCAAACTTGTCGAGCTTTTTAATCAGATTATGTATTAAAAGAAGTACGGTGCCGGCCTTTGGAAAGCCGGCACCGTACTTCTTCCTACGACCTCTCTTGTACCTGATGTTCTACGAGCGAAATTCACAACTTCTCTGCCTAAGCCACAGCTCCTGCCGCCGTTTAAACACAGTTGAAATCAATGAAAGTCGATTGCACATGTATTCTTACATTGAAGATGCAATAAACAAACAAAAACAATATGTATTAAAATGACCATGAATCTCAGTTTTTCAAGATTTTTCTACTCTGAAAGGGAAGCTCGAACCTTCTACATTACATATAATTTTGACTCCATCAACTCTTCGATTTCCTCCATACTTATGCCTGTTTTTTAGTTTTCCGTGCACTGCCCTCTTTACTTTTCCTTTTAGAATTGATAACGATGCTCGACTGACTTTTTTATCGATACGTTTCGTTTACTCCTTCTTGAGACTCGAGTCGACAGCCTCGTCGGCGCCATTCCGTTTTTTCAACTCTTATTGACATGTTTCACGCAAAGTAGTTGTGTTCTGACATTAGCAGGAATTTTAGTTTTTTAAGATCTTTACTACTTCGAAAGGGAAACTCTTTGAATCAGTAGTGGAAGTTTTTCAACCAGATTTTCGGATCAATATTCTATTTGTTATCTTCAATTCATTCGGTATGATACGGTTGACGTTTACAAGAATAAAAATAGGACTTTTGAAAATATTTTCCCGCGTTTTGCTTTGAAATAAAGGTAAGAGGCTTCAAAAGCTTCAAAGAGTGCCTTTTTTCCACAATTAGTTAGAAAGCTTTGAAGCGTCTTAATTGGGATTTAAGGCGAAGTTGAAAATTTCTTCTGAAATCAAGAAGACATGAAGTAAAGTTTAGCCACTTTTCATTAATTTCTCAACTAGAAAAAGAAGGCTTCGAAAAGGTTCTGTGTTAAAGAGAAAGAGAAAAAAGCCTCCAATTTTTTTTTCGCATCTTTTCCTGACACCTGGGTTGTCAAAGAAGTTGCTGAAAACGAAGGCTAATAAGTGGGGTCGCAGTGTTTTCTCGGATTTTGGTATTGTAGAGAATTCAGTTTTTTTTTGGCTCGAAATGAATCTTTGGTCTTGATTTTTTTTTTCATATAAGACTAGAGACCTGGAAGTCTACTTTAAAAAAAAAATTTCTCGAGTTTTTACAGATAAGTTGATTTCCCTGAAGAACCTGGAAAATTCCTCGTTTCAAAGTTTGAACATGCTTCTTTGAAAAAAAAAAACAATGAAATCAGAGAAATTTACGATTTCAACCTGCAAATTCAAAATTCACCGTTTATCTCGCTGCACTATTATGACTCATTTCCTTATCTCCGCTTAACGTCTTTGTCTTTTTTCTTGTTTTTGAAAATTTGGGTAGTAGTTTAGAGCATTTACGTGTTACGATCAAAGATCGGACTTGAAACTTGGTTCGATCTTTTTTTCGAAAAAAAAAAAACCGTTTGAGACTGTGATTAGCGTAGAGATTGTTCCCCAGTATAAAATTCTATAATTTATCTTGAAGCAAACTTTCACAGCATCAATACTAAACTAGATTGATTATATAAAGCGTTTATTTGAAACTTATAGGATCTGGGGTGAAGTTTAGGTTTTTCACGGTTTTTTGATAACCTTCTTCCATACTCGGACTTTTTTTTTTATAGAAATGGGCGTAAGGACCAATTAAGAACGGTATTTAAATAGAAAAAAATCATAATAAGGTCCGGAATTAATTCAGCTTCTTCCCAGGAAAAAAAAGTTGGGAAATTTTGAGGAAAAGTCAAAAAAAAAAAAGAAAAACTCTGGAAAGAGTAAAAAATTTGAGACTTTGTGAAAAAATCGTTCAATCACTTACAAAAAAATGTAGCTAGATTCCCAGATGGTTTTGAATAATTGATTCAACGTTTAATTTTTAAAAAAAGTTGTTTGTGAGAATTTTTTCTAGTTAGACTCTACTATAAACTTTCCACAGGTTAAGAAACACTTTATCAATAATCAATTATCTTTTTTTTTTCATTGCATTTTCTCTTGTTTCCGTACACTATTTTGCTTATCAGTCCAGGCTTAATTTCTTAAAAATACCTCGAGCCCCAAATTTGTGACAATATTGCATTGAATATACCTACCAATTGAATTTACGGTCCAAGGATGTCCTGAACTTTTTCCCCTCACAGATAATGTTACAAAAAAAGACCCCAAACTTTTCGTTCCAACCAAAAAAAGCTTAAAAAGCATAGCGCGGCGTTATGCTCGCCATCTGCTATCAATACAGATCATAATCGATTTTGGGGTGCGCGAAAAACGCTTCTCGCCTTGTTCCCTTTCTGATATATATGTTTTTTTGTCCTTTTTCTTCTTTCTTTCGCTCCACCGCCACCACCACCACCATCGGCGCCGAGTTTGCTTTTTGGCATCGAGGGAAGAAACGCTTGGAAACGATGACACACGGGCGGCGCATACAATGCGGGAGGCAGGCGGGTGCGCGGAAAAATAGAAGACGTCCTCCAGTCTGCTTTTCCCCTTTTTTGTAGTCGCCTCACTACTTTTTTTGAATAGCTTTTGGGCGCAATTTTAGAGGTTTTTGGATTTTCTTGGGGAGGAGCTCATGATAAATTATTTTTCTCTTTTTCTTTTTGTAAAAATCATTTACTCTGTAAATTAGAAAGACTGTAAATGTTATTAGGCTCTAATTAGGGAATAGTCTCCATTCGAAGGGGGACTTCTGAAGGTTCACTAGATTTAGTTTTTCACGATTATTCCAAATCTCGTCTCAAAAACTGCCCTCCAGTAAGTTAAAAATATTTTTTGGGCGGGAGCTTCAATAATTCAAATAAGCTTTAATTTAAATCTAAAGAAAGTTTTTTTCAATTTTTCTGGACTATTTGGAGCCGAATCGACTGCTTTTTTTAAAGTGCCGTGGCCTAGTTTTCCAAAAGAAAAAAATTTCACGCTTTTCAACATTCCGGACAAATTTCTTTCAAAATAAAAAGTTGAAAATCATTTGACCAATGAAGGAATATTCATGAAAAAAAGTCTGGAATGAGCGGTTTTTTTTGTAACGAAAAACTCTAAATTCAGGTTATAATTAACAGTTTATTTTTTTACTTGGTGGTGATTTTTTTCCTTTTGAAGCTCAATCCGATCGAAATACCGAGATTTCTTTTTTTCAAAAAAAGAGCTAACCTTATAAAGTCCCGTAAATTTGTCTATACTCTTTTTTTAGGTACTGGAATATCGAAAAATATTGTCGCTATCTGTATGAAATTTCAGTTATCAAGCTTCCTACCTCTTTTTTCCGACGGATCATCAAGTTATCATCAAATTTAAAATCGATGTTTTTTTTTAAATTTTCTCGTCAGTAAAATATATTTATGCTTTGATGCCTTGTCCAATTAACGAGAAATCATGAGAAAAGAGATTTGAAGACTTTAGTGAGTTTTTTAGTTTGAATTTCAACTATAAAGTCCTCATTTTGCACTTCAACCCATGTTTTGGTAGACCGGGCGAAGACTTATTAGCGTGCGAAAAATCACCGAAATTTTTTCCTTCTTCTTAAAATTCAACGGGAAATGATCGTGAGAACTTAGCGGACCTCACCGAAAGCTAAAATTCAACTGAAAAATATACAAATGTCTCGTTGATGATGTCTACCAATTCTAGTGGAAACCTCAGTTTTGGAATTTGTTTGCACTTGATCACGAAGCGACAATGTTTGTATTCCATTTTTCACGTTGAGGATTGATGATAAGCATTGTTTGATAGAACTTTGTAGATTGCAAAATGTTCTTTCTAGGTTAATACGTAAGAATACTCATCAACAAAACTCCGTTTGTTTGTTTTAGTCATTGGTGTAATACTGTTTGAATGTATTGCTAGCTGTGGTATAAAACAGTTTGAAGCACTGAAACGTTTAAAAAACTGGATAAATTTATTCAAAACAGCTGTAATTATCTAGAAAGCTTTGGACGAAATAAAAAGAAACTTTTTTGCTAAAAGCTCCATCGAATAGTTGATTGAAAACTTGAATTTTCTTTTTTAGGGTTATCAGAACTGATTAGATGAAGATGAGTAATGTACTGAATTTATTCAGAAATTGCAAAGTTTACTCTCTAAAATATCGCGAAAAGCTCAGATTTGGTTAGTAATTCATTTATCCACAGGCAAAAAAAAAAGTTTTTTTCTAAAATATAAAATTTATTTCATAGTAAGTATCCTTTTCAATATTTCAAGTATAAACTTAATCTCTCATCAGCAACATAGAAAAATGGAGAATACATTTTGGCGCTTCTAAAAATCAAAATTTTGCCTCAAAAAGTATTTTTTTTTGGTGAAATAAGCCTTCATGACTCATATCATCTCGTAACCATCTTCCATTTATCAGTTCTTATCATCATCATCATCATCATTTTCCTCTTGCTTTCAATTTTTCGCCCTAATCGAAAATACCGATTCGGAATCGATTGGCACATCCTCAAACACCGCCCATTGGCTAACGGTACGAGGCTCCGCCCATTTACTCCGGACTTTTCTCGAACCAATTTGTCTAGGTGTACGGATCCGTTCTTTAACATCTCCAAATATTCAAGAAAGAATTTTTAAGTTGTAGTGACTTTTTCGACATCGATACTTAGAAAGTCGCTTAAAAATATGGAAAAAAACTAATTTTTTTTTTCAAAAAAACTTATTTTTTCATTGACCTATACTATATGTAACTGTGAAATGACGATCGGTAATTTTTCCTTAAACCTAATTTTTTTTTCGAAGAATACCTTTGGCACGGTTTAAGAGGTCTTCCAGCGAGTTTCAAGCCTTTTTTTTCCGAAATACATCTTTCAAATCGTTTAATCGTCTCGAAAGTTTTCATTTTGATTCATTTCAAGTTATCCTTGTTCCAGTTGTCGACCAGATGATCGCCAGCCTGGAGCTGTCGCGATCGCTTCCGGATTCGCGAGGCGATCGGCGATCCCGCGACGATTTCGCAACTGCCGGCGGCGGCTCATCCCCGTCCACTTCAGGCAACGTCCGCACCCTCAAGGTACTCGTTTTTTTGGAATGAATCATAGAAAACTGAGAACTTTCATTAAGTTATATTCATTTTTTTGAGGCACTTTTTCAGAAAAAAAGAAATCACCTGAAAATACGAAAACAATAAGGCTTTTGAAACCGGTCTAAAAAATAGAAAAGAAAAAGAAAAGCGCGTTCTTCTAACATTAGAGAAAGGCGTTTTTTTCATATATATTAACCAATAATATATAAAATTTAACCAATAAAAAGTGTAAAGAAATTTCTTAAAGATATTCATTTTTTTATCTTCGAAGTTTCAGAAAGATTTTTTTAATTTGCTGAGTTCGGAAAGAAAAAAAGTTTCTTTAAAAAAATTTCTGGTTTTTTTAATCAATTCAAATCATTAATTTTTTTGAAAAATCTCCAATTTTTTTCTATAATTTTAATAATTTTTTTATACGATTTGTGACCAGAACTCTGAAACCGCTCATCTTGCAAACTTTCCGAAAGGTCATATTCATTTCGCCTTTTTTGATTCATGCGTAAATATTAGCCGTTCGAAACAGGGAGTGTCAATTATTCACCGTTCTTGGAACGCCCGTTATCTTGGTTTCGTGCCAGCCGTCCTGGCGTCTCTAGTAGCACGTAGGGAAAATTGCGAAATAAAACGGGTTGAGTAACGAGCGAACGGCCTGCCGTTACTGTACCGACCTTGGGCGGTTCCGAGATAACATTGTTGCATTGGACTAGAATAATTCAGTACTTATTCCTTACTCTTTAGTCAGCACTTGGCCGAGCTTCGGGCCTCATTTCAGTGAAGAGGCTTAACCAAAAAAGCAAGTGAAAAAGAACAAAAAATTGATTTTTGTGGTGAAAAAGCTTGATATTCGACTTGAAGAAAACTTGAGCTATTTGTGCCGGAATTTCGGTTGCTACCGTGCTCAAAAAATGACCTGTGGCTGATAGACGGGCCAACCCTCGCCCAAGCCCCAGAAGCAACAGAATACAGAAGAACACAGAAACGAGTCTAATCTTGTTCATCAGATTTTTAATGTTTCAAAAAAGATTACCACATATTTAGTATTTACTGTGAAACTGCGTTTTATCAAACCAAGGAAAGAAATGACGTCAAACGTTTTGAAAAAAAAATTAGCTTGCAAATGCGCTCCATCGACAGTTTACTTGTTTTTAATTTTGTTAATTAACTTGCTCTTCGAAATAATAAAACCCGAATCTTATTATTTTTCACCAGGGACAAGATAAATATTTTTCTGATTAGTGACTCATTTTGGCTTTTAGCAGTACTCGGCCGAAGAGAAGATTGAAATAATCGATTTCGCCAAAATCAACGGAAATCGGGCGGCCGGCCGCGAATTTAAAGTCGCCGAGAGCAGCATTCGCGAGTGGCGGAAAAACGAGGCCAAATTGAGGTTTTTTAAGATTTTGGTGGTTTCTGAATAATTCTCATCGTACAGATCGAAGCTCGGAGGATCTATTCAAATTCAACGGGTTCCTCTTCCCAGCGCTGTCGCCGCTCCAGAGCCTTTGGTAGGCTTGGAAAATTTCGGAAAAAAAGCCGTTTCAAAATAATCTTTCGAAAAAAATGTACAGAACTAAGAATAAATTGTTGACGAGGCTTTCCGTCTTGTTAAGAAGTCTTTTCTCCAAAAATTCTTTTTCCAGAACCCGATGTCCTTCGAGCACATCCGCCTGCAGTTGCCCCTCGACCTTTCCCACTACCTCTACCCCCGTCGGCCCGAACAAGACGCCATGGTCGCCGCCATGATGTCATCTCCAACCGTGACGTCATCGCCGACGACGTCGCTTGTCGCGTCGACGCCGCCGTCGAACACAACCTCGACGTCGTCTTCTCCTTCGCTCTCCATCGGATCCGGTCGCCGGAAGACCCGATTCCCCCGTAAAATCGTCCCCGATGAGGACTCTGTACGTGTATGAGACCGGGTTTTTGCTCCGAGTACTGGTCGCTTGTAGTTTAATCTGTATCAATGTTTGGTCCTCAAATCGTAGTCGAAATAGTTCTGAGTTATTTTTGATTGTCTGGAAAGCTTAGGTCGCGAAAAATGAAACTCTCTTTGGAGTGAGCATATGCGCTCCATGAACAAAAATATGTTTCTCTTATCAGGACTTGGTCTGGAATTAAATTGGGACTTCGGAAGGAGGTTAGAACATCTAGATGTTGTTTTTAACGTTGCTTCTGAATCTGAGCTCGAAAGTCACATCCAGCTTATTTGGAAAAAAAAAGTTATCACCATTCACAAAAAAAGTTTTTGACCACAGATCCAAAGATTTTTCGAAATTTGAGTGATCATAAATTTTTCTAAGACTTCTATGACAATTTTGAAGCTCAGATATGAAATTAGTTGGTCCATCTAATGGTCCATATAATCTTCAATAAGTCCCATTTCAAGATCGGAAAGTTTCCCATTTAGTTTTCAAAAACTGTTATTTTTCTCGCTCAAAGAAGCATTTTTCGTTTCTCAGCAGCTTCACCTAGCAGCACTGTAAATAAAGCCAATCGAATTTTCGAAATCGAGAACTTCCCCATTCATTTCACGCTGAACTCGCTTTAAGCTCCTCTGATTGGCTTTAAGATTTCCCTGCCAATTCTCAACTTTTATTTGCCTGATTCCCTTGCATATCTATCCACGTCAGAACATTTCGTGTATTCGACTTTTGAGAATTTTCCTTCGCTTGGAATTGCCTTCACCTTTCTTGCCTGTACAAGTGCTTTACTCTACTACCTTCGCTTTTTTCGAAGCCTTTTGTTTTTCTCAAAGTTATGTCCCACGGAAAATACCTCACGATTTGGATTCGATTTGGTCACACAGCTTTTGATAATAAACGCTCCGGTTTTTGGCTCATAATACTTGAAACCGATGATTTCTCAGTCTGCCCCAAATTTCTACTTGGTGCTTTTATTTTTTTTCTTTTTTTTTGTTGAAAGAATGAATCTTTGAGTTTTCTGCCCTGTTAGAGTTATTTCTGGTTGAAATACCTGAATTACATGGCCACCGACGCTGACAAAACCTCCAGCGGTCCTGTGGTGTAGTGGTTATCACGTCTGCTTCACACGCAGAAGGTCGCCGGTTCGATCCCGGCCAGGACCTCTTCTTTTTTGCAGCTTTTAAAAAACATTTATTCTTTGTCAAATATATAGTGTTTTCGGAGTTAGGAGGGATTCAAATTTTTTCGATAATTTTTGAAGGTTTTTCTCCCGCCAACGAATTCGAATCGTGATTTCTTCAAAAGCCGCATGGAAAATGTTGTATTTTTGAGCTGATTTTGTGGAGGAATGGAAGGTTTTCAACTGAAAATTGAGGTGCGTTATTTTGATTTATGATAATTCTGAAAATTTACCTTTTGTAAACCTTCTGAAGAGTTGATATTACGCGTCAGGATCATGATTATCTGGGAGAGGGACGAGGTTTCTTGCGACATTCTTAAGAAAAGTATAACATTTTTATAGTTTTATTTTTTGGCAGTGAACTCAACTTGTGCTTTTTTATTTTATCAATCAAATAAAGAAAAATATCACACGTAGGTTTACTGGAGACCCTTCTATTATTCCTTCTTATGAAAGCAGTTTTTACTTGACTTTAAAAATATGAGAAAAACTACACTATAGTTTGAACTCCACATTTCTCAAAAAAAATTTTATCTCTAAATTTTTTTGTCATTTTATTCACTTTCAAAAATTCCATACCTCGGCAAAAAGTCTTGCCAACGTTCTAACAAAAATCTGGAAAATATTCCTTCGCTGAGCGGGTTGTCCATGATGGCGGCGAAGACAAAAACGACGTCTTGAAGGCGGAAATCGCTATTTGTCGGGTTCAGCGCGTTTTCAAGCAGTCTGAATTCATCTCCTGTATAATGCAATTGGAGATGATTTCACCTTTCCAAGACCTGGATGTCTTTGATGCAGGACAGGCCTTTTAGAAGATAATTTTTCTCCCTTTGGACTTTTTCGTTCCGATACCAGTTGAAAACCTAAATTATGATTCATAGAAAATTTTCTGCGTCTCCAAAGGTGTTAAGTTTTTTCTTGAACAAATGAACAGACCTTCTCCTCGAGACCTTTTTGAAATTAGGCCATGCGCCTTTAAATTTTTTAGCAAGCTTTTTTGAGTAATTAAAAAACAGTTTTCTAGAGTGATTATAATACAAGCTTTTGAGATGAATTTACTGAATTTTCCGTTTTTTTTTGTGGCCTTTTTCAAGCTTCAAAGTATTACCTCAGTTGTTTTGAAAAAACTACAAAAAAATCATTCAAAAAAAGTTCGTTTCATTTCAATTTTTTTCCGACGATTTTTCAATTTTTCTAATCTGAAGGCTAGGTTTATGAAATTTTTACAACTTCAAAAAAATCATGATTTCTATCCGCTGACTTAAATTAGTGAAACGAAGAATCATTCCACATAGTTTTTGCTAAATTTGGAGAGAATTTCTCATTTTTCCAGTCTCTCATCCATGTCTAAAATGACAAATATTGAAAATTTAATGAATTTCTCAAATTTTCAAATTTATTTTCACAATTTACCTTGTTGAAATTTTTGATTCCTCCCTGCTGAACTCCGTAACAGTAGGAAAGTTGTCTCAGCGGCGCCGCTAGTCTTGAAATTTTCAGTTCCATTTCTAAAATGAATTTTTGGACAAGAATTCCTACCTGTTGCACTTGGAAGTTTCATCGGATTCCTCACATTCATTTTCGACTTCAGTTTTGAAAAGTTCAGCAGCTTTTTCGACACAAAATGAGTCTCCAAAGGAACATTCCGTGTCCAAAAGTTGGAACAAAAAGTTCCTAGAAGAACATTTTAATTTTTTTGCACTTTTTGTCACGAACATTTCGAAAAATTGGTTTTCGTCTTTGTAGTTTGATCTTAATTTTTCGAAACTGGTGGCGTCGAAGTTGTTTTTCAGGAGCTTGAGAAGGAATTTCTGAAATTTTGTAGTCAAGGAAAGTTTTTCCTAACTAGTTGATTTCAAATAATTATTGGAGTTGGAAATATTTTTTTGGTTGTGTTTTTTTGCAAGTATATTTTTCCTTTGATAGATCTTACCCAATTTTAAGTTCCTCACCTGTTTTTTTATTAACAAATCCTGAACATATTAATAAAAAAAATTATAAAAAAAGAACATAGTTTTTCCTCCTTTATGTGGTTATTATTTATTTTTTTCCTTTTTTTCTCCGAAAACCCGACTTTCCTAGAAATTTGACTAAATTTTTAAAGAAAAGAGTTTTTTTTTCAAACGCATAAACCTTAGGAAACTCGACTTGAGGATCGACTCCATAATAATTGACGATTTTCTGAAATTCGATGAAAACGAAATGCCATGGAACTTGTTCCTCAAAGTATCCGATTTTCTCGTTTTTATTCAAAAAAAGAAACCTTTTCGTTTTCGAGATACTTCAGGAAGTCGAAAACCAAGTCGTAGTCAACCAAATCGACGGTGGCGCAACGGAATAAGTCTTCAATCAGGCGGCCACGGGTCACTGACGAATATCGCTGCAAAGTTATATTGTTTGCAAAAGAAAATGAGGAAAAGCCTTGTGGTTTCGAAGCAACTGCGCTCCGATGGCCTTCCACTCGGTTTCATCGTAGTTTACTCGGTAGAACCCGTAGGATTCTGCGTTTAGCACAACTGGAGAAGGAGCGTGGAGAAGTAGGGGTGTGTCTGGAATTTGAGAGCTTTGATAATATCTAGTTTGATCGAATCCCTTTCGAAGGTATAGTTCATTTTTCGCGACTTCTGCGCTCTCCTCGTCTCTCGCCGTCACTCTCATTTTTTAGTGCTCTTTTCACGTTTCTCTAACCTCGCCGGTGAGGGAACAGAGAGACGCAGACACTCAAGTCGCGGAGGACGAACCTCGAACATTCGTACCGCGAAACGGGCGTTCTCCAGACGCTTCTGCGCATTTCTAGGGACTACTTTAGTAGCGTCTGTACTTTTAAGTGATCCCTAGAAATGCCCAGAGACGTCCGTTTCGCGTTACCAATGTCCTAGGACTGTATTTGAAGGCGCAATGTCTCGCAAAACTTCAAAAAACGCTAGAAACGGCTTTTCGTCCTGAGACCTCCGTCCAATATGTCTATGCTCCTTTAAATAACTGAAAAGATTAGACAGAAACTTCCAAATATTCAATTTAATTGCAAAGAAGAACCTTTCTTTAGCCAGGTCATTTTCAAATTTCCAATATTTCCGTCCTGGTACCGAATTGGAACATCCCATTTGAATCTGAAAATTTAATTTTTAACTACAAAAAAAAACTTTCATGAAATCATTTTTCACATCTCTTCTTCTGGAGTATGGTTTTTGAGAAAAATTTGATAGTTTTACAAGTTAGATTAATTTTTCTTCTTGAGATATACATTTTGATCACAAAGCCACTTTTTTTCGCAAAAAAAGCATATCAGAATTCAAAATTTGAAGTTTTTTTATATCTCTTTTGAAGTGATTTTTTTCTCAAAAAGAAGCATTTCACCACCTGTTTTTCTTTTCAGTTTTTTTAGCAAAATTAAAATTGAATTTTTATTTTTCTAAAAAGGTAATCTCACCCATGTTTCGGATTCCGATACTTCCGCTGCTCCAACGAATTTTCTTCCTCTTTAAACCTTTTCTGATCGATTCTGACTGTAGTGGAATTCAGTCTGGTGACTGTCAGAAGAGGGTACCCCATCTGAAGGAAAATATTGGGACCATTCGATATTTTAACCTGGGTGGTCCATTGATCAGCAAAGTTCTCCAGGTTGAGCTTCTCCCCGTCTGGGCCGCGAACGGAACTGGGAACTTTTTCGTTGAGAGATTTCAATAAATCCGAAGAGTTGGCGTTGCTGTACTGGTGTTCCTTGAGGTAGTACTGAAATCCGTCATTTTCAAGGTTATCTGTTTTTGAATGTGGTTACGACTTAGGCAAAGACGGAAAGGGTGGAAAAAGGCTCCATAGAAATGTTCCTTTTAGGGCGACAAAGGCTCCCTGTTTGCGCCATTTCATCGGCTTTTATGCACCATTTTTGCTGCCTCTACCTTCTCCCAGCATTTCTTGAGCCTTTGAAACCCGAGAAAAAATGGAAAGCTTGAAAAAGGGATTCTTTTTTTTTGTTTTTTGCTGCCTTTTTGCTGCCTTTTTTCTGCCTTTTTGCTGCCTTTTTGCTGCCTTTTTGCTGCCTTTTTGCTGCCTTTTTTCTGCCTTTCTGCGACCTTTTTTGAGCCTCTCCCTTTTAGCGGTCACTAGCCACCATTCCGACTTCACCCGAAAAAATATATATCTAAAAAATAAGTATCCATGGTTAGTGAAGGTGGTACAGTAAAGCACAATTTTTTTTCAAATTAGAAATCGAAATCCAGTTTCAAGATGAAATTATATTAATGAAGAGACAGGAAAAACGTAGTTCATTTTCAAAACAAGTTCATTTTCACCCACCTGAATTCCCTTTTGAAAGTTTTTCTCGCCAATTACTTGACGTATCATTCTTATCACCGAAGCTCCCTTAACTTCATTTTCATGAAGATCAAAATCAAAAAGACCCACTTTTTTATAAGAAATATCATCGAAAGCTTCTATGACCTCCATGGCTTTATCAATTTTGAAAGATAAAGGATGGGAAGAAGCCTTGCTATCGGCAGTCAGAGCACGCGAAAGATCGTCCGTCACGAAGTTTTCCGCCTTAGTATCGATTTTTAAACGTATTTGAACTGTCAATTCATGATTTTTTGTAAACATAGTTTTAATCTGCTTTTGAAACAGCTATATGGTCGAGAATAACTATTTTGAACTTCTGCATCGTAAAGCTTTTCTTGATTGAATCAAGCTCAAAACGACAAAAAAGGTGTTTTTTTTGTCAGACACTATGTTTCTTGATCGTATGACTAATCGCTATTTGAAAATTTCAAAAAGAGCAAATTTCTTAAAGGAGCATAGACAAACTTCATATAAGTCTCGAGACGATTAGCCGTGTTCATCGTTGTTTCAAACTTGAAACAGTAAAAAAAGTAATTCTTGTGAATTTTCAGTCATTCTTACCATTCTAAAGTTTCCATTACTGATAATATTGGCTCCAGAATATTGTACAAAGTTGGCGAATCCTTCATTGAGCCACAAATCGTCCCACCAACTCATTGTGACCAGATTTCCGAACCACTGAAAAATTCACCTTTCAAGGGAAATTAACAAAATATCTCGATATTTCTCGACTTTTTTCCCAACCTGATGAGCGAGTTCATGAGAAATAATGGTCGCCACTCTTTGCTTTGTCTTGGGAAGATAAATTCCTTCGTCGTAAAGTAAATCGGCTTCCCTACAATGAATTATTTCTTGAAATGATCCAAATAATCATACCTGAAATTAACGAGACCCCAATTTTCCATTGCACCTTGAGAAAAGTCCGGTAACGCGACCAGGTCTGAATTTCTTTTTTCATTTTTTGAAAAAAGTCGAAGTTACATTGAATCATTTGAGAAAATGGTGAGGAAAAAACGTTTTTTTTCACCAAAACTTGGTAGAATAGCCTAGTTTTGTATATTTTAACTGATTTTATACCTTTTATTGGGCCTTCTTTATTTCTTAAAAAAATTTTTTTCCAACGTTTGAAATTATTTGAAATCTGGGGGATCTTCCAACAACTTCAGAGGACTTTACTATAAATTGAGAGAAAAAAATTACCGTTTTGTAAATCAGAGTTTGATTCACCTTGTTTCTGCAACGGGAACTTGATATTGAAAAAAACTGCTCGTAGTAATCAATAACTTTGACTCCAGAATCGAGGGCGTAGGTCACCATTTTCATAGCTTCAGGTCGAGCCCACACTCGGAACTGGAAATTTGAACGAAAAGTTATTTTTAATAAAATAAATAAATGTTTAGTTAATAAGCAAAATAACACTACTATTCGAGATTTTTTTTTTGGAGGAAACTGAAAACTCAAAATTTATCTGATTTTCTTTCTAATAAGCAGTAATGAATGCACTGAAAAAGCAGAAAAAAAAACCTACTTCTCCAAAAAAAAACAGTTCTTTTTTGAATTTTCGTTTCCCGCCAAAAATCGTTTTAACCGCCCGGAACGCGTAGCGTGTGCGCACGCGGTTTTTTTGGCACGAGTTCAACTCAACCGCAATCGACTCTTTGAAAAGCCCGTTTTTTTCGCTCTTTTTCATTTATTTTTTTGAATATTTATTGATTTTTTTTTCATTTTTGCATCAAAAAGTAGTGGGATAGATACAAAAAGAGCGGCGACAGAGCTTTTTAAATAGTCGGTGGCGCTTGAATTGAACTGGCGCCAAAAACCGCGTACGCACACGCTACGCGTCCCGCCCCCTGCCCCTGCCTCCCTCGCCTATCAAGGCGGGAAACATTGACTATACCCGAACACCATTTTTGGTGTACTTTTCCAAATATTCGAACTCCGAAACAAAGATTGCCAGCAAGTAGGACGACATTCTGGGTGTCGGTTTGAACTTGGTCACTTGGAAGTTTTCGTCCAAACTTTAAAAAATTGATTTTATGAGAAGAATGGAGGAAAATCTACCTTTTCGTACACAATTCGATTCCGTTGGCGATGGCTTTGGTGCCTTTTGGATGGATTATTTTGACCATCCAAACGGCCTTAATTAAAATATTTCTTGTATTTCTGAATATTAGGATAATGAACCTTGAAGTCGGGTTCATCGAAGCAAGGGACCATTTTTCGCGCCATTGTCGGCTCCATTTGGGTTGTCACAGCAGTTCTAAAAAAATTCAATTCCAATTTTTTTTAATTTGGAATCGTAGACCTACTCCACTAAGTTTTCTTATTATTTTGAGATTTCGAACACTGAAAAACAATTTTTTTCCACAATTTTCAGTAATTTATAAATTTTCCTCGATCAAAAAGTCTATTATCATCTCTAACAAGTCAAACTTCGGCATCATGATTAGTTTCACGATTTTTATCATATTTTCACGAAAATTTTGAAGATCCTTTCTGTTAGAGAGTACCTGTCAACTTTTCAAATATCTTTCTGAATTCTTCGATTTTTTTTTTCCAAACCTGTTCTTCCCATCCAAATCGGTATAAGTCGTTTGATAGAGGCCTCCCAAATCGCTCGATATTTTTCCTTCATAGCCAATCTACAACTTTTCCTAGTTTTTTTTGGATCTTTTAAAATCCTCACCTTCAACTGGACTTGCTCGCCTTCTCGAATTTTGTCATCCAAATATAAAATAATCATTTCCAAATCGGGCATCGTCTCTATCGATTTTACCACGAATTTTCTTGATTTCTGTATCAGAATCAAAATTAATTGATGAAAATTTAACAACTCACAGTTTTAACCCAAAGTTTATTCATGTCAAACTTCAACCCAACCGAATTCAAAACAATTTTTCGAGTTGATTTTTTGACTTTGACTTTTATCTTGACGATCGCATCAAAAGTCATATTTTTGTCGGAAGGGATCCCAGGATATCCCGTTATGTAAGGTTTGATGGTCAGTTGGTAGCTTTCTGTAAAGTAAAGTTATATTCTCCGAGATTTGAAACTTGTTGGTCGCATGAGGAATGGTTAATCGTGACGCATTTTGCCCGACTGAAACTTTCTTCTTTGGATATCTTAAACTTTTAAAATGCAAGCAATGAAAGCCAAAATTGGACCACAGTGCGACCGCAACGCGTTCAGTATGTCACTAGAGCCACTGATTACTGATATCAGGATTATAGTCAATGTTTTCCGACTTGAAAGGCGAGGGAGGCGGGGCAAGGGGCGGGACGCGTAGCGTGTGCGTAAGCGGTTCTTGGCACGAGTTCAATTCAACAGCCAGCGAACATTCAGAGAGCTTATTTATCGCTCTTTTCATTTATTTATTAATTATTTATTGATTATGTTTACTTGTGCATCAAAAATTAGTAGAAAATACGGAGAAAGAGCGGTTGCCGAGCTTTTTAAGTAGTCGGCGGCAATTGAATTGAACTGGCGCCGAGAACCGCGTACGCACACGCTACGCGTCCCGCCCCTTGCCCCCTCGCTCCCCTTTCAAGTCGGGAAAAATTGACTATAGAACCTCGGCTAATTGACTAGGGCCGCTCAAGAGGTGCAAAGACTCTGTAAATCCCTCGTTTTTTGATTAAAGTCTCATGTTCTTTCCGATTAAACAAAGAAGGTACGAATAAGTTTAAAAGCGTGTGACTTCATAAATAGTCTCCCTGAAACAACAAACTCGGTTCGAGATTCCTTGGCAATCTCAATTCTGCCGCAGTCACATTGTTCGTTGACGACTCAACTCGAAAAATCTTGATAAAAGTCAAAAAAGCCACAAATAATAACAACTTTGTATGGTTCATCTGTAAAATGATAGAAGTGTAAAATATCGTAGGTGAATCGAAACTATCAGAAATCATTCCAATCGACACGGGACTCACATTTTTCATGGGAAAATTTTGTTTTGAATATTATTTATTCAATGGGCGATGAGAACGAGAATGATATGACACTTCTTTCTATTATTCGGGAGAAGCCAATCATTTTTGAAACGAGGGAAACTTTTCTTGAAGGTTGTCTGAGTTATATGAGTGTGAGGACAGAACTCATTTATGATATAACAATCCTCAAAATCATCATAATTACAACAACAGAAAAAACAGAAAAAAAAACAGGCAAATTGTAAAAATTCATAAATAACCCAAGAATAAATGGAGCGACGAGTTGATACGCCAGGAAAAAAGTTCACGGAGACTTCTGAAGGAGCTGGGCGAAGTGGTCGGAGAGTTTCTTGAGGTTTTTCTGGCGCCAGGCAATTTTCATCGTAAGGCTCTTCAGGATCCCGCCGAAAACGCTAACTTTCTTAGCCGACGGCGTCGTTTTGAGGAAGCTTTTCAGCTGGAAAACCTCATTGAAGAAACTTCCGATTTTTCTTACCTGAGCAAGTTCCGAAGGAGTATCGATACCTTTTGTAAGAGCTTTTATAATGCGACGGAATCCCTTCATATCTTTTTTCAAACTGAAAAATTGAAGAGAATACTCGAAGGCTACCTAATGTTTTTTTTTATGGCAGTGAATAAACTATTATTATTATTATTATTATTAAGGCGATTGAGGGAGCCTCACCGGACTTGAAGATCGTCCCAGCGGGTGATCAAAAAGTTGAGGAAAAACTCTGAGCTGAGTTTGTTGCCACCGACGGTCGCAAATACAGAAGAAAGATCTTGAATTCGGAAATCGCTTTTTTCGTTGTCCATCGCATTGAGAAGGATTCTGAGAAAAAGTTTGCTATTTTTTTTAGCTACTTTTTGTTGCGTCTTGCTGATGAGAGGGTTCATAACAATAGATATTGTTTGAATCGAAATCTTTCGAATTTCCAATGCGTACAGCTTCAAGTTGGCTGTATAAAAGAAAGGAACCTCATTTTTTATTTCATAATCGCTTGAATTTTCCCATCGCATCTATTTGTAAATGTTATCCGATGACTCTCCTTTTTAAATTCGAAAAAAACAATTCGTAAGTCCAACTTTTTCAAGGTAGGAATATCGTCCAAGCAGGCCATGCCACTGAGCAAATTCTCCTTTTCTCGCTGGACATTTTCATTTCGGTACCATTCGAAAACCTAGAAAAACCCCATTTTCTCTTGCCCGTTTTCCTTCTCAGACCTTGTTGAAAACCTTGATACCGCCTTTTTTGACTCCATAACAGTAGGCGTGTAATCGTAGTGGGGCCGCGAGTCTGAAGACGAGAATTCATGTAAAATATCAAACTCCCCGTAATTTCGGTTACACATGTAACAATAACTTTTTGCCTTGACGAAATTTCCATTAACAGTATGAAATTGTTTACTACAGCGAGCTTATTTGAAACTTTCTCAAATAGGAGGTCTCATCATGGTTGAAAAAGAAATATAAGTGACTTGTTGCAGGTGGAAGATTTTTGGTCGATTCCCTTGCAATTCGGCTCAACGTGGTCGGTATAAAGATCCGAGGCTTTTTTGACACAATCTTCGTCGTCAAGTCTGCATTCAGTCGCCATGACCTCCGACATAAGTAACCTAAAAAAAACCAGAAATCGATCTCCTAGGACAATTTATTTCTTTATTGTCAGAACAACGCAAATAATTAAGATACAGATAGAAAGGAAATAATATAACATTGGACAGACAACAAAGCTAAGAAGGTCATATGGTGCCCTAACGAGCAGCATGGCGACCGTTCGCAAAAGAGAAGAACAAAAAAATGATAAACTATAAAAAGACGATTGGGGCCGACTTGGTTTTCAAGTTGATAATAAGTTCGCTAACAGCTATCCTAGATAATTTATCTTTTAAAGTTTTGGGGTGGCACGAAAAATTTAATTTGGTTATTAATATGTTCCAAAGAGTTATATGACGCGAAAAGAAGTTATCTGATAATGAACCCCTAGTTTGTAACCGAAGTGGATGTCTACCTAGCCGAGAGAAGGAAATAAAGTTGTCAATTGATGGAAAATGATCAATTTTTAAAAAAAAATTTTTATGGAGAGAAAAATATCAAGAAGAAGACGACGTTGAAAAAGCGGAAGAACATTGACTTGAGTTAATCTGTCTTGGTATGAAGTGAAGCTAAGATTGCATCTAATAAAAACTTCTCGAGAGAAGAAACGTAAGGAACTTTCTAGTTTATAAGATAGATCAGAGTTTAGAGGAGGGTTGAAAACCTCAGAACAGTATTCTAAAATTGGACGAACATAGCAATTATAAAGTTTAAAATATAAGGACGGTGAGAGAAAACGAAAAGAATTTAACAGTTGTTTGGATCTCAGAAGGGCTAAAGCGGAGACTTTATGAATATGGTTAGAAAAAGACAATTTTTCATCGATAATTACACCAAGATCCTTAGTAGATTGAGTCGCAGGAATGATGTTAGAGCCGAAAAAGTAGACATTTTTGGGCTTTGGGGTTTCTAGGACCAAGATAAAGAGCATATGACTTTTCAGGAGCGACAATAAAACGAACACATCGAAGAACTTCTGGTCGTTTTTGTAGTTCTTCGCCATGTAATCAAAGCTGCTGGTTGCGTAGTTCTTCGACAAAATTTTGGCAAGGTATTTCTGAAAGAATGAAACTGGAATATGGGAACGACAGAAACAAACTTTGATCGGCTCAACTTCGGGATCACTTTTATACTTTGCAATAATTTCACCAATCTGAGAAAGGACAGTGCTCCAGGGATAGTATTCCTAGAAAGTTTGAACTATTTCCCGATGGACTTAAAATTTGGATCAACCTTCTCCTCGGTGATATACTGGATGAAGTCAATCGCGAGTTCGTACTCGACCAGATCGACTTGGGCGCAGATGAAGATGTCTTCGATCAGGCGGACTCGGGTCTTTGCCGAGAACTTCTGAAGTTGCAAAGCTTTTTCTTCAGAGCGAGCTTTTCTTGCAAACTTCATGATCTTTGACCAACAGAGCCCCAATCTTCTTCCACTCGGCATTTTCGTAGTTGACACGGTAGAAACCGAAAGAGTCGGCGTTCAGAACAACCGCCGACTTGGTTTTCAAGAAGAGCGGCTCGTCTGAACTTTCCTATCTTTAAAACAAGAATGAACGAGAGATACCGCGTTTGAGCCAAGCAAACTTGATCGTCTTGTCTCCGGCTTCCTGGTACCACACCGGAACGTCCCATTTGAAACTGAATCGAAGATATTTAGAAAAAGAGGACGTGATCATTGAGGTACCCATATTTGGGATTTCTGTATTTCCGCTTCTCCAAAGCGTCTTTATCATATTTGAACCGTTCTTGGGTCACTTTAATGGTGTTCTCATCTTCACGAGTCACTGTCAGAAGCGGGTAGCCAAGCTAAAAATTGTCGAAATGAACTATTTGAAAATTATTTTGTGTTGAAACCTGAGTGGTCCACTGCTCGGCAAAGTTGATGACATCCAGTTTCCCACCGTTGGGTCCGATTATTGATTCTGGCGTTTTTTTGTTCAGAGCTTTGAACAAGTCTGCGGCCTTGGCGTTACTGTACTTGTGCAGGTTGAGGTAATGCTGAGAATGAAAATCGAATTATATTTCATGTAAAAGTCTACCTGAAGTCCCTTCTGGAAGTTTTTCTCTCCGATAACTTGTCTCAGCATCCGAAGCACAGAACCACCCTGGAAAATAATTTCTTCGAGTGGTGGGCAGGGAAAGCAAGAAGATAAAATCCCTTGGAAATGTTTCTTACTTTCGAATAAGAGATCATGTCGAAAGCTTTGCTGGCTTCAACCGCTTTGGTGATTTTGAAAGAAAGAGGATGGCTCATCGCTCTGGAATCATAAGACAACGACTCAGATAGAGCAACATTTACAAATTCTTCGGTCTGAACGGAAAAATCTCTTTCACATTATCGATTATGTTCTCACCATTCGGAAGTTTCCGTCACTGATTACGTCAGTCCCCCTGTGTTCGACGAGGGTCGCAAAACCTTCATTTAGCCACAAATCGTTCCACCATTTCATCGTGACCAGATTTCCGAACCACTGATAATCATGTTTTTAAACGAATTTGGATAGTAGATGACCGACCTGATGGGCGAGTTCATGAGCGATCACTACAGCAACACGACGTTTGGCTTGAGAAGTGTAGATATTTTCATCGTAGAGCAGTGCAGTTTCTCTAGAATGAGTTTTTTGTTTGTCGGAAAATCACAAAAAAACAAGGAAGTATTTTTACTTTCGGATTTACCCGTGAAATGACCAGAAGATCCATTTTTCTGCTCTTAAAAACATTAATTTGTGCAAGTTGAGATATGCACGACTGTCATCCCGCATAGAAAGACATATGGTTTGAGCCATCGCAAAAATGGTCCTGACACCATAATAAAAGAGATAGTGTCTGGTTCAGGAAATCACAGACAAGCCACCGCCTTAGCGTTCCAAGTGAGCCGTGTACCTGACTATACCTGTAAGCAATCATTCCCCAGTTCTCCATGGCTCCAGTCACAAAATCAGGAACGGCAATCATGTCCTGTTTCTCGAGCGGAAACTTGATTCCGTAGTACTCTTCGTAGTACTCGGTGCACTTGACGCCGGCGTTCAGGGCGTACTGTAGCTGGTGTTTCGCTTCGGGACGCGCATAAATCCGGAACTGAAGCCCATTGAGAAGTTGGGAGGGTTTGGGAGGTCGGGACTGACCCTGACTCCATTTTTCGTCTTTTTCTCGACGTAATCGAACTCGGAGACGAAAAGAGCGAGCAAGTAGGACGACATCTTCGGCGTCGTCTTGAACTTGGTCGAGGTGAAGTTCTTGTCAACTCTAAAGTGACTTATCACGTTGATGCATTTTTAATTTCCTTTTAAAGAGGAAATTAATTTTCTAGAAATTCCTAAACTTCTGATCTGGCGTATCGTATAAATAAATGCTCACATCGTATCGCCTTGTTCAATTCCGTTCGAAATAGCTTTGGTGCCAGTCGGATGGATAATTGTGACAGTCCAATTGGCCTGAAACTCAAATTTGCCAAAGGCTGGCTTTTTTTTCAGCACGCTTTTTAGCTTAATTTTCACAGCTCTTTTGACATTGACCCCCTGTCCCATTTGTGCTCATTCCTTCTCAAATCCCTATGAAGGCCGACAAACCTTCAAATCGGGCTCATCATAGCATGGAACCATTTTCCGGGCGTCAGAAGGCTCCATTTGAGTGGTAATTGCGTACCTTCAAAAAAATCAATATAATTTCCATACATGGTACAGGCGAACTTCATTTTTCCATTCTCGGTGTAAACACTGTAGTAAAGTCCAACAAGATCTTCTCGATAGGGATTGGAAAAAACGAGCTGAAGAGGGGATGCCTTTGTTTAATTACATTTGCATTTTGAGATTTTCAATTCTCGAGTTAACGACGCGAAGCGAATTTGAATGAGTTTGGAGCGAGAAAGTTCTAACGAGCCAAAGAAACGCCAGACAATAAGATTGTTCTGTTCATCAGGCACCTCTTTAGTTTTCTCTGCTTTGTTATCGATCCTTTTTTCAATTTTCATTTTTTTTTTTTCTAAAATCAAAGTTTCATCTAACCTTGAGCTCAGCTTCTTGATTTTCTTCGAGCGGTTCACCCAAGTTGATGTAAATCATCTCGAGCTTTACTGCGTTTTCGATCGAAGAAATTGGAATATTCTTTCCTTTCTAAAAATATGAGACCTAGAATATTTCTGGGTCTCTGAAGAACTCACAGAAGTTACAGAACACTCAGCCGTTGTGAAGTTGAACCCGACAGAATTGAGAGTTATCTTGCTCACTCGCTCTTTCACCTTCAGCCGCATTGTAACCTGACCATCGTAGCTCAACTTCTTGTCCTCGGGCACGCCCGGGTAGCCCGGGATGTTGGTTTTGATCGTCAAATCGTAGTGAACTATAAAGACAAACTTTTTGTTCGTCTTTTCAGCTTTAACTTCAGAAGGAAATTTCAATTTTAGATTGATGTTTTAAATTAATTCAGTGTATTACCTGGGAGAATGCTGTGTGGAAGTCGCAAATCTTTAGCCGAAACTTCTGAAGTGGGATCCTTAGGTTTTTCGGGCTTAGGCTTTTTTCCGGGTTTAGGTTTTTTCCCCGGTTTCGGTTTTTTCTCGGGTTTCGGTGGTTTAGGCTGTTTTTCAGGCTCGGCTGGTTTTTCGGTTTCTGGCTTTTGTGTGGCTCCAGGTTTTCCACCACCTTCAACGGGATTGTTGGTATCGCTAAAAGTTAAACATATGGAAGAAAAGCATGCAATATTTTTTCCTGTGTAAAATCGCTGTTTATTTCAACTTCAAGTTTTATTCCATTCGATTTCAAAGGAATACATCATAAAAGTAATCGCATTTTCGTTTTGAGGCACCGAAAACCTGTCTGAAGATCTGTTTCGTTCCTTAATATACGGATCGGGTGAATCAAACTTGACAAGCTACCTCGAAATTTGCTAATTAAACATTAAAAAAAACTTTTTGAATGCAAAATTAGCCTAAATCATGTTTCTAAACAAGTAATTAGTACCCAGTTTTGCTGGCACCCATAGAACTCGTCAAATTCAAGGTGATATGGTAGGTGAAGATGCAGGTGATGATGCTGGTGAGGATCACAGAGAACGAAATCGCCAAAATCGCAAACAGAATCAACTTTTTCGAGTATTGAGTATGCGGACTCTGCGGCGTCCGCTCGAGCTGAAGATAATTTTCGCAATGAATATTTTGAGAAACGTTCATGATGTCCAGAAAAAGTCATTTCACGCAAATTATTGTAAATCTTTTTCACGCACGTTGAAAAAAAAAATCCGGTATTTGACTATTATACGCTTTTTGGTAGGGAAACTCGAGGTCAAATCCAATCATAGAAAAATTTTTAAAAAAAAGTGTTCATTGTTTTCGTGCTCATCATATATTTTTTCAACTGAATTCATAAAAAAATGCTCGCCTTTGGAGTCGGGACGGATGGACTAGAATCGAAAGAGGGAAGAGAGAGAGACATTCCCTTATGAAAATGACAATGTATCCAGTTCAATGACGTCCTTTCAATTTCACCATTCCTTTCGTGTACAAAGAAAATTAGAAATAAGGACACTTGATAGCTTTTTCGAAATTTCAAATTATTTATTAGATTTAAAAAAATTCGCGTGAAAAATGACAACCTCGCAGGGAAGAGAAGCTTCAGACGACATGCGTTTGGGTCGTTGAAGGAGTATTTCATTCACGGACTTCTCTGAGACACTCGATTGAATGAAGCCGGCTGGAACCACAGGAAGAGCACCACCTCGATAGCACAGTCCAAGTCTCCGGGCAATCCGGGATCTTCTTTTGGCATCTCACTTTTTTTTCGTAAGGTAGATTTTGAGCGATGTTTTACTAAAAATTATTACAAAAGTGAATCGGGAGGTCGATGCAAGTTGGTACCGGGTAGCGACCGCTCGTGAGATAGCTACTTATTGGCTACTTTTATGGTACCGGAAAGCATACGCTTGTCAGAAATCCCACCCGGTGGCATCGCGATACCTCTCCGGTAGTATCCAATATCCTAGAGGTAGTCTCACTGACAGTCAGAGTCACTACTCGGACCAAAGCATTTGGTTAAGCCTATATCTATGCCTATATATTATATCCTATATAGAATCGGTTTTCCGTGTGCCTCTACATCAACCCGGTCGCATATACAAACGATCACCGATAACTATCCGCCGATTGACTTTGAGTTCCTACCCGGTACCTACTTGTATCGACCTCGCGATTGACCAGTGTGCCACGTTGAATTCAAATAGTCCAAATATTTTACTAATCTTTTCTCTTTTTCTTGGTTTTTTAGTGTTTTCGTTAAATCGCAAACCGCTACTCCCTGACGTCATCCATATGACATCATTTGAAACGGCATTACGACGCCAAAACAAAATAAAAATAATATTTATTTTTTTTACGTGAAAAAATTCAAGAGTGGGAGGAGCCTGAAGCGTGCGCTCTGCAATAAACTGCGCCCTTAAATTGCGTTTGATTGCGGACTGTATTTTTTTTGGGATAAAGAATGCATTCTATTTCAGTATCGTTATTATTATTATTCTTGTTTTAATGTTTTATTTTTTTATATTGAATTTTTGTGATTGCATAAAAAGTTTGATGTAATATTTCTGGGTATAATCCGACGTTACCAACATGTTTGATTTTCATTAAAGTAATTTCTCTCAGGAATAGAACTGTTAGCTTTTTCTTTTCATGCAAATTAATTAATAAATTACTTAAGAAAATAGGCTTAGTTTTAAGGCTTCACACGGAGGCGGAGCGCGCATAGCGCGAAGCCGACTGTGGCTCGCTTCGAAAAAACTGAGCCGCAGTGAAAAATTCGTCAAACGAATGAATGACTTGACATAAAAAGCATGTAGTTTCAAAATGTGGACGCTAAAAACACTATCAGGTAGTTCTAAACGATTTTAGTTTTCGTTAAATCGCAAACCGCTACTCCCTGACGTCATTTTATGACATCATCCGTAACACAAGAAATAAGCGTAATCAAAATATTTGGCTATATTCATTTTATTCACGTGAACATGATTCAGCAAATTATTATTATCTCATTTCATCCCGTCGACTAGTCGATCTGATTGCCGCTCTCTCATGGGATAATATTCGGCGGTATGAAAAAAACACCAGCGAAAATTCAAACGGCGACTTTTCCGATTTTTTCATATCGCTAGAGAACTTTCCGACGGCCACCTTTCCGACGGATCCCTTTCCGACTTTTTTCCCCTATGTTTTTCGGTTTTTAAAACATTCATAGACATTTTTTTTCCTATTTCTTTGTGTTTTAATTATGAATGAACTACCTACTTTATATAGGAAGATTCAAAACGAAGAGTTTATCGAGAAAAAAAGTTGGAAAAATATTCGTCGGAAACAGAATGGCGCCCCTAAACGTTTTGAAACGTTTACATTTCAAAACCGACGTAGGCCGCCATGGCCATTTCTTAATAAGTCGCTGCCCAGGGCGCCCGGGGCTAAAACCGCGATGGCAAAAAAACGCCAATGGAGAAAAAAACGCGTAAAAAAAAAAAAAAAAATTAAGTTCATGAATACTAAGGAGCAACGGAAAGTTCAAATCACATTTATTAGGCATGAATGAAACGAGAAAGTGGGAAAAACAAAAACAATGGAATTCAACCGGTAAAACGAGTAATAGGAAACCGTAGGTGTGGAAATTAACCCATTTAACAAGTATTTCAACAATCATAGAATTACAAATAATTACTTCTTAAGGCAAAGAATCCATCAAGTATTGAGGATACAGAGAAGCCAATTCGCTACCTAACGTGATAATTTCTATGTTCTCATGAGAAAGGGATTGCCTGCGATCCGTACACACCGGCTGAACATGCGTTCGCTGGCTGTTTCGGATGCTGGTATAGAGAAAATGACGCGAGAAACAAGGAAAAGACGGGGGAAAGTTTCTCGATGTCTGAGCCAGAAAATATTAGCATCCAAATTGCTTGTCAGGCTTTCGAAACGAACGATCTCATCAATCAAATTAGGCACGGAGGAATGGTTACTGGGCGCGGACAGCGTAAAAAAACTTGAGATGAAATCATCTTGAGCATGCACTGGATCTTCATTAGGCAGCTCTTTAGCGCTGAGGATCGTTGAGTCGATCTTTTTGAGACACGCGATCGCCTGTAGAACGAATAAATAAAAGTAGTGAAGTTCATCAAGAGAAAAAACTGAATCTCTTTCGTCGTCGGAAAGTTTGTGCACAGTTCTTAAACGCGGAGACAAGAAGTCCGCGGCTAAGTGCACTCCTTGTACAGTCTCAGATTGTTGGCGCATCGTAGCCTCCAGCGCCAATTTCGCGATGAGGTGCAAAAGCTAAAGAAGAGTTTGCTGCTGTTTGCTAGGGGACTAATCGGACTCGGGTACGCGTTTCGATGCTAAACCCCATAGGCTTCTGAGAAAAAGGTTTTTGAAAATTATCAAATTTCTGCTTTTCTCCTTCTTTTGGCTGAAAAAAAGTCTTTCAGAGTTTATCATAGCCGGATTATTCAAGGCGATCGTATTAAAGTATAAAAATAAGGTAGAAAGAACTATTTAGAAAAATTTTTCAGGCCTAGTTTTCACTATAAACCGAGTAGTTCCATAGTTAGTTGTATTTGCTGAGAACAATTTTTAGATGAACAAAAACTTTTTTCTATTTTTTGAATAATAAGAATTGAGTGGAAAAATTTCAAAAGTATTCCAAAATATGAAACCTCAACGTTATCGGAATCGGCATGGGTGACGGCTACTTTACTCATGATATCCTCCAGTCGGTCGACCAATTCCTTGAAGACTGAAGGCACGAGGTTCAGTGTAATTGTATTAGAAGCCTGAAAATACACTCAAATTTTATATTATAATTTGCTCACCTGTAATCGAATGATGGGCTTCTCCAAAAAAGCAAGGATGTCGACGAGAAATTGAAGAACTTCAATGTTCTTCCCAACGTCTTGCAATAAACGTTGCTGCTCTGTTGGAAGTAGGTGGAGAACAGAATAAGCCGTTGGAATTGAATCTAAGAGGTCTGTAAGCGAATTCCGCACGCTCAACCATCGAGTTGGAGCAGCTTTCACAGGTAATTTTTGCAACCGAGAAGAAACCTGATAATTTATGCACCAATTTAAAATCTAATTTCAATTCAAAACCTCTCGGTTGTTGCGGAACACCGACACAAGCTTATCGGCGTCTTCGAAAAGTTTCTGGGCTTCTTTCAGAAGTTCCTTTTCGCGTGGAATCAGTCTTGACATCGTCTTATGATAGGGATTCACAGTATGGTGACCGACCAGATGTAATGCGTGAGAAGAACACCGGACATCTGTAAAAAAAATGTAAATTGGCTGAAAAGTTTTATTTTTTTTTCCGATTTTTCCTTTTTTTTTTCATACCACCAATTTTTCAATTTAATTAATCAAAATGTTATATCTTTCGTCTTAAAAAAATTATACAAACATGCGCGACAGAAGATTTCTCCAAATCGTTTCATCGCATGAGCACCATCCGCAATGCAAAACATTTTTGATAAAAAATCTGTCGGCCATCCGATTTTTTCGAAAATCTCATCTACATAGGACTTGATCTAAAATTAAATGAAGTTTATCCAAATAGAACAAATTATTCTAGTACCGTTGCCGCATCTTTCTTGACGGCGTTGCAGTACCGCAAACCAATAGGGCAACATTTGGTTGTGTAACCGGCATCTACGTCGATGTACACCACGTACACGGATAGAAAATCTGATTGATGGTCCCGACCACCATCAAGACAGATGGCTGATAAGCCTTGGTCGACAAAATTTCTTGCCTGAAAAAAGTTAATCAGACTCAGACCTGTTCAGATGTTTGTGAGAAATACCTCGTCAGCTGCTCTCATCAGCATTGATGTTACCGCTGTTTGAACGTCTTCTGTGACAGTTTTCCTTTTGGGCAATCTAGTCCTGTCTAGATCGATATTCCTGCAGAAGAAAATACGTAGAAAACTGCGTTTCATTCCAGAACTCACCAAGTATTTGCTATTCGGACTATAAGATTGACGAAAGGCTCCTTTTCTATTCGCTGAAATGGCGTCGCACTGACAAGCACATATTCCGTAATCGCTCTTCTAAGCTTTTCGTAATCTGTAAACTAAAATATTTTTCCTTTCTGAAGGAGTTTTCTCGCCAGTAGCTATCATTGGAGCCGGACTTTGTAAAATTTCCCTTCGTCGACAGGTGCTCCTCACGTGACGCCTACAACTTCACTTTTTTTTATCTCAAATATTTTATATACTTGAATTGTCCTCCCCGGGTTTTGTTAGCAAGAACTTTTCCACACGCTATGCACTGAACATGCCTCGTGTCCAAGCCGTCGTGATCATAAATATGATGGAAACTGGGAAAATTCCCATTCGCCTGAAATAAAACTACTTGAATATGACATTTTTCTCAACTAACTCGGGTTTCTACGTCACCTGCTGCAATCATCTCGATTACATCTATTTTTGAATATGAAACATCATATTCAAGCTCTTCTGAAACCGTTAATTTTGAATCTTTAGAATTTGAAGTTACTTGGAAGTTCGCTTTTTGTAGCGTCCGTCATCTGTTCTTTCCGGGGCTCTCTACCCACAGATCTGTAGTTCTCCGCCTTAAGGAAGAAAACTATAACAACATATTATATAAAAAAAATTTAAGTAAATATCATAAACACAAAAAAATTGAAAAATGAAATGATGCAAAAACTGCGAAACGCGAAGCAATTGCATAATAATCAAAAATGCCAACTTTCGCCCAACTATCGCGACGTGGCGATGCACGCCATCGCCGCATAATGACGTGGCTCATTTCATTTCAGAGGCCGCATGGCTAGGGCGGGCATGTTGCGCCCTGGAGGGCCGCTCATTTCTTCCACCTCTGGTCGGAAAGGTGGCCGTCGGAAAGTTCCCTAGCGATATGAAAAAATCGGAAAAGTCGCCGTTTGAATTTTCGCTGGTCTTTTTTTCATACCACCTAATATTCCGACGCCCGTCAGCCCTGAAAAAGCTGGGCGCTGTACTGTTGCAACATGGTGAAGCAGTTCATTCGGTGGTACTACCAACGGGCCCACATTATTTCCCAACGTTAGCTGTCACTCCGGGACGTATTGGACAACGATTGTGGACCGTAACCCGCGCCGACGACTAACTCTTCGATTATACCATGATTCAGCAGAGATTTTCTTAATCTTACTCTGAAGACTGAATAAAATGAACTGAATTGAAATTGAAATTGAAAAAATTGAAGAATGGGAGGATCCTGAATTGCGCCTTTGCATTAAAACTGCGCCTACAGGTTCATGCCTTACTTAGGAAAATAGGCTTAGTTTTAAGGCTTCACACGGAGGCGGAGCGCGCATAGCGCGAAGCCGACTGTGGCTCGCTTCGAAAAAACTGAGCCACAGTGAAAAATTGTCAAATAAATGAAATACTTGACATAAAAGGCATTTAGTTTCAAAACGTGGGCACTAATAACACTATCAGGTAGCTTAAACGATTTGCAAACTTGATACGCGTAGCGAAAAAGTCTGTGAAATGTTCTTCCCAAAAAAAAAAGAAAAAAAAAATTAAAGGAGCATACTGTGCGTAAGCGTGGGCCTCGACGCCTCGGATTATTCCAAACCTTTAAAAAGGTTTCTAAAAAAAGTGAGAAAATAGAAAAAAATAAAAAAAGTTTCCAATCAAAAGGGGATTTTTCAAGTGTGATATCTTTCTGTTTTTCATGCGACCGGAAAAGTTTTCACGTCGAATCTAATTTTATGAATTGGAACGTAAAAAATGAATAAAATGATATGGCTTCGTGTGCGAATTTTGCAAATGAAGATGATGTCATAGGGATGACGTCAGGGAGTAGCGGTTTGCGATTTAACGCGAAGTGTTTTTTAGACTTCTTTTTTATATTGGTTCCATGTTTGTCCTTCTGTTATGGTAGAACTCATTTATAACATGCGAATCCTCAAATCTCAATATTTACAGTTTTGGCTCGTATCAGAACCACAACTCAACAAAAAATAGGAAAGTTGCGAAAATTCATGAATAACGCAAAAGTAAATGAAGCGACAAGTTGATTGCGAGGAAAAAAAGATCATTGAGACTTCTGAAGGAGCTGGGCGAAGTGGTTGGAAAGTTTTTTGAGGTTCTTCTGTCGCCAGGCAATTTTCACCGGTGCGCCTTCCAGAATCCCGTGGAACACGCTCATTTTCTCAGCCGACGGCGTTGCTTTGAGGAAGCTTTTCAGCTTAAACTCATCAGAGTTCATTGAGGAATCTCCTGATATTTTTCACCTGAGAAAGCTCAGAAGGAGTATCGATGCTGCTCGTAAGAGTTTGTATAATGCGGCGGAATCCGGTCATATCTTTTTTCAAACTGAAAAATTGATGAAAACATATTTGAAGGCGATTGAGGGAGCCTCACCGGACTTGAAGATCGTCCCAGCGGGTGATCAAAAAGTTGAGGAAAAACTCTGAGCTGAGTTTGTTGCCACCGACGGTCGCAAATACAGAAGAAAGATCTTGAAGTCGGAAATCGCTTTTTTCGTCGTCCATCGCATTGAGAAGGACTCTGAGAAAATTTTTTTTTTCTTTTTTCATTTTTTTTAAGAAAAGAAAAGTATTATTGGGGGCCGGTATATATCATGGTACACTTTAGTTTTTAAGAAAAATTACTGTTTCCAAAAAAATCTTTATGAAAATAAGGAACACTTTATTTTCGTTTTTTGATTTTTCTCTGAATCTGAAAGTTTAAATGACGTGTGACTTTTGTAAAATCAAGGAGATAAGTCATAAATTCAACTTTTTCAAGGTAGGAATATCGTCCAAGCAGGCCATTCCTCTCAGCAAATTGTCTTTTTCCCGTTGAACATCTTCGATTCGGTACCACTGGAACACCTAGAAAAGTTTTCTTTTATGTTGTTTCGCTCCCTATTCAGACCCTGTTGAACGCCTTGATACCGCCTTTTTTGACTCCATAACAGTAGGCGTAGCCTCGAAGTGGGGCCGCGAGTCTGAAAATGAGAATCCAAGAAAATCAAAATCAACGAAGTTTTTTTGTTTATTGTAGCAGTTACCGTTTTGCCACAGTTCGACATAAAATCGAAGGCGAAGACCAATGGCACACATACTTATATAAAACGTTCTCAGTACTTTCTTTTAATAGGAAAATGCGAAAATGTTTTGCCCGAAATTCCCTAGTTCCCTTGGATAAAACCGTTTATATTCTTCATCGAAAAAATAGATAACCGACTTGTTACAGGAGGAAGATTTTTTGTCGCTTCCCTTGCAATTCGGCTCAACGTGGTCGGTATAAAGAGCGGTGGCTTTTTTGACACAATCTTCGTCGCCAAGACTGCATTCTGCCGACAGGACCTCCGACATAAGTAACCTAAAAAGCAGAGATCGATCTCCTGAGACAATAAAAACGAACACATCGAAGAACTTCTTGTCGTTTTTGTAGTTCTTTGCCATGTAGTCAAAACTGCTGGCCGCGTAGTTCTTCGACAACAGTTTGACAAGATATTTCTGTGAGAATAAAAGTGGAATATGGGAACGACAGAAACAAACTTTGATCGGCTCAACTTCAGGATCACTTTCATACTTCCCAATGATAACACCAATCTCAGAAAGGGCCGTGCTCCAGGGATAGTATTCCTAGAAAGTTTGAACTATTTCCCGACGGACTCAAAAATCAGCTCAACCTTCTCCTTAGAGATATATTGGATAAAGTCTATCGCGAGTTCGTAGTCGACCAGATCGACTTGGGCGCAGATGAAGATGTCTTCGATCAGGCGGACTCGGGTCTTTGCCGAGAACTTCTGAAGTTGCAAAGCTTTTTCTTCAGAGCAAGCTTTTCTTGCAAACTTCATGATCGAATGATAGAATAGAATATTCATGATAGAATATTTATGAATTAAAAAAAAGCTAAGATTCCATTTGATTTGAAACAAAGGTTTTTTGACAAACTTCATGGTCCTTGACCAACAGAGCCCCAATCTTCTTCCACTCAGCGTTTTCGTAGTTGACACGATAGAAGCCGAAAGAATCGGCGTTCAGAACAACTGCCGACTTGGTTTTCAAGAAGAGCGGCTCGTCTGAACTTCCGAATAGCTTTGGAACAAGAATGAAGCAGAAATACCCCGTTTGAGCCAAGCAAACTTGATCTCTTTGTTTCCGGCTTCTTGGTACCACACCGGAACGTCCCATTTGAAACTGAATCAAAGAAGTTGAGAAAAAGAGGACATGATCATTGAGGGACCCATATTTCGGGTTTCTGTATTTCGGTTTCTCCACAGCGTCTTTATTCTTTTTGAACCGTTCTTGGGTCACTTTAATAGTGTTCTCATCTTCACGAGTCACTGTCAGAAGCGGGTAACCGAGCTGAAAATTGTCGAATGAACTATTTGAAAATTATTTTGTGTTGAAACCTGAGTGGTCCACTGCTCGGCAAAGTTGATGACATCCAGTTTCCCTCCGTTGGGTCCAATGATTGATTCTGGCGTTTTTTCGTTGAGAGCCTCGAACAAGTCTGCGGCCTTGGCGTTACTGTACTTGTGCAGGTTGAGGTAGTGCTGAGAATGAAAATGGAGTTATATCTCATGAAAAAGTCTACCTGAAGTCCTTTCTGGAAGTTTTTCTCTCCGATTACTTGTCTCAGCATCCGAAGCACAGAACCACCCTGGAAAAAAATTGTTCAACTTAAAGTGAGATTTTTTGATGAGGTTTCAAATAAAACTCATTTATACCTTTGCGTAGGAGATCGTGTCAAAAGCTTCGTTGACTTCAACGACCTTGGTGATTTTGAACGAAAGAGGATGGGTTGATGCTCGGGAGTCATAAGATAAGGCCTCAGATAAAGCACCGTTCACAAAATCTTCAGTCTGAACGGGAAAATATCTTTCACATTATCGATTATGTTCACACCATTCGGAAGTTTCCGTCGCTTATGACGTCGGTGCCACTGTACTCTACGAGGGTCGCGAAACCTTCATTTAGCCACAAATCGTCCCACCATTTCATCGTGACCAGATTTCCGAACCACTAAAACTGGTTCAGAGTGGAGTTGGAAGGCAAATGACCGACCTGATGGGCGAGTTCATGGGCGATCACTACAGCAACACGGCGTTTGGATCCAGGAGTGTAGATATTTTCATCGTAGAGCAGTGCAGTTTCTCTGGAAAGATTTTTTTCTGTCGAAGAACACACCTAACAAACAAGCTCATTTTACTTTTGAAAATTCTTTCACAGGATGTACCGAATATTAGCTTTCCGGTTCAAGTTATCATTGGCCAATAAAACTTTGGTTAGTTTGATAATTGATAAATTTGGATGATCACGAGCGGGAAGATCACTTGGGAGCGGATCGGTTCTTATGAAAATTGGCCGGGAATTTTAAATCGGAAAATGATGACTTTTGTTCTAGAATCTGAATAAATGCAGTCTATACCTGTAGGTGATCAATCCCCAGTTTTCCATGGCTCCAGCGGCGAAATCGGGGATGGCGACCATGTCCTGTTTCTCGAGCGGAAACTTGATTCCGTAGTACTCTTCGTAGTACTCGGTGCACTTGACGCCGGCGTTCAGGGCGTACTGTAGCTGGTGTTTCGCTTCGGGACGCGCATAAATTCGGAACTGAAGCCCATTGAGAAGTTGGGAGGGTTTGGGAGGTCGGGACTGACCCTGACTCCATTTTTCGTCTTTTTCTCGACGTAATCGAATTCGGAGACGAAAAGAGCGAGCAAGTAGGACGACATCTTCGGCGTCGTCTTGAACTTGGTCGAGATGAAGTTCTTGTCAACTCTGAAGTAAAATATAAACTTGATGCTTTTTTACCGATCCGTTCGAAAAGGAAAAAAAAATTGAGCGCATTCAAAAAATCTGGCCTTGCGAATTGTGGGAATAAAAGCTAACTTGGATTCGCCTTGTTCAATTCCGTTTGAGATGGCCTTGGTGCCAGTCGGATGGATAATTGTGACTGTCCAATTGGCCTGAATATAAACATTTCTTTATCAGCAGCTTTGAAGACGCATTATTTTACCAGAGAAAGACCTTCCATTTTCATATTTGAATATTCAGAAAAGGATGTGAACTTTGAGAGTTTGTTTTTCAGAAAGATTGTGACTAGGTTGGATAATCAGTGTTTGTTTGGTTTTCAGTTTTCAAAGACGACAAACCTTGATATCGGGCTCATCATAGCATGGAACCATTTTCCGGGCGTCAGAAGGCTCCATTTGAGTGGTAATTGCGTACCTTCAAAAAATCAATATAATTTACATACATGGTACAGGCGAACTTCATTTCTCCATGCTCGGTGTAAACAGTGTAGTAAAGTCCGGCAAGGTCTTCTCGATAGTTGCCCGAAAAGACGAGCTTAAAAATGAATAATTTGTTCGAGTTACAGTTGGACTTTGAGGCTTCCAATTTTAAATATCAACGACTGAAAGGGAGTTTGAGAAATTTGGAGAGGACAGACAGGTATAGAAATTTGTGTTTCTCTGGCCTCTCACGAAAGTTGGCACTCTCTCGCTTCCTTTTTTGCAGTCTAAATATGATTTAAAGTAATTCGGTTTTTATTCGGTCATGCATTTATTAAAACTGAATGATGCGGAAGCGAGAGATAGCCGGTGACCTGAAGAGACGCCCGTCAATTAGACGTCTCTGTTTCTCTGGCCTCTCAACGAAGATAGTTCTCTCTCTCTCTTATTCTCGTTTCTTCAGCTCTTTTTCTGCTCCCTATTGCAATTTTGGAACATTGTCCACGGCTTCACTTTTTTGTCAAAACTCAGAATTTTCTCTCACCTTGAGCTCAGCTTCTTGGTTTTCTTCGAGCTGTTCACCCAAGTTGATGTAAATCATCTCGAGCTTTACTGCGTTTTCGATCGAAGAAATTGGAATATTTTTTCCTTTCTGGAAATATGAGACCTAGAATATTTTTGGGTCTCTGAAGAACTCACAGAAGTGACAGAACATTCAGCCGTTGTGAAATTGAGCCCGACAGAATTGAGCGTTATCTTGCTCACTCGCTCTTTCACCTTTAGCCGCATTTTAACCTGGCCATCGTAGCTCAATTTCTTGTCCTCGGGCACGCCCGGGTAGCCCGGAATGTTGGTTTTGATCGTCAAATCGTAGTGAACTGTAAGATCGTCTGATTTTTTATTAAGTTTATCTATCACCTGGGAGAACGCTCCGAGGAAGCCTCAACTCTTCAGCCGGAATGTCTGAAGTCGGATCTGTAGGCTCTTCGGTTTCAGGTTTTTCTCCGGCTTCAGGCTGTTCTCCGGATCCAGTTTCTTCACCTCCGTCAGGGGTATAGGTGGAATCGCTATAAGTTACAAATTAGCAAGGCAAATAAGCAGTTTTTTGTTTTCTATAGTTGTAGCTCCTTAGATAAAGAAAAATATTCATTTTCATTTTCTAATTTTAAGATCGAAAGTCTTATTAATTTTATTGAAAATAAATAACTCTTTCCGACTCACAAAACGAATCGTTTTGTTATTGAGTTCATGTTTTTATTCTTTGAAACTATAATTACTCCTCGCGGGTCGGTGAGCATAGATTAATTGAAGCTACCGTAATTTCTACTTGTTTTGCATTTTCGCTTCAGGACACTCGAAAACTAGCCGAAATTGCAAATTTTTTTGTTAAATACGCGTTTTCAGGGGGACTTGACAAGCCAACTTGAAATTATTTTATTGTGGACTTTCAAGCATAGTTTGAGGCCAAGATCAAGAGCTGTGTGAAATACGAGTCGAAGCCGGGAAGCGGACTTTTTCCAATTTTTCAAATCAAGCTTTTCATGGATCATAGATGATTGTATAATACATTGCTGAAAACACCAGTTTGTGGGCCCGAAATCAGCCGAAACTTTTTTTTTTGTTAAAAACCAAAAATGAGTACCCAGTTCTGCCGGTACCTATCGCTCTCGTCATATTCAAAGTGATGTAGTAGGTGATGATGCAGGTGATGATCACAGAGAACAAAATCGCCAAAATTGCCACGAAAAGCGACTTTTTCGAGCACTGAGCCTGGGGCTTCTGCGGCGTTGTCCCCATCTGAAGATACTTTTGGCTAGAAGGTTCCGGGAGAATTTCAGAAAAAGTCGGCGAGTACAGAGGTGAAACTTGCGAATCGTTTGGGATAGTAGTCGAAAGACGGAAGAGGGTGAGACATTCCCTTCCGAAAATGACAATGTCTCCAGCACAATGACGCCCTTTTTAATTTCGTGTACAAAGAAAAGTTTTTTGATCAAAAGTTTCCATCTCTTTTTTTCTTCTCCAATTTTAACCGAAAAAGTCCAAACTAAAGATGGGTTCAACTGAAAATTCATTATTTCGTGTTCAAATGAACTCCGCCAAATTTAGAACAGCGGTCAGAAAAAAAGATAACTGATTTTTTGAGAATCAGAGATAACTTTGAATTTCGCGGAAGGTACACGGAATAAAAATTGATTTTTAAAAATTTAAAAAAAACTGTAAGAACTTTTTTTTTGATTCCTTCCTTTTTTGAGCTCTCTTCTACACAGTTTGATTGAACCAAGGCAAACTACAAAAATGAATTTTTTCCCTCCAAAAAAATCAGAAATTTTTTTAACCAAGTAAAAAAGCAATTTTTATTTAACTCCCAAGAAAAAAAAAACACTGGTCAAAAAAAACCACAAAATTCATTGCTATTGCAGTGTTCTTGTGTGCGTGATTAGTGATAAGACTGAGGAAAATTTATTTCCTTCACAGTTTTTACGATTTTTCATGAGTAGTAGGGTCGATTTCCGGTTGTGGAAGCCCAGGAAAACGAGCCTTCAAGTTTTCAGCCTCATTCAAAGTATATGCGCTCTGTGAACAAAGCTTAAAAAAATTGCAGTTGACCGATTTTTTGAATAAACATTTTATTTATTATTATTACTTCTGGCCGTGGTGCAATATTCATTGGATTTCCAAAATTACTGCCCAAAAGCTTGGATATTTTAGAACTTTTTAAGTCTCCTCAATTTCGTTGTTAGAAATCTTGTATTTCGGAAGAGTAAGGACTTCAAATTTATTAAAACCGGAAAATTGAGAAAATGAACTTGAAACGGACCTGAAACGACTTTCGCGAAAAGACATTGATTTATGAAAGAAGGGGCTGATTTCAATGAAAGTGTGAGCCATTCCAGATGCGGCCACGGTTTTTTAATTGGAGAAAGTTTATTTGTCTAAAAAGAACCAAAAAAATATTCTTTTTGCTAAGTCCCTTCATGCTGAGGTTCACATTTTCCACTGAAAGTGTGCTATTTTTCCGAACTTTTTTTTAAACCGTTTTATTGAAAGGAAGACTTGGAGAAATTCATTCATAAAGCAAGAATAGTTGATTTGTAGAGAAAGATCATTAGGACTTCTGAAGAAGCTGTGCAAAGTGTTTGGAGAGGTTCTGGAGGTTCTTCTGGCGCCAGGCGATCCTCACCGGAGCTTTCTCCAGAATTTCGGTGAAGACGTTCATCTCCTTGGCTGAAGGCTTCTCGTCTAGGAACTTTTCCAGCTTGAAATGATCTAATTTTCCGAAGAAATCAGCATTTTTATTTACCTTAGACAACTCTGAAGGTGTGTTGATATTGGCAGCCAGGGTCTTTATGATTCTAGCCAAGTATCTCGTTCCTTTCAACCTGGGAAATTCAGATACCCGGTTTGGAATAAGTTAGAAGCCTTACCGAACTTGGAGGTCGTCCCAACGATTTATCAAGAAATCGAGGAAGAATTTTTGGCTCAGGTTGTTTTTACCGACCACTGAGAAAACGAACGAAACGTCCTGAAGTCGGATATCGCTGTTTTTGTCGTCCAGCGCGTTCAGAAGTAGTCTGTAGAAGGATTTGCAATTTTTATTTTTTTCAATTTTCAATTTTTGAGAGCGTTGTAAGAAATATTGAGCTAAAACCAAAAGCCGATGTTTTTATCTTCCATCAAAAGTATGCTATTGAAAAATTTTTATGCTTGCTAAGCTCAAAATTTTAGTTTTTTTCAGTTTTGGAAAGCCGATTGAAAACATTTGAACAGAAAAAGGGCACAGAAATTAATCCAACTAGAAAATTCAGTTTTCAAAAAAGTGAAATCTGGCAAATAATCAAAGTCCTTCGCAGTGAAATGTGATTAATAAATTTTTGGAAACAGCCAATCTTAAGACTGAAAACCCCTTGCGAGGAAACTCAAAAGTGAGTGAATGGGGGAGAGAGAGGAGGGCGCAGACACGTCAGATATTCTCAAATATAGAATTTTAATTGCTCGCTGTTTCCATTCAAAAACAGGTTTTCTGGCTTTCTTCTGAACCTCAAGTAATGTTATCAGGTTCATTTCGTGAACATAAAAAAAAAATCTATTCCTAAATATAACTTCGTCAATGTCGGAATGTCGTCCAAGCAGGCCATTCCTCTCAGCAAATTGTCTTTTTCCCGTTGAACATCTTCAGTTCGGTACCATTCAAGTACCTGGAAAAATACCATCGAAGTTGAATCTTCTTCAAACTCATTCCAAAAAGCAGAAGAATGAGAATATATAAATTGATGAAGAAAAGAAAGTCTAGCTGATTCACGGCTAGCTTGGGACGCTAAGAAGGCGTGGCCTGTCTGCGCTCTCCACAAGCCAGGCACTATCTCGTTTTTCATCGTGTCAGGACCCTTTTTGATGGCTCAAGCCAGCCGTGACAGTAGAATGAAAGATGATAAAGAGGATTCTATTATTCATTTTTATTTTGAAACCTTGTCAAAGATCTTGACGCCGCCATCTTTGACCCCATAGCAATAGGCCAAGGTTCTGAGTGGGGCGGCTACTCTGAAAATTTATATTTTCCAAAGAAACGGGACAAAAATTACTTATTACAGACAGACGCTTTGACGCCATCTTTCTTGCAAGCCGGCCGGACTCGATATTCGAGGAAGGCCGTGGCTATTTTGCCGCAGGCGACGTCACCGAGGTCACATATCGTTGAGATTGTTTGCGATTTTAACAGTCTGAAAGTGAACTTTTTGAAAGCCGAAAAGTTCGCAATTGAAAATGCGGAAGACCAACGCTGCTGAGGAAACGGGACGACCGCAACACGCCCCGGGGCGTCCGACCCACGAAGCGGTCACGTTATCGAAAAAAAGCCCTTTTTTCAGTAACTTATTTTCACTCATTTGTATTCTTATCTCCCTTTTTCAGCTCTGCGGGTGAGGTAGCCCCATCGACAGCTCTGCGGCAGACCAGAAACGAGTTACGCGCAGACATCGAAAAGCATAGGACGAGTTTTTAAATCTCAAGTCGGTTTTGAAATTTATTCGCAACGCTTGGAGCCATTCCCCATGGGGCTGTTGGAATCAAGGCTAAAGAAGCATTTTTTCAACATTGCTCAAAATTTTTCCATCTTTGACAATAAAGTTGAAGATGCTTATTCAAGAAAAAAGACTTAAAAAAAAACGAACACTTCGAAGGACTTCTTGTCGTCCTTGTAGTTCTCTTCCATGTACTCAAAGTCGTTGTGGTCGTAATTATTCGACAAAATTTCGAGAAGATATTTCTGAAAGATTTAAGATTCGAAGCGAAATCGGGAAGGAAAAACTTTGATAGGCCCAACTTCTGGGTCGTTTCCGTAATAGTTCAAGATCGAGATGAACTGAGTCATGGCAGAGTACCAGGGAAGGTAGTCCTAAATCATGATTGCTTTTTCGTGGCGGCCTTTTGTTTCACGCTTTATTAGGCTGGCATTGTCTTTTGTGAAAGAATGTCAATAAAGCGAAACTTTTTGAACTAAAAAAAGTTTCATTTTTCCCAAACCATGATCGCTGTTTCGGGGAGATGCTTTTTTTTTTACATTTTCTCGGGTTTGCCTTAAGAGCGCCTTGTATCCCTCATTAGCGAAGTCGGAAAGTGTGGGAAAAGACTTCATAGAAGTTTTTCTTTTAGGGTAACAAAAGTTCCTTTTTTGGTGCCTTTTTGCGCCAATTTATCAGCTCTTATGCACCAATTTTTCTGCCTTTCTTGAGCCTTTAAAATTCCAGAAAAAAAAATGCAAGGCTCGATAAAGGGAATCTTTTTGCTGTCTTTTTGGTGCCTTTCTGCGGCCTTTTTTGAGCATCTCCCTTTTAGCGGCCATTATCCAGTAATCCGATTTTGCCCGAGTGGGAAAGAATGTCATAAAGCACTAAAACAAAAAGTTTAAAAGAGGATTGTTTTACCAACTTTATCTCAAGTTTTGTTAGGCTTGCATGAATGAGGCATAAAAATTTTCAAATTCAAAAAAAAAGAGGTTTGAACAAATAGCTTCAAACTTCTTTTTTTCAAAAAATTTGTTAAAATTGAGCTTTTTGGTGTTTAGAAGATGAGATCTCCCTTTTCCCATTTATATCTCAAGTAGCTATATTTTTGGTAGATTCAAGGATAAACCTTTTCTTTCGGAAGATATTGAACGAAATCGATAGCGTCTTTATAATCGACCAAGTTGGCGGCGGCACATTCAAAGACGTCTTCTATGAGTCGAGCTCGAGTTTTCGTTGAGAACTTCTGAAATTTTATTTTTCCCGTAGATCTCAAAATCCGTTTTTAAGTCGTTTTCAAGGTCGGTTTCTCAATTATCTCTTTTTAAAAAATCCCTAATTTGAATATCGCTTCCAAATTATAAATGTAAGCGCTTTCTAAAACTTCAGATCAAAGTAGGTTCCCATTGATTTTTTTGAATAAATTATATTATTTAAAAAAAGCTGAGTTTCAATTTGAAACAAAGGTTTTTTTGGCAAACTTCATGATCTTTGACCAACAGAGCCCCAATCTTCTTCCACTCGGCGTTTTCGTAGTTGACACGATAAAAACCGAAAGAATCGGCGTTCAGAACAACTGCCGACTTGGTTTTCAAGAAGAGCGGCTCGTCTGAACTTTTCAATAGCTTCGGAACAAGAATAAACGAGAAAGATACCGCGTTTGAGCCAAGCAAACTTGATCTCTTTGTTTCCGGCTTCTTGGTACCACACCGGAACGTCCCATTTGAAACTGAATCAAAGAAGTTGAGAAAAAGAGGACATGATCATTGAGGGACCCATATTTCGGGTTTCTGTATTTCGGTTTCTCCACAGCGTCTTTATTCTTTTTGAACCGTTCTTGGGTCACTTTAATAGTGTTTTCATCTTCACGAGTCACTGTCAGAAGCGGGTAGCCGAGCTAAAAATTGTCGAAATGAACTATTTGAAGATTGTTTTGTGCTGAAACCTGAGTAGTCCACTGCTCGGCGAAATTGATGACATCCAGTTTCCCACCGTTGGGTCCGATTATTGATTCTGGCGTTTTTTTGTTCAGAGCTTCGAACAAGTCGGCGGCCTTGGCGTTACTGTACTTGTGAACATTCAGATAGTGCTGAAAATCGATTCTAAGCTAATTTCCTCTTAATAAGACTTGCATGAAGTCCTTTCTGGAAATTTTCCTCTCCGATGACCTTCTCCAGCATCCGAAGCAATGAGCCACCCTTATACAAGTCTCAATCACATTTTTCAAGCTGGTCAGATCTCACTTTATCGTAGGAAATGGTGTCGAAAGCCTCTCTAACTTCCACGGCCTTGTCGATTTTGAAAGAAAGCGGATGAGTTGAGGCCTGGGAATCGTCGGCCAACGCGTCGGAAATGGAGACTATGACAAAGTTTTCGTCCTAAATATTTTTTCGACTTGTGACGATAAAGCTAGTTTTACACAACAAATATGGGGATAGACATGCATAGTGAGTCTTTCATGCTTTTTTGAATCTCACCATTCGGAAATTCCCATCGCTGATGACATCGGTGCCAGGATATTCGAGAAATGTCGCGAAACCTTCATTTAGCCACAAATCGTCCCACCATTTCATCGTGACCAGATTTCCGAACCACTGAATGAAAAAATGATTCATGAAGTTTCTACATTGCAGATGATCTTGAAAAACCATAAATGATCTTGATCAAAGAAAAGTCTGTGTCAAAACTTGAGCTTCGAAAAAATATCAATATTCGAGAAATGATTACAAAATCTTCAGAAGCTCAATTTTCCGTATAAATGAGGTCGTGGAATTCAAAAAGAAATGTTCACGTTCAACCTTAGGTGATTGAGGATAAAAAAACCCTTTTTCAGTTCTTTTAAAACCGAAAGACCTGATGGGCGAGTTCATGAGCAATCACTTCGGCAACCCGTTTTTTGGCTCCAGGACCGTAGATTTTATCGTCGTAGAGGAGATTGCTTTCTCTGAAAAAAGAGCTGCATGAAACAAAGTTTCCCACTTCCACTTCTCGTTAAAACAAGAAGGAGAAAATGTCAAAATTTATCGTTTTGAATTTTTTATCTACCTGTAGGTAATCAAGCCCCAGTTTTCCATAGCCCCGGACACGAAATCTGGTATGGCGACCATGTCCTGTTTCTCGAGAGGGAACTCGACTCCGTAGTACTCTTCGTAGTACTCGGTGCACTTGACGCCGGCGTCCAGGGCGTACTGTAGCTGGTGTTTCGCTTCGGGACGCGCATAAATCCGGAACTGAAGCATATTTGAGAAGTTGTCAGGGTTCGGGAGGTCGGGACTGACCCTGACTCCATTTTTCGTCTTTTTCTCGACGTAATCGAATTCGGAGACGAAAAGAGCGAGCAAGTAGGACGACATCTTCGGCGTCGTCTTGAACTTGGTCGAGATGAAGTTCTTGTCAACTCTATAAAGTCAGTTTTTAAGAAAATATAATTATAACTTATAACAATCATTATACACACACTCCAATCAAGCTAAAAAAGAAAATTTCGATTTTTTCAATCTTCTGCTCTCATAAGCTGTACCTGGTTTGCATTTGCTTTTAATTTGCTGCAAATACATGTCTCCAATGTGCGCCCGACTCAAAACGGCTTGCGCATGCAGTTATCGAAACGCATTGAAGCAAGCTACTCAATGTCAAGCAAAGAATAGGCCGGGCTTTTTCAAGTGCAATGAGACCGTCCGACTCGTTTCAAAAGCGATCGTTGAGTTTCAATTCAAAACTTTTTTTTTTTGAAGCTTTTTTCAGTCAAAGAAGGACGGGAAAATTTTTGGAAGACTTTAAAATCCCCATAAAAACTCACACAGATTCCTTCTCTTCGATGCCGTTTGCAATGGCTTTGGTGCCTTTTGGATGAATAATTGTCATTGTCCAATTCGCCTGAAATTCTTGTTTCAAAGCAATTTTGAAACATTTCGGAGAAAAATTAGGAAGAAGTAAGTTCAAATTTCTGAAAAAGAAATTCCGAATTCGTAGAACTAAATTTTTCTGGCGTCAGAAGGATTCCGAGTAATAACTTTTCTGTATCTGGAAAAAGAAACGAAGAAAATTCGGTACCTTCAAATCGGGCTCATCAAAACAAGGGACCATTTTCCGGGCGTCAGAAGGTTCCATATGAGTTGTCACCACGTATCTTCAAAGTTCAATTCAAAATCTGCTTTTTTTGAAAAAAAAACTTTTTCTCCCCATTCGAATCTTTATATTCCGAGTAGTAGATTCCAGTGAGATCCTCTCGGAATTTTCCCAAGAAGGAGAGCTAAAAAATAAAACATAGATGAATTACAATGGAAGCGAGAGAGTAGTGACGGGTCGAAGAGAAGCCAGACAGGCAGAGGGACTCTCGTTGTCTCGCTTCTCTACAGGCCGCCGCTACTCTAACTTTGACAAACTGAAAAAAAAGAAACGAAAAAAAGTGGAGATGTTTTTTTAAATTTTCTTAAAGCTCTCAACTCTCTTGACAAATTTGAAATTGAAAAATCATATTATAAATTTATTTTTCTTTAATCAAAGAGTCGGATAAAAAAATTTGCAAAACGACGCTTTTTTTCTGATGATTACATTCATAAGTCTCTAGATTTTTTTGAAGTTTTTTTGTTTTTTTAAAAAAAATATTCAAGAAAAAAATGGTTAAATTACAGAAAAAAATATGAAAAAAATGTCTGAAAGAGGCAGCTTCAAGTTGTGGAAATAATTTCAGTTATTTTTTTAACAAGTCATTTTTTTCAGGTAAAAATCAGCTTTTTTCTTCATAAAGGGAAAAATGAATGGAAAAAAACCCCCACCTCGACGACAGCCACTTGATTTTTCTTCAATAAAAATCAGCCAAATTGATCCGGATCATTTCCAGCTTCTCCAAAGTTTCGATAGATTCAATTGGAATATTTCTTCCATTCTAAAAAAAAATCCTTCTTCTCAAAAAAACTTGTTACTTACAAGAGTAACTGAACTATCAGAAGTTGAAATATCCAATCCCTCAGAATTCAGTGAAATTTGACGAGTTTGCTTTTTCACATTCAACCGGATTTTTATTCGACCATCGAAGCTCATTTTCCGGTTTTCAGGAGTACCCGGGTAGCCGGGGACGTAGGTCTTGATTTTCAGATCGTAGTGATCTGCAAGAAAAAAAATACATATATTGAAATCTTTTCCTCCAGCCGTTTACACAGATCAGCTGTTAGATTCATTTGATTGTATTTGATTGTTTTGATGTATTTTTTTTGTATTTGTCGTGCAGATTGCGGAAAGGCGAATAAACACTTGAAATGAATAAAAGTGAAGGTAAACTCTGTTTTCGTTAAATCGCAAACCGCTACTCCCTGACGTCATTTCATGACACCATTCGTAACACTAGAAATAAGCGTAATCGAAATATTTGGCTATATATTCATTTCTTTCACGTGAACGTGATTCAGCAGATTATTATTATCTCATTTCATCACGTCGACTGGTCGGTCTCTTTGCCGCTCTCTCATGGGATAATATTCCGACGCCCGTCAGCCCTGGACAAGCTGGGCGCTGTACTGTTCCAACATGGTGAAGCAGTTTATTCGTTGGTACTACCAACGGGCCCACATTATTTCCTAACGTTAGCTGTCACTCCGGGACGTATTGGACAACGATTGTGGACCGTCACCCGCGCCGACGACTAACTCTTCGATTATACCATGATTCAGCAGAGATTTTCTTCATCTTACTCTGAAGACTGAATAAATTGAATTTAATTGGAATTGAAATTGAAAAAATTGAAGAATGGGAGGAGCCTGAATTGCGCCTTTGCATTAAAACTGCGCCTACAGGTTCATGCATTACTCAAGAAAATAGGCTTAGTTTTAAGGCTTCACACGGAGGCGGAGCGCGCATAGCGCGAAGCCGACTGTGGCTCGCTTCGAAAAAACTGAGCCACAGTGAAAAAATCGTCAAATAAATGAATAAGGCATTTAGTTTCAAAACGTGGTCACTAATAACACTATCAGGTAGCTCCAAACGATTTGCAAACTTGATACGCTTAGTGAAAAAATCTGTGAAAAAAAAAGAAAAAATTTTAAAGGAGCATTCTATGCGTAAGCGTGGGCCTCGACGCCTCGGATTATTCCAAACCTTTAAAAGGTTTCTAAAAAAAAGTAAGAAAATAAAAAGAATAAAAAAAGTTTTTCCGATCAAAAAGGGGATTTTTCAAGTGTGATATCTTTCTGTTTCTCATGTGACCGGAAAAAGTTTTTCACGTCGAATCTAATTTTATAAATAGGAACGTAAAAAAATGAATAAAATGATATGGCTGCGTGTGCGAATTTTTGCAAATGAAGATGATGTCATAGGGATGACGTCAGGGAGTAGCGGTTTGCGATTTAACGCGAAGTGGTAAACTCCCACCTTAAATTTATAATAATACGAAATAAAAAAATTGAAGGAACAAAGTAAATTAAAAAAATAGTAAGTCCTTTCATGATCGTATTTTTCATTTCGAATATTCTGACCTCTCTGCGCTCTCTTTTCCCTTCCCACTGTTTTCATAAAATATGGAAACAGCACGTAAATGAGAGAGAGCGCAGAGAAGTCACAGCAGTTTCCTAAGGCGACTTCTCTGCGCCCTCCTTGTCTCTCGATAACTCTCTCATGTTGACGTGCTATTCTCACGTTTCTCTGACCTCGCCGGTGAGGGAACACAGAGACGCAGACACTCGAAAACTTTCAAGTTGCAGCCATTAAACTTTAATATGAAATACCTCAAATCTTTTAGTTTTTTCCAAGATTCAAAGAAAAATCAAGTATATCTCACCTGGCTCGACGTTCCGAGGTAGGCGCAAGTCTTCAGCCGAAATTTCAGATGTTGGCTCATTTGAAATCTCAGGATTTTCTTTTTCGGGTTTTCCATCTTCCTCATTGTAATAGGTTAAGGTGCTGTACGAAAAATAGACAAAGTTCGAAAAAGGCAAACTTTCTGTTCAGACTTTGAATGTCAAGCAGCTAACTCCACCCCTGCTGAGACGGCACCTTTTTGCGTCGATGTTTTATCGCGCGAGACGATTTTTTGAACTACAAGATAGAAAAATAAGTCAAAAAAGCAGCCATATTAAAGGAGCATCGTCACGTGCGATAAAACATTGACGCGATATATACTGTAGCCTTGGGGGTGGAGTTATAGTCTTTTCAGATTTTAAATGTCAAGTCCTCGCTGAAGCCCCGCCCCTAATAACGCGATAAACCAATCAGAGAGCGAGCCATCCACAGAGCGATTTCAAATGACGTCATTCTACTTGACATCCAAAATCTGAACATACTATAAATTTAGACAAGAAATTCACCCATTTCTCAGATCAAAAATCGATCCATCGACATTGTAAACGAAAAAGCCGGTGAGGATCACAGCGAAAAGAACCGCCAAAATCGTCACGGCCATACAATTTCCCCAACAGGATGGCTCTGACTTTTTCGGCGGCTTTTCTGTCTGGAAATTTTTGTGTCATGCGCCCGACTCAAAACGACTTAGAAAGAACTGAGAAAAGCCGAAAAAAAGGAAAACTTGCAAAAAGTTTGGCATGATAGTCAAAATAGGGAAGCGGTTGAGCCATCCCAATTTGGAAATGCCGTTTTTCTCAACGTCTAGAAGGGAAAAATATCTTTTTTCGTTTATTTATGGCGTGAAATCTTGTAGAAATCTAATGAAATTAAGATAATAGCTCATCCAAATTTTGCGGAAAAATAAATCAGACCAAATTGCAAAAAATGTCTTCAAAACAGAAAGCTACAATGATTTCCAAGTTGAAAAGACTGAAAAAAATTTCAGTTCGAGAGCATGAGAAACTGTTCACATCCAATAAACGGCATAAACGATGGGAAATTTTTTTGAGTCCAGAACTTTTTTTGAACCTTTTCCAATCGAAGTTTGTATTTTTTAAAGTGGAAAAATAAGAAAAGAGAAGCAGTATGATCTGTCTGCACTCTCTTCTCTCTCGCCGGCGATGGAAAAGAGAGTCCAGAGAAGCCAGACTTCTTCAATTTGCAACAAAAAGTCCGTTTTCTTTTTTCAGAGCTCAAGAAATATAGGAAATGTTCATTACATTGAATGCAAAATTGACAATAGCCGATAAATAATATATAATCTTCGTATGTACAATTATGGCTCGTTGTAGAACCGTACCACCTACCGTGAAATCAGGGGGAAAAGGACAATAAATAAAGTGAATTTCTGGGGGAAGAAGATCATTGGGACTTGAGGAGGAGCTGGGCGAAGTGGTCGGAGAGCTTCTTGAGGTTCTTCTGACGCCAGGCGATCCTCACCGGGGCGCTCTCCAGAATCTCATTGAAGACGTTGTATTCCTTCGTCGAGGGTGTCGAGTCACGGAAGCTTCGCAGCTGCAAGCAAAAACTTACTTTTCAAGCTCTCGCATCGCAATTTTTTTTTTTGAAGTTCACGAACCTGTAACAACTCGGAAGAAGTTCGGATGTTGCTGGCCAAAATGGAGATGATTTTCCGGAAGCCCGACAAGTCTTTCTTCAAGCTGGAATCAAAGAAAAAGTCCAGGAGAACATTTTCGGAGCCTTACCGAACTTGTAGGTCATCCCAGCGGCTGATCAAAAAGTTCAGGAAGAATTCTTTGCTGAGGTCGTTGCTTCCAACGGCGGAGAACACGCTGGCCGTGTCTTGCAGTCGGAAATCGCTCTTCTTGTCATTCATGGCGTTCAGAAGGAGTCTGCAAAGTGCTGACTCGTGTTCTTTCATCGTGTCTCAGAAAAAGTCTTTCTCGTCTCGAAATTCTTGAGACGATTTCAAAACGAAAATGTCGGTTTTAAGGTCAAAATTGCGATTATTTGAGCTTTTTTTTTCTCGAAATCTCGATGGGCTCGTCTCGATTACAGAAAAGCCCGTCTGGAACAACTATAGTCTATAGTGACAAAATTCTACTCTCGCGAGGCTGCATTTTCAAGCAAACTAGCGGAAGTTGCTAAAGCTCTGGCGCAGCTTTAGGCGAAGCACCAGGATCAGAACTCTTTGTTCAACCTTGAAACTAGGCCCATTTTGTTCTCCATTAAAAAAATTTCTTATTGTATTCACTTATTTTCTCTGTTCTTTTTCTTCAAGTTCTTCTCAAATTGATGCCTTTTTAAAAGCCTCAAAGAAATGAATCAAACTTCTTCAAGGTCGGAATATCGTCCAAACAGGCCATTCCTCTCAGCAAGTTCTCCTTTTCACGCTGGACATCTTCGATTCGGTACCATTCGAAAACCTGGAAAAGTATTTCTTTTTCTTGTTTTGTCCAAAAAGTCCTTGAAGATTTTTTAGAAGTTACGCAAAAATCTTCCCATTAGTTTACGAGAGATGTATCTAATATTCAGCATGTTGTCGGAGCGGTTTTTTCAAGCTATACCTGATTGAAAGCCTTGATACCGCCATTTTTCACTCCATAACAGTAGACGGAAGGTCTAAGTGGTGCCGCAAGTCTGAAATTTCAGCGTTTCAGAAAAAAAACAGCGGAGTTTGAAAGACTTGTTGCAAGTTGAAGTCTTGTTTCCCTCGCCCTTGCAATTCGGCTCGACTTCGTTTTTGAATAAAGCCGTGGCGTTTCCGACGCAATCGACGTCGCCGAGGGCGCATTCCGTCGACATCGTTTGGGTCATCAGTTGCCTGAAATTCCAGTTTCAAAAAGTTCTATTATTCAGAAGAATCGGTTTTATCGGTAATATATAAAGCTTGCATTTAGATCCGGTTTGGAATCCGAACATTTTCAGACCAAAACCTTTTAGACACTTTCCCAATAGTCGTACTCCGTGTGTTAAAAACCCAAATTTTGTTGAAGCTTGGAGAATTTTTCTATATCTGAGACCGTATGCAATAAATTGACTGCGCAGTTTTCCTGAATATTAGGAAGGCCTCAAAATCTCTTTAATTGATTAATTTCGATCTTTTCCTGTTTAGAAAGGCTTTTTTATAATATTAGGATAAGGAAGAACAATTGAAAAAGACTTTTTTTTTTGAGTTTCTTGAAAATCTTCATCTACTTTATTGAACACTGCCATTTGGAAAATAGCTATTTTATAGAAAAAAAGTTTGGTTAGGCTGTATATTTTTTATAGGGTTATAATAGCCCAGTCTAAGCCTCTAGCCTGTATTCCAGAGAATTGAACAGAATTTCTTCCCCGTACAAGTTATCTGTCAAAAGTAAATGTAAGACTTCGAAAAAATTCCAGGACCTCTGATTTTTTTTTTCTTGCTTGAGTATCGTCTGGAAAAACCGGAATCGTGAAAAAACAACTTTTTCTTTTTATTAATTGATAGAATTAGAAAAATGAGCTTTGAGAAGAAGAAAAAAACGAACACTTGGAAGAACTCCTTGTCGTCCTTGTAGTTCTTGGCCAGAAGGTCGAAGCTGCTGGCGGCGTAGTTTGTGGACAAAAGTTGGAGAAGATATTTCTGAAAAAAATGGAATAAAACAAGTATTTTATCAAAAAAAACCTTGACGGGCTCAACTTCGGGATCGCTACCGTAATAACTGAGGATGGCGTGAAACTCGTTGAAAGCCGTGTTCCAGGGAAGGTAATCCTGGTATTTTTGATTATTCAACTTGAAGTCGTATTAAAAAGTCAAAGAACAGAAGAAAAATGATAGGAAAATTGGTATAGTTCCACAATTTGTCCCACTCAATGCATTAGAATTCGTCATTGTTTGAAAAAATTCTGGAGATTTGACTGAAAAATTGGAATATTTCGTCATTTTTTCTTACCCAAGACCTTCAAAATCATCATTTTTTGAATATTCCTGGAGACTCGACGAAAAATCCAAAAATTTCATGATCTCAACCTACTCATAAACCTCATTTTTCGATAAGCAAAGCTCAAAATTTTAGACTTTACCAATTTTGGTGGTTCCTTTGACTTTGCGTCAATTTGTGAGAGGAAAAGACAATTTGAGCCTTTTGAAGCGTTTTTTTCTCTACATAAAAAGATTTTGAGCCAATTTTAACAGAATTTCCTGATCAAACGTGAAATATCATTGAGAGGTAATGCTTATACTTTAAACTTTTAGATTTTGATATCTATCCTCTCGAAAACCTGCTCAAAATTCTTATTTTTCTGGAAAAAGGCTCAAAATGGCTGTTTCATTAAGTGTGTTCTTGAAGGAGGTTGAAATTTGACTCCACAAAAACTTCAAGAAACAGCAATCAATTTCATAATTCATTTTTCGCAACTCCTGATTTACCTTTTCTTTGGATAGATACTGAATGAAGTCTATAGCAACATCATAGTCGACCAAATCGACGACGGCGCATCTGAAGACGTCTTCACCGAGACGAGCTCGCGTTTTCGTCGAGAATTTCTGAAAATCTCACGTTTGTTCCAATATTCGGCGCGATTGGAAACTGTCTCGTTTCTCTGCGCTCTCTTTCTTTCTGTTAGCATCACCATGTCGGTAAGAGAAAAGAGAGCGCAGAGAGGTCAGACTGTTTCAAGCCTTATTTATTGGGCTGGTTGGAAACGTCAGAGTGGTCCCTAGAGGGGTTAGTGGGGAAAAAAGAGCCACTAGGAGACAGAATAGTGTTCCCTAGAGGGCTCAAATTAAGGTGATCTCTTTTTTTTCACAACAGTTACTTGGAATAAAATCACGAAGGTTTATTTCCTCCCATATTTCCTCTAGGGTCCCCCAGAATTCTGCCCTAGAGGGGTCAAATTTCCTGTAGGGTCCACCAGCATTCTGCCCTGCCCTAGAGTGGCCAATTTTGGAAGCTTTAAAGGAGGAGGTAAAATGGAGTCTAGAGGGGTCCCTTAAATAATCCCTGAGGTTGCCCCTCTGCGGACCACTCTAACGTTCCTGAACTCCGACAAACTTCATGATCCTTGACCAGTAGAGCCCCGATCTTCTGCCACTCCGCGTCCTCATAATTTACTCGGTAAAATCCGAAAGAATCTGCGTTCACGACTACCGAGTCCTTCGACTTCAAGTAGAGTGGCTCATCTGAAAATTCCTCTTTCGAATTATATTTTAAAAGTAATTGAAAAACCTCGCTTGAGCCAGGCAAACTTGATCTCATCCGTTCCGGCTTCCTGGTACCACACCGGGACGTCCCATTTGAAACTGAATGGAAGACATTTTGAAAAAGAGGACATAATCATTGGATAAACCCATATTTCGGATTCCGATACTTGAGCTTTTCCAGGGCGTTTTTATTTTGTTTGAATCGTTCTTGGGTCACTTTGATGGTACTGTCGTTGAAGCGGCTGACAGTCAAGAGCGGGTAGCCGAGCTGAAAAAAGTAAAGTTGTGAAAAAAAGAGATCACCTTAATTTGAGCTCTCTAGGGAAACCTATTTTGAAATAAATATTTATAATACGAATATATTTTTGCGTTCTTTAAAAAAAGACACAAGTGAACTAGCTTCATGATTGAATAATGAATTTTTTCGGTGCACCAGAAAAAAATCTAAAAATCTGAAAGGTTTCAATCCAATTTTTGACTGTTCAAAGCTACGTTGAGGAAATTTAAGAAGCAGTTTTGAAGAGGTCCCTTAAGAGTACTCAACAGTCGCTACAGAAAACCCTTGTATTTGATTCAAACTACTCGGGCCTCGGTAAAGTAGGGGTCTCGGTAACGTAAATCGGACGCGCTCTGGACGTTATTGAGAAGTTCTAGGGACCCCTTTGAGAGCGCTGACGCCGCTAAAGTGGCCACTAGAAATGCCCCCGGTTTGAATTTTAAGCGTCTGAGTGGCTTTTTAACGAGGTAAAAATTTTTTTGTTCTAGATCCTTTCTATTGTAATAAACTTAATTATTAGTATTTAAAAAAATTAAATTTTAAAAAAATTGGAAGAGTTGCACACAACACGGCAAAAAAACCGATCAAAGCAATTTCTTAAGCTCAAGCAGTCCCTATAGGGTATCTCTATTTTTCGTCCAGATTTCCAAATTAAAAAGAAAAACTTAATCAGATAATCCTCTATCGACAATTTTTATTCAAATAACGTTAATTAATCAAGTTTTTCGCATGGAAAAAGGCTCTTCTCATAGAGTTTATGACCTGTAGGTGTTAGTAAAGTGGTCCCTAGAGGGAAACTTTCAAGGACCCCTAAAGTTGCCCCCTACGGGGACCCATCTGGAGTTGCTAGGTTCCCAACCTGGCTAGTCCACTGCTCGGCGAATTTCACAACGTCCAGCTTCTCCCCATTGGGTCCAATAACGGAATCTGGCGTTTTTTCGTTCAGAGCCGTGAACAAGTCGACGGCCTTGGCGTTGCTGTACTTGTGGACATTCAGATAGTGCTGAAAATCTATGTTAAATCGTTTTTTTCTTCTGAAAACTTGCTTGAAGTCCCTCCTGGAAGTTTTTCTCGCCGATGACCTTCCTCAGCATCCGAAGCACGGAGCCACCCTGAATATATCTTTTTAGATAATTCGAGAATGAAAAATCCAACCTTATCATAGGAAATCTTATCAAAAGCTTCGTCGACTTCCATCGCCTTGTCGATTTTAAAGGAAAGCGGATGAGTCGAGGCCTTCGAATCGTACGCCAAGGCGCCAGCCAGGGAGTTGATCACGAAGAACTCGTCCTAATTTTAGAAATATTGAAACTGGAATGTTAGGAATCTTCCAAACCATTCTGAAGTTTCCACTGCTGATGACGTCAGTTCCGCTGTACTCGACGAGGGTCGCGAAACCTTCATTGAGCCACAAATCGTCCCACCATTTCATCGTGACCAGATTTCCGAACCACTACAGTTTATTTTTCAGAAGCAGTTTGGGTAGTAGATGACCGACCTGATGGGCGAGTTCATGAGCAATCACGAGGGCTACACGTTGCTTGGCTCCAGGATTGTATATGTTCTCGTCATAAAGAAGGGAGTTTTCTCTGGAAATAAACATGAAAGTTTATTCACCAGTCACTGGGTAGCTTGATCTCGGGTTTAAAAAAACTTATCAATCAAAATTTTTCTCCCATTTTCTACTTCTATTGAACACTTCTGACCTACACGACTCAGGCATTCGCAAAAAACTTCAATTTTACCTGCTTAAGCCCATTTACGCTGCGTAAACGCTCGCCCATATAGCCTCAAGGCAGTCTAGAATAGACCCGAACCCATTTTGATAAAATTCCCAAGGCATGTCCATTTTTACTTCTCTTCCAACTGTACAATTTCTTCATGCCAAACCACTTCTCTCACCTGTAGGTAATTAATCCCCAGTTTTCCATGGCTCCCGCCGCGAAATCGGGAATGGCGACCATGTCCTGTTTCTCGAGAGGGAACTCGACTCCGTAGTACTCTTCGTAGTACTCGGTGCACTTGACGCCGGCGTTCAGGGCGTACTGTAGCTGGTGTTTCGCTTCGGGACGCGCATAAATCCGGAACTGAAGCCCATTGAGAAGTTGGGAGGGTTGGGTAGGTCGGGACTGACCCTGACTCCATTTTTCGTCTTTTTCTCGACGTAATCGAATTCGGAGACGAAAAGAGCGAGCAAGTAGGACGACATCTTCGGCGTCGTCTTGAACTTGGTCGAGATGAAGTTTTCATCAACACTGAAGAAAAACAAGATACTAGTTATTTCGAAGCAACTTTTCAAGGTTCCAAGGGAACATCATAGATAAAAGGAACAATAATTAATTGAGAAACAGTTTTTTTTCTAGTAATTGTTTCTGACAAACCAGGCTTTTGCATGTCGAAATTTAGTCTGTTCAGATTTCGAATTTCAATTGGAATGACGTCATTCCAAAAAGCTCTGTGAATGGCTCGTTCTCTGATTGGTTCATCATGCCATTAGGGGCGGAGCTTGAACGACGACTTGAAATTCAAAATCTGAAAGCACTCAGCAAACTGTTGTGATCATTTTAGATTACCAGCAAATTGAAAAATTCTCGAAAAAGTTCCACAAAATGAAAACTCCGGAATGATTTGAAAAAATGGTTTCCGAGCATTTTTAAACTCACGTAGACTCGCTTTCCTCGATTCCGTTGGAAATGGCTTTGGTGCCAGTTGGATGAATTACAGTAACTGTCCAGTTGGCCTAAAAAAAATTTTTGAGATTTGGATTTGGAAAAAATTTACTGGATACACAAAAAAGGACATTGAAAAAAGAATAAGAGGGAATCTGCTTGAAGGCTTAAAAAAATTTTTATATTCTTATTAGACTTTTTCTCATTTTTTTCCATTTTTGGTTTATTATTGGAAACCCACCTTGAAATCGGGTTCATCAAAGCATGGGACCATTTTTCCTGGCTTCAGTGGGCTCCATCTGAGTAGCGATGGCGTATCTTTTAAAAAAATTCATAAATTTAATTTTTCAAATGGATTTCAAAAAAACTTCATTTTTCCCGTCAGATTCAGTGTACTCCGTGCAGTAAATACCATTGAGGTCGTCTCGGAATTTGCCAAAAAAAGAAAAGCTCAAAAATAAAGTTTTTTTATTTTTTTAAATTAACGATTTTTCCTCTCACCTTGACCTCAGCTTCTTGATTTTCTGGCAAAGCTTCGCCCAGGTTGATGTAGACCTTCTCAAACTTTTCCGTTTGTTCGATCGATTCAATCGGGATATTTACCCCATTCTGAATTTTTTACATCCTTCAAATACTTTCTGAAAAGCCTACAGAAGTAACTGAACACTTGGCAGTTGTGTAGTTCAACTGGACAGAACTCAAGGAAATTTTCCGAACACGTTGTTTCACATTCATCCTGATTTTCACTTGACCGTCGAAGCTCATTTTCCGGTCTTCAGGAGTACCCGGATAGCCAGGAACGTATGTTTTGATTGTCAGATCGTAGTGAACTGCAAAAATATGTATAAGAAGGCTTTCAATCGACCCTCTGACCTGGCTCGACACTCCGAGGAAGCCGCAAATCTTCCGCCGATACGTCCGACGTCGAATCCACTGGCTCCACAGTTCCATCTCCATCTTCATTGGGATAGTTCAACCTTCAAACAAATCGAAAATCGAAATTTGAAAAAAAGGGAAAAAGGAGTCTAAATTCAAAAAAGTTACAAAACGTTTGAAAATTTTGAACTGGAGTTTGAAACGCAACGGGGCGACTCTTAATAAGCGCCTAGTATATGCAAAAGCCAACTCTGCTTAAACAACCCAATTAAGAATGAAAATAACAAAAAAATCGAAAAAAGTTGGGCAAAGTGACGAAAATGAGGTGTTTTGGATTTTTTGGAATACGAGGCAGAAAGTACGCTCTACGGCTAACAACAAAACTTTTAATTTTTTTTTTGATTTTTAATTTTACCTTAAAGTTTTCTTGGCCAATTCTTTATAGTGTTCCGATTAGGAAACGTAACGTCGTGTAATAAAAAATTTGCGCTAAACGATCATGCATGTAACACGTTAATTTCCTGCTTTTATTGGATTCTTCTCATTTTTATTTGAATTTTTCAGGGTTCATCAGACTCACCCAGATTTCCCGGTCAGTGTCACTCGCGTAACATTGTAGGTGACGAGGCCAGTGATGATCACAGCAAATAAAACCGCCAAAATCGCCACGGCAATGGATTTTTTCGTGCAAAACGGCTGCGGCTTTTCAGGTGGCGTACCCATCTTTAAATATTAATGATTTTTTTCTAAATAAAAAAATTTGGAGGTGTTTGATCGACAATTTAGTTTTTCTATTTCCTATATAGTTTGGTAGGCGTGGGCGAGACGGAGAACAGTGGCTGAGAGGTAAACAAAATAAAGATGAAAAATATAACATAATGGAGATAATTAATAAAAATTAGAGGAGGGGTCTCTGAGGATCTGCATTTCTTGAAATAGAAATTTTTGGAAGAAAAAAATTGGACCTGTTTGAAAATATAAACTTTGTGAATAAAGGTGAAACGACTTGACAGAATAAAAAAGTGTAAAACCTTTATTTTTGATTAAAATGAACAAGGAACCTTTTTCCGAGTTCCGAAATCCTTTAAAATTGATCCCAGATGAGAAAATCTTCCAAAAGTTGTAACCATCTGTTGTCGCTTTATTTCTTTTTTTGTTTAAATTTTTTTCCCTTGTTTCTTGAAAATATTTCTTCTTTTTCTGTTTAATAAAAAAACAATGTTTTATTGATAAATAGACATAAAATGCCGTCAAAAATAGAATCTATTTTTTTGCAACAAAAAAAGCGTTTGAAAAACGAACCAAAATCATTATGCTAGAGCTTAAATGATCATGTTACACGAAATAATTGACCAAATCGGTAAATGAACCTGCAGTTTCAATGGCTAGATCAAAGCTCACAGGCGCTGTACCAAGTCGATTCTTTTTGAATAAACGTGTGTCTACTGGAGTAAAACGGAACAGCTTCATTCAAAAAAGGATCTTCTAAAGGTTCCCAGAAGATCTTTTTTATTTCACTTTTGCGTCTTTTCCCCAACTTTTGGTGAAAAGGATGCTGGAAAGCAACTGAAAAGATTCCAGAGGGTTCAAAAAAGGTCCTCTGAGGCAATGAAAAAGGTGCTCAAAAGCTATTTTCCCATCATTTTGGGAGCTTCGAATCTTTACAAATCTTTTTGAGATACATTCAAGTAATTTTGCCGTTTCACTTGTGTATAGTCAATTTTCCGTGGCTTGAAAGGCAATGGGTAGATTGGCAAGGGTGACGCGTTGCGTGTGCGACGCGGCTTTTGGAGAGGAACTCCAGGTCAAAGGTAATCGTAAAAATGTAGAAAAAAGAAAGTTCTTGTTATTTAATTCGTTAACTTAATCTTTTAAAACCAATAAAAAATCAAAATGTATTGAAAAACTGTCAAAAAAGCGGCTCGCTTTTGAACTCTAGTTCCCCGCCAAAAGCCGCGTCGCACACGCAACGCGCCACTCTTGCCAATCAACAAATCTCGCCTTTCAAATCGAGAAGAATTGATTATATTGATATTGACTTTGAAGTAAATGAGAAAAACCTGATAAATAGTGCCATACTCGGAATGTACGGAAGCCATGGGACGCGGTCGGACGCTCAGACTGTTCATCACTCACTATCACTCATATCTTATGTAAACACCCTCTTCGTATAGTGTTATTTTTGCCGTTCCGGTCCCTTTTTGTACAATTTTTTTTTCCTCAGAAGCTTTTTTCGAGTATCGGTTTCCTATATGTTCTTCCCAAATGATTCTAAAGCATGTTTTTCGACTCAAAGCTCACAAAAATAAACGTGAGAATGATAGAAAAAGCCAAGAAAGCAAGATTCAATAATCAAAAAAAAGTGTTCAAAAAGCGACAGAGAAATAAAAATTGATGTTTTCTTCACTTTTTTTGGGTTTAGACAGAACTGGCGGGCCAAAAAACAAACGAATCCTCTGTTACGATCGTCTTAACAACTAAAGACCCCCAAAAAAACACTCGTCTCGTGTACTCATAACAAAAAATCGAACTGAAAACATAATTTAAGAACACATATTTAGTTTTTTTTTCTTTTTTTGAACGTGATTGTGGTTTTTTTCAACTTGAACCGCAGAAAAAAACCTAAGAAAACTTCAAGTTGTGCTACAGGAAAGTTAAATCCCGATGAATGAAGAACAAAGCGTTAAAAAAACAGTTTTTTTATTTTTTTATTCTCGACTTACTAAAATTCAACCGAATTCAAAAAAAAACCTACCATTCGAAAACCCATTCAAATTTTCGCAGGGCAAAATACGGTGAAAAAAGTTTTTGATGCCAAAAAAAAAGAAGGTCGTAAATATCAACGAGATGGCGAGGATTATCGTCGAATGCATTCAATAAATAAACCCGAAACCACAATTTTGTATTCAAAACGCGATTTTTGTCCTTTTGAAAGTTCATGGGATGGTGAAAGGGCTGGGGAAGGGTTTTCAAAGAACTCTAGATTTTGGAAATCGGGGTATAACTTCATGAAGCCTCGTTTATGAAACTTCTGGGGAATCGTGATAAAATCAAGTTTTAATCAGTAGAAATGCCTAGTGAGAAACTCTTCAAAATTAAAAGACACTGACTCAAACTTGGCAAAAAAAGTAAGTCATGAATATTTTTTAGAACTCAAAAGCCCATGGCCGCACGTGGAATGGCTCAGAATTAGAAAAATTTCGAACTTGGAAAGCTCTAACAATTTCCGATGTCCTCGAGCGCAAGCCGTTTTGGGTCGGACGCACTTTGTAGCAACTTCCAGGTGTCAAGCCATCCCACATGTGTACAAGCGCATAAATATTTCAGATCTATGTTTAAACCTCCGGAAAATCTTGACCAATGAGCAAAAAGATAAGACAGCTTTGCAGAAGCTGTCAGAAAATGAAGCAAAAAATGTCTGGAAAGAGTCCTGAGAAGTCCTAAAGCCTTGGGGAATCAACTTTACCCATATCCAGGGTAAGAAACTTGAGAAAATAACGGAAAGAGTAGCGTAGAAGGTTTTCAATTGTTTTAAAATATGCCTTTTTTACTTTAATAATGTGAGAAAGTTGTGGAAAAAGGGGTGAACTGTTAACTAGAAAGAAGAAGAAGAATAAAAACATAGTTTTTAAATAGAAATAAACAGTTTTGATTAAAATAAAGCTGGGAAACTACTTGAGGGGAAAAAATAAGCATCATAAGTCAGATTTCTATCATATTTTCATCTCCAAAAATCAAAAAAAAAATCTCGTGAAACCGATTGATAGGAAGATAGGTGGTCGATAGTCCATAAAAAGATCATAGGTCAAACTTTCACCATTTTTTTGACCTCCAAACAATTTTCTGATAAGAAAAAAATATAAAAAAATAATAAACAGATTGAAAATAGATGGACAGGAGCCCATGGAGCCCTGGTGATGAACAGAAAATTTGAGTGAGTGTATGTATTTGTGCGAAGATTCGGCGAGCCCCCCGAAAGCGGATTAGCCGCCGCGACCACAGGACCAGGGGGTCAGTCTCCCGAAATCAAATCGCCTTTTTTCCCAACCGTTTCGGCCTGTTTTTCCTTTGGTCTCATGGTTAATTCGACTCGAAATAGAATCCAAAAAGTGCTCGGATTGAACGGTTTAGGGTCTCAAAGTGCGGTGGAACTTTGCTCAGGGTTGAGAGAAGAAGATTTAAAAAAAAACGTAATAACTGAAATTTGGAAAAGTATTCAATTTGCACAATCTTTTAGGGTATTAAAAATGACCAATCCAGGTAATTTGAAAAAAAAAATTGAGTTTTATACTCATTCAGAACGACTCCGAAATATCAGTTCGCTCTACTGGGAAAACTTCTAGGGACCACTTTAGGGTTTTGACGTTTAAGTGATCACTATAGTAGTCGAATTAGTGGCTGCAGTTCAGTGGCCTCTCTAGAAATCTACTTGTTACTAATAGAATACTAAAAACCACTGAATAGGCCACTAAAACGCAAAAAGGGGCTTCTATAGAGGTAGTTTTAGTAGCCATTTTAGCGTCCTCTCCAAGTAGTCCTTGAGCAACCTCTTAAGGGGCAACAGAGTTTTTTTTTCCCTTCAATAAGCTCTTTTCTTTCATGTATTACGTGAACAGTGAGAGAAAAGAGGGCGCAGAAAGGCTAGATCCGAAAATGGTAGGGACCATTCCTAACCATTTTTATGAATGATCAGATTTTTTAGGGTTTTATAGGATGTTTAAAAACTCAATCATAGGATTGAACTAACAAATAAGCATAAATTATTTAAATTTCAAGTTTAATCGAAGAAGCAGATGTTGCAAGCTCAAAGATTTTTCTTCGGACAACAGTTGAAAATTATCATTTTCTAACTGAAATTTAAGAAAATGAGTAACTAACAAACCTCACGTATGAAATTGAATAATTTCTGAAGAAGCCACGAAATTTCGGCTTTCAAACTCATCGAGAAGAAATATTACAAAGAAAACGTTTTCGATTGATCAATGAAATTGTCTGGGAATGGGAACGATAAATTGATTGTTTCATTTCTTTTCCTTTGAGAGATAAATCTCCTTATTCCTGTAACTTGTCCTTTTCTTAAGTTTTCAAGCTTTTTGGTCTCATTTGATATTGTAGAGCAGACTGAACTTTTTACAAATTTTGAAAAGTGTAAACAATAAGTTTTTGAGTATATCAAGGTTAGAATAAGAAAGAAAAGGAATAAAAAAAACCAAAAATTCACAGAAATTCAATGAAAAAAACTGTACAAGAACACGGCGTTCATTTTTTCGAATTCGAACATTTCATCGTTTTTTTTCGGCGTCTTTTTATTTCCTTCTATTGTGGCCTGATGTATTGAACGAAAACGGGTCATCTGTGGCGATTCTTTTTTGAGACAATCATCAAAATGAAAAAGGAAAACTCGATTCTTGATGACTTATTTCAAGAAATAGGGGCTAGGTGGGAAGTTACTGCAACAGTTTTGCATGTCAATAAACAATTTAGAACTTTTTAGTTTTATTTTTCTCTTGGAAATGAGTTTTTTGAATGGCTTTTTGTAGCTTTAAAAAAAAGGTAATGGGATATTTTATTTAACATGTTTTGTCACGAACGCTTTAAAGAAACTTTTCTTGCCCAAATTTCTCTCACAGATTCCTTTGAGAGCTTATTTTGTCTTTTACACCAAAGAAATATGCTCAAAATCCAGAAAAAGAGACCCTGGATGCATCCGATGTTTCAGGAAAAACAAACGTTTTTCGGGTTGCTTTTTTAAATCTTTTTTTGACCTCTCTCTGCCGCAAAAAACACCGAAAAAACGATAACAGCCAAAAAAACATGAAAATATCGGAAAACGATTTGAAGAAATCCTTGAAGCCAGAAAAGAATTGAAGCTGGAAACGGGCGGCGTCTGCAAAATGCGGAACCAAGGTGGAAATTTATGAATGCGATACTTGGCGTGACCGAAGACGGATCGTCGTCGTCGCGAATCAGAAAACAAGTGTCTTTTCAGACACCTTCCCGGCCTGCAGACGTCGCCGCCCCGAGGAGTCCTATGCGTGCCGCGCTCCCTTGGCTCTCATAGGTCCTGTGGTGTAGTGGTTATCACGTCTGCTTCACACGCAGAAGGTCGCCGGTTCGATCCCGGCCAGGACCTATTTCTTTTTGCTTTTTTTTAATTTATCGTTCTTGATCGTCTTTTGCTCTGTTTTCGCTATGAAAATTTTTATCTCGAAGCAAATAACTGAGACATCAAACGCATAGGCACGTCGATTACAATTAAAAAGAGAAACTCGATAAAAAATGTGAAGGCCGTCGAAACCATACAAAAATGTGATAAGGCTGAGAGAAGCTGGGAAATGAGATCAATTTTTCTACTTTTGGAAACGATTTTTTTGAAAAATGAAGAAAGAAAGGAGAAAAAGTTAAACACGAATCGATAGAAGGCAGGTTTCCGCCACAGTTGTCCCTCAATGTGGGGCGAGAACACTTCGGGCACGCGGGATTGGCGGATTACGGTAGAAGCTGGGTTACTGTAGAAGCTGAGAGGAGAAGCCGAGCTGTTAGGTGTAGAAGGTACGGAGAAAAAGTCGAGGAAATCCCAGTTTTTCAAAAAAATTTCTAAACTTGAAATTTTCCTTTAATTTCCCCAGTGTGAACACTTTTCAACCCAAAGCAACTATAGAAAGCGATTTTCAAAAATAGCAAAAAATACAAAAAAAAAAGAAAAGAAAAAAAGGCATCTTAACAATCGAATAAAAAAAATCCCGGAGCACGAAATCATCTCGAAACAATCAAATGTTCGTTTTTCTCTGATTCAGCATTATAAGGCACGATAATTGCTGCGGACAACTGTGGAAACAGATCCCATAACGGCGAAGAAGGCAGAAAAAGGAGGACAGTTTTGAGAGAAGGGGTTTTGGCGTTTTTTGAAGGTTCAGGGACCTTTTTTGGAGAGTTTTCATGGTTTACATACTCAGGCAAAGTCGGAATGGTGGGTAATGGCCGCTACAAGGGAGAGACTCGAAAAAGGCTGCAGAAAGATTCCTTTATCGAGCCTTCCATTTTTTGGGGTTTTCAAGAAATGCTGGGAGAAGGTAGAGGCAGCAAAAATGGTGCAAAAAGGCCGAGAAAACCGCACAAAAATGGAGCCTTTTTCCAGCCTTTCCGACTTTGTCTATGTACCTTTTTGAGATCGCCTGAAACCTCAAAAACAAAAATTTGAAATAATGGAACTTCTTATGGAGCTCCTCTTTAGAAATCTAAAGATATATAGAAAACTTAGTACTCTCGCAAAGAAAAAAAAATTCAAAGTGGAAACGATAGAAAATCAAAATCTGCGCGGAATTGAGCTTTTCCAGCAAGAAGGTGGTACTTTTTACCTTTTCTTCCTGTAATTTTTTTATTTTTGATTTTTTTAATGAATTCTCGAAAAAGATCCCTGAAACTAGAGAAACGCCAAAAACCCCTTCATCTAGTAAAAAAAGGAGAGAAAACGATCAAAAAGAATCAAAAAGTTGACTTTTCCATGCGTCGTTGTTCGGCCATCTGTAAGTATTTCCCATTAATCAAATCTCTTTTCAAAAAAACAAATAATAAAATATTTATAAACTGAAAAGTGCCATAAAAAAAGAAGAAACGAACAACACCAAAGCATACACTTTTTCTTTCTAAAAAAACTCATAATATTATTGGTATGAAAAGCTCGATATTCATGTACAATTTGAAGAAGAAAAAATATCACATTAAGGGCAAAAAAGGGAAAAGAATAACTGAGAAAACTCGTTCGCGACAAATTTCAAGGCAAACATTCTTGGTCTCAAAAAGAATCTTTTTTCACGATTATTATGACGTTATAAGCACGGATATTAGAAGTAGGAATAAAGCTTCTCTCCCGAAAGAAATACATAGACCTACGACTTGAATTGAGGGAAAAAAGAGTACAACCACCAATCGGAATAGCCACCAAATCACAACAATCAGAAACGATATTCATTGGAGGTTCTGAACCGAAAAAATAACAACGAAAAATTGAGAAAAATCAGTTCAGAACCTACAAAACTACATCACAACAGTTCATTACAGAAGCAAAACCGAGGCTTCTAAAGGAGAAGATTCTAGAAATCTTTAAAAAAATCATACCGAAAAATCTAGAAATTTTTGCAATTCTTCTACTGAAATCAACCTCAATTTTCGAAATTTTTCTATTTATCTCATGAAAAAAAGACAAGATTTTTCCGTGAAATGAACCATCAGATGTGAAAAGGTCATATGCTTTTTTTAGGCAAAAAAATCATGATTTACTTCTCATTTTATAGTTAAAATATCTGCGAAACGTTTTTTTCCGACGCAAAAAGTAATTTGCACGTGGCCTAAGACGTTCAAGCTTGCAGAAGGCGGCAAAAAAAGGAAGAAATTTCGCCCGAAAAAAGCTATTCGCAGACAGGCCACGCCCCCAACTAGCCGTGAATCGGCTTTGATCTAGAATTTTGAGTATTCATGCAAAAGATCTTCTTCACGTCAAAGAATAATTAAAAATGAAGAAAAAGGGCTTTTTTCAGGCGAAAGTGTTGAAAAAAAGGGTGAAGGAAGACGCACGGAAGCGTTACGAGTTGAGGCCGAGGGCGTTCATCAGCTTGTTCTTGAGGCCGGTCTGCGACTGGCTGCTGGTCATGGCGGATCGAGGGGCCGTCACCGAGGCGCCCATCATCGACGCCGTCATTTCGTCGACGTTGGCCGTCCTTCCGAACGGCTCTTGCTGCAAAAAATAACGACACGATACGGCAATTGGCGCAGAGATCCATCCTATTTCTTCAGCGAGGGAAAAGGCTAGATTATTCTAGAGTTGGTGGGTTTCCCGAAATCCAAGTTTTTTAAATTTTATTAGTCTGTGTGCCACGACTTGAAATTTCACCGAACGACATTCCGCTGTTCCGCTGAGTGCGCTCGCGAAGCGTCTTTCGAATCTAGGTAAAGCTTTCAATTGATTGTTATTGCTGTAGAAGCACATGAAAATAAAAGTAACTTAATTATAGAAAAAATTTAAAAGCGCGACCAAGGTTCGCAAAGGCGCGCAGCGGCACAGCGGAATGTCGTTCCGTGAAATTCCAAGTCGCGGTACACAGGCTATAACTGAAGAAGCCCTACTCAACTTCGAAAAGTTCAAAAAACGCCGGTTCAGGCTATTTCTTTACAAATTTCTTTTTTGATTTTTGGTTTACAGAATCTTCACCCTTATCAGGAGGCCGATTTTCATGAATTCCTAAAAAAAAATCAAAAAACCTGATATTGTTTGAGGTTCAAAAAAAATCATAAATCTTCAAAATTCACTCGATTTTGGTAATTCTAGCACATATGAAGAAGAAACTTCCGATTTTTAATAATTTTTCTAACCCAAAACCACGAGGAAACCCACCAACTTCCCTATGAAAAAATCCTTTTGATCTTTTCAGAAAACTATCCTCCTTTCTACCAAACCTAGAAACAAGAAATAAATTAAATACCGAATTAAAGACGTAATTCTACCGAAAGTCAATTTGAAATAAGTAAAGGAACTGAAACAGCACAACGATATAATGACGGGAGTTGCGGCCAATCACACCAAAATCTCACCAACAAAAAAGAGAAAGCTCAATTCAAATGATGCAGGCAGCCATTTCGGGGAAGTTTAAAAATTAATTTTATCGATTGAAAATAATTCAAATTTTTCCATTTTCTACACAATCTAACCAATTTTTTTCTAGTACAATACGAACACGCGTTCACATATTTTTTTGAGAAAAAAAATCGGAAACAAGGATTTTGTGCGCTAACGACCACTCAAGTGTGCCTCTGCTGCGGTGCTGTCTATTTTTGTTGCCTAGGGCGCGGAAAAATGGGCGGGGCTTCAATGTTGAGAATGTGAATCATCAGAAGCTTCTCCCATTTAAATCGGTGTGAATGATGGGAAAAAAATTCCGGTTTTTTTAATAAATAAAAAAAGGAAGACTTGAAATTGAGAAGTTTTTGCCATATGAAAGTTTTACTAAAAAAATCTTTTTCTGAAAAAAATCTATTTTTTTGACTCAAAAAAAGTTGTCTCATGGGACAAAAAAAGACGTTCCAAATCTAAAAAAAATATTCTTTTTGTTTAAATTTTTCAGAATATCATTTTTTTAAAATTTCCTTTATAGAGTTCCCAAGTAACAAATAGCAATTATCTCAAAAAAAGTTTCAAAATCTTACATATTTTGACCGCATTTTGAATGACTCTGTGTTCGCCTAGGCATTCGAAATTCAGAAGCCGACACGCATCGGGACCGCGACGCGACGAGCCATTCCAAATGCCGACAATGATTCCCATCATTCACCCCGGCATCTACGCACGACCACCTAACCCACACTGTCAGAATGCGCGATACGGAGCCGCATGGCGGACTCGTGACGTCACGCCGCTGGAGAGCCGCGACGCGACCGCGACGTCGGCCAGACCGGCGATGACGTCACCGCGAGGCTCGAGGTCGAGAGGCGGCGCCCGACTTGAGGCGACTTTCGCCAGCAGCTGGGCCAACCGGTCGGTTTGCGCTTTTTCGATGGCCTGAGGTCACGATTCAGCCTACATGGGAGGATTATGTGTGAACGCGTGTTCGGATCGTCACAAAAAGGAGATCTTGCAAGAAGCTTCAAAACACACCGGGAACTTTTTTTCTGGAAGTTTTTCAAGGTAAACGCACCTGTTTTTTGGCTCTCAGGGCGACGTCTTCAAGCGTTTCGGCGGCTTCGTACTTTCCTTGGCGACGGTAGAGGGCGCCGAGGTTCTTCAGCGTCGTCGTGACGGTCGGACTGGAAAACAACCGGCTAGAATCGATTATTTTCATTGGAATGATCTTTGAAAAAGTGTCAGTGAGTTCCCGACGAACCTATCAACTTTGGCGGCCTTGGCCCAGCCGTTCTGATCGGTGGGCAGAGGCTGAGGCTCGCCGCCGCGGCCTTTGGTCTCCTCCCGCTCCTCGGCGATCTGCCAGATCGGCTTGTTGTCCCCGCTGATCTGTCCGAACTCCCGTTCGTGGGCCCTCGTCAGGATCTGCTTGTACAGCTCTTCTGCTTCCTGAAACAGCAATAGAAAGTTTCGGACAAAGAAAACTTGATTCAGATTTTCATCCATTGAGGATTTTCTCTTCATCTTTTTTGGAAAAATTCATCAAACTCCTTTATTCAAAGTCATCCAGGAATGCTTGCTTGGAACTTTTCCTGACTATGATCATCTTTTTTACGGTTCTTATATTAAAAAGATGATGAAAAAAAAAAAACACTAGCAAAAGAAAGTGAGAACAGAAGCGATATCAAAAGCAGTTGTGATGTATGGAAAACTATGAAAACTTGAAAAAAATTCTAGTCTCATTTTCATTTTTTTATAGTATTTTTTTAATTGGATTATTATAAAGGCTGAAAAAAACCTATTCTGGAAGCAACTCTCCTATTTTTTTCTCCTAATTTTTTTGATCTTTTTATTCATTTTTTTAGCCTTCAGCTCTACTTACTCTCTTATTACTAATCCTATAAAAATGGCCAGAACCAAACATTTCTCATGAAAATTTTTCAAATTCTTCTTCTTTAATTTTTTTCGTTAATTTTTTTAGATGACGCGGTAACTGAAAAAGATGCCGGAACGAGAAAAATTTTTTTGAAAATCTACAAGTTCTTCTTTTATTTTTTCATTTTCAAGCTGTTCGAATATCTGAAAAAGTTTCCTCAACCAACCATTATTTCTCAAAATTTTCCATTCCTTCTTTCTTTCAATTTTTTAAACTCAAATTCCTGAAAATGTTGCCAAAACCGAAAAATTTTTATTAAAACGTTCAGGTTCTTTTTTTTCCAAATCCCTGATAAACCGTCAAAACCGACCTTGTACTTGCCCTGCTTCAAATACGCCGACGAGAGGTTGTTCTTGGTTTTGGCGACATTCGGATCATCTGGTCCCAACTTGCTCTCGTAGATCTCCAGGGCCCTTTTGTAGTACTTCTCGACTTCTTCGTATTTCCCTTGATTTTGGCAGAGTAAAGCAAGATTATTCAGCTGCTTCGCGACGTCGGGATGGTCGTTTCCGAGGACCTTGAAAATGATCAATTTTACCCTGATTTTTCTGTAAGTTCGCCAACTTTTTCACGAATTTCGAGGGCTCTTTTGCAAAGGGGCTCGGCGTCTTTGAACTTTCCTCGTTTACCGAACAAAACTGCCAAGTTGTTCAATGTAGCGGCGACCTGAAAATGCTTCTTTTTTTTGCGAGAAAATACTTTGACCTCCAGTTTCAAAAACAGGTTAAATGAAAACACACGGTTTTCTTTCAATTTGTCTGTCAAACGTGTTTTTTCAGTCGTTGTCTCGGAAAATCAGCAGTTTTGGTTTAAAAAGTCGGCGTTTTTTTTCGTATTTCATTTCAAACCTTATGCTCAAAAGCATGAGAGATTGAAGACTATTCTAAATTTTTGTGGTTTAATTTTGATCATTCCTAGAAAGTTCAGAGAGAAAATTTTAAAAAAAGGATTTTATGCTTTCTTTTCAGACAAACTATCTCATTTTTTTAAGAATTCCATTCATTTTCTAATTTTAATATAATGAAAAATTACATATCGAGGAAAATACAATACCCAGAATAGGCTACTCATAATTCGGAAAGTTTCAATTTAAAAAAATGAAATGCAAATTTAAAGTCCGCAAGGGCAAAATTCCTTTCTCTTTCAAAAAATTGACGTTTTTGTAAAATTTATCGAGAAATACTCAATTTTTTTCCCAATTTTTTTCTATTGATTTCTATTTTTTTCGAAACAGTTTATTATTTTTTTCAACGTCCCGAATGTTTTCTCAAAATTCATCTAATCCTTTCAGCTTTTTTCGATTTGTTTCAAAAACTAACAGCAGGATGACTTTCGCCCAAGCATTTCTCTCGGATGGTCAAGGCTTCGTTGAGAAGATTCGCCGCTTCTTTGTACTTGTTCTGGTCTCTGAAACGAAATATAATAGAGTTTCAGAAAATATCAATTAAAAAAATTTGGTCAAATTTCTATTATTCTTTTTTTCTGATATTAATGGCTTTTTATGTGAACTTTTTTCTAAACTTCCACGTCTCTATTATCTTTTTTTATGTGAAAGGTATTTGAAAAGCAAATTTTTTTGACAATTACAAAGTTTTTCATCAAGACGCTCGTTGAGTAGCAACGACAATTTTTTTCGACTAAAATTTTTAAAAAAAGTAAGAGTAAAGTCCTCAAGTTACTGGAAAAAAAACTGAACTTAAAAAGAGATACATAAATATTTTTCTATATAACGAAAAAAAGGTTTTTCAACGTTCTATAAGCAAATAACTTCAAAGTCTGGGACTTAAAAAAATTATTGAAAGCGAAATTTCAAAACTTTCATATGAAAAAAAATTCCAGAGGCTCAAACTTTGAGTCCCTACACAAATTCGGACAATTTTTCTAGTTTTTTTCTCCTTGAAACTACACTTTTCAGCGTTTCGAAGTTTAAAAAAAACCTGTAAACGAGGGCGAGGATATTGAGCATCGTGGCGACGTCCGGATGGTCATGTCCGGAAGTTTTCTCCAGATCTTCCAAAGCCTGCTTGCATAGAGGAACCGCCACTTCGTATCTCCCTTGGGAGGCGTATTGGATCACCTGAAAATCACGTTCCTGTTTCAACGTATATATTTTTTTCAAGTGTTTTAACAAAAAATAGTGCGTTTCTTGAATTTTAAGAGTTCAATTTTAAGTGATTTTCGACGTATAGGGTGAGAAAAAAGTCACGTTACGCCGAGAAACTCACTCACATGGAGAGCATCCAAAAAGGTCTCGGTCAAAAAAACTTCAGATACTAGAAAAAAATGAACAAATTTAATGGGAAAAATTATTCTGGAGCTTCGAAAAAAAGAGGAAAAAAAGAAAACTAAAATTCCTAATTTAAATATTAACAAAGCAATAATTTTTCTCAATTTTTCGGATGGGAAGCCTCAAAAAAACTAACTCAAAAAGCTTATAAAAAAACAAAAAAATTCCGTTTTTAAAGGTTTTAACTCTCAAAATATCAAATTTAACTTGAGGAAACTCAAAATAAAAAAATAAAACTACTTTGGAAAAAAATTGGATTTTTAAAAATTTCATATTACTTTCGAAGATCAGTTATTTTTTTATAAACTTTATTTTTCTTCGAACAAATTTGAATTTATATCTATAATAAATGTACGAGAAGACCGAGATTTCGAACATTCAACTTTTTTTCAAATCACGTCGAGTTTTTTTATCCAAAAAAATATCACTATTTTTCGCCGTTTTTTTCATTTTGATCGAATTTTATCCTTCAAATAATAAATGTTTTGATGAAAAATTTTGGACAGATGTTTCTCACCAATAAATCTTCGAAAAAACTGACCAAATTGTGAAGAGTCCGAAGTCGGGCGGGAATTTCGTAGCCGACGTTGGCCGAGGCGGCCATCGAATGAGCCGGCGTCGGCTGGGCGAATTGGCCTCAAATTATCGACTTAATTGAGAAAAAACAGATTTATTCGTATAACAAGACTGTGATCATTGGAAAACTCAACATTTTGCCATAATAATGATATAAAAAAATAGCAAATTCTATGAAAATTTAAGCCGAAATTCACCTTGTAAAAAAAATCTGAAATTTTTCAAGAGGAGCTTCAAGTACAAAAAAAAAACCTTGTCCAATGTAAAAAAAGAAAGTATTATTGAAAAAAATACTATTCGACTTTTTTTCTAACCTAATTCTCACCAGAAAACTTGAAAAAAATTATTTTTTTCTAACCTAATTTTTTTATCAATTAAACTTTATCTGAAAAATTTTTTTATCTAACTCAATTTCATATCTAAAAAAAGTCCTTTCTTGTCTAAAATGTCCATATGAATAAAAAAATAAAACGAACTGTTCTGAAGATCTTCCTCGTCTTCCGGTCCGAATCAAGGTCTTGAAGCGTCTCATTGGTCGACGGCTGATTTGTGATGTCCACCGAAGATTTCGCGTCGTTTGGCTTCAAATTTACACACTTTTATCATCATGAAATTAAAAAAAACTTAAAAACAAAAAATCATTTTAGAGCACTCATTTGGATCGAGAGAACGTGAACCAACAACTGTAGGACAAAAAATATAAACTTTATAGTAGTTTCGAAACAGAAGAATCAATTATTTTTTAATAATACCACCAAATGTCATTTCATTCGCAAATTATCACACAATAAACACTTCTTGAACTGAATCCTCAAAAAACTAAAGACTCCTGAAAATTTAAAAAAAAAATACAGCCTAAGGCTTAAAAAGGTTTCGAAACTGAAAAACCATATATTCACATACCTCAAAATGCCAGTCTATTTTCAACTTATTACTCACATGAAACATTTCTGAACTAAATTTCCAAAACGCATGTTTCCTGAACTTCAAAACCAACCAAATCGTCGTCAAATTGCTTGATTGAAGCCATGTATTTCAGGTGCTTGTTTTCCTCTTCCAATTGTGCGACCATCTGGAAAAAAACCTCCAGTTTCTTGAGAAATTCTTGGAAGATTCAGGGTCAAAGATTTTACTATATGGACCACTTCACCTACCCTAAAGCTTGCAAAAGTGGGCCCTATAGGGCAGCATGCGAAAAAATCCATAAGTTAACGTTTTCCGAATGAAAAATCAACAGAGAAATATTCGATCAATTATTATTTTTTTTTTCAAATTGGAACAAAAAAATTAAAAACCCCTACAGGGGTCACTTAAGCTTCAGAGGCCTTAGGGTAAGATCCTTAACTCCTAAAGAAATCGTTTAAATTTTACCCCAGGGAGCAATTTTTATTTCCACTAACCCCTATAGGGAGGCATTAGGGTTAGATCATAAATCCCTGAAGGGACATCTAACTGTAACCTCTATAGGGGTCACTTTAGGGGCTTTAGGGTTAGTTCCTAAATCCCTAAAGGGAACATTTAAATGTTACTCCTCTAGGGAGCACTTTTCTGTCCTTCTAGAGACTGAGATAACCCCTGAGCCCTCTAGGGACCACTCTGGCCTTCCTAAGTACATCAGCACGTTTCTATGTTTCAATCGACTTTCAAAAAATCAAAATATTGAGAGAAAAAAAATCAGTTTTCGAGCCCTTTAAGAACATCTAAAATTAATTAATTTCTCAATTTAATTAATCAAATGATGAGTTTTCTATGCTTTCAAAGTGTTCTAACGAAATAACACCTTTTTTTCGACTTAACCTGCAAATTCGGGAATCACGATGTTACCTGTTCACTCTGTTGAAGTTTGGCCTGTGTGGAGCTCAACTCGTCGCGCAGCCAGGCGTTCTCCTGACACAGCCGACGTCTCTGCGCGTGGTAACGTTGGTTTTGGGCGTCCATCGACTGCGTCAGTTGGAAAACCATCAGCATCAGCTGCAAAATGAAATTTGGCTCGTTTTAGTCGGTCAAGGTTTAGAAAAAGATCAATCGACTGAAAAAAAGAGTTTAAAGAAATTGATTGAGATACCATGGAAAATAAATTTTAGTTTGTTTCAATCAACTTGATCGAGCTTTTTGATATAGCCTGTGTACCACGTCTTAAAATTTCACGGAACGACATTCCGGTGTGCCGCTGCGCGCCTTTGCGAGCCTTGGTCGCGCTTTAATTTTTTTTTCTTTTATTGAGGTACTCTACTTTCATGTGCTCCCACAGCAATAAGTGACCCAGATTCGAAAGACGCTTCGCGAACGCACGCAGCGGAACAGCGGAATGTCGTTCGGTGAAATTCAAGTCATGGCACACAGACTATATATAAACTAATTTTTATCAAAATGAGTTGAGAATCCGAATTTAGTTTATTCTAGATCTATTACAGCTAAATCAAAGTTTAGAACATGATCAAACTACATATAAATTGATTTTTTTTTATGATCGGCTTGGAATCCGGGTTCAGCTTCATTTTTTAGTCATCTTCTTTGAAACGGTAAATCAACTGATAAATTGAGATTAAATGAAAATCAGAAGTTAAAATGTTCTAGTCAGCTTAATCAAGGTTTAAAAAAACTGAATTGTACTAGGACCCACTGAAAAAAATATTCTGAATCGGTAAAAAAAAAACTTTTTAAATAAATAAGAAAAATAGGGGTATTCCTCCCAAACAAGCTAAGATCTGAAGTTAAAAGATAGTCACATGAAAAAAAACTTTTTCAGTACTCAACTAAAATTCAGCCAATCGACAAAAAATCCACTATAAATAAAGTAAAAACTAGAAAAAAATTGTCTTGCTCCACTGAAAAATCTAAAAATGCTTAATTTTGTTAAAGAAACTGTGAACTTTCCAATTTTTATCGATCAGCTCATAGGTCAAAAAAACCTATTTTTCATTGTCCTTCTTCTGTTTTTGGGGTAGAATATATAAAAATAAACTCTTCCCTATTGTTTCCGTTATGACAATTTTCTCAATAGAAAGAAAATAAAAATGAAAACGAACCGAAGTTTCATCGACACCGACTTGAACGTCGTTCAAATTGTCGTTGATCTGGAGGAGTTTCTCTTTCGGCAATGGAGCTTCATCTTCTTTCACTCCTGAAAAGAATTCCTCACTTAAGTTTGAATAATATTTCTTATTAATTTGAAAAAAAAACAACCGGAAATTCTCCAATTTCTCCCTCATTTTCAATATTTTCACACCGACTAACCTTTGACGCTGGCCTCGAGAGTCGCACTAATCGCAGAATGTTCTTCCCTGAGGGCTTCCAGGCCTTGCTGGACGGTCCTCAGGCCCGTCGTCACGTCGTCCTGCGACATGTTGGACATTTTCGCCAGAGACTCGATCTTTCGCCTGAAAAAATAATCAATCTCATCGGGAATTCAAAAAAAAAAAAGCTTGTTTTCATTTTCTATTTGAGTGGAACTTAAGAATAAAAATCCAAAGTTGTCGAATTATGAAGGAACATGTCGAAGCAGTTCAATGAATATCAAAAACCTTCCCTTTTAAATAAAATAAGACAATAAAAAAATATTTTTTTTCGTTGGCTAATTAAGTAGATTCCATCAATAGAAACTCAAGAAACTCACATTCCAAAAGAGAAATTTTGAAGTTGTACAATATTCTTATGAACATTTAATCTTTTTCTAAAAAAATTTAACAGTGTTTAGTTAAAACTTTCAATTTTTTTAAAAAGCTTACAGATAAAACTTGAAAAAAGTGAAACAAAAAAACACGCAGATGAGTCAGAGAACAGATCGCGTGTAGGAAAACTAGCAAATAAAACAAGCTCTTTCGCAATTTGGACTTCAAGCCTAGAAAGAAATCAATAAGAAAATTTTTCCGACACACAAATTTGATGTACACATTCAAAAATTTTAATTGAAACTTCTATTTCAACTAGGAATCGAATCAGCTATGAAAATTTAGCAAATCAATAACGAAATTGATAAAAATGAAGCTGGAGCAGTTATTTGAATAAATACTTATTTTTCTTTTTTGAACTCCAAAAGGGACAAAAAAACAAAAACGTGAAAAAAAGAAGAAATGGTCGTAAAGTTCAATGTATTTTCCGTTGAAGCTCTCGCAGCCAAAGCGTAGACAGTACTCCTTTATTGGACAAAAAAAAATCAAGAACTTTTAAATTTTTTTTTCACAGCTTCATTCAAAAGAAACGGCTCGTTTCAGCTAGCTCAAAAGGTTGTGAAAAGCAAGAACTACCAGTCAGAAGCTGAACAAAATGAACAAAAGGTTAGTTCATGCCGTTTTAGGCGGTTTTGGAGTCGTTGGGCGACGAGGATGAATGAATGCGTTGGAAAAAGAAGGCGAAAGAGCACGGGAAAAGCGGAGGGCGCCGGAGAAAAGTGTCCGTGGAGCGCGCTATTGATTCAGCGGCCGGCCGTGATGACGGTGGGAGAGAGGACAAGTCTCGTTTTTGCGGCAAGACCAGGCCGTCGTCGGCTCGCATTTCCCGCACAGGCAAACACGATGTTTCGTCAATTACTTTCAGGTAAAAGTTGCTGGGACTCGAGTGGTAGGATCGGAGTGAGTTGGCGAGGATTTGAAGGGAGGAAACGTCAACGAAACAGAAAAAAGCCAAAAAATAGCTGATAAAAGTTTTGGGGCTTTTTCTAGTACGCGGGCTTATTTTTATTTTTTCCATTCACGTCAATGTTGTGTGCCTTTTTTCGATTTTTAATGTCAATTTCTCCTTATGACTGAAATAAATCTTTTATATAGTAAAAATGATTTGTCAACTCTTCTGAAGTAATAAAAAAAATTATTTTTAAACTATTACTTTAAAAAAACAAGTTAAAGTCTGTCGAGAAAGAAAAAAATTCTAGAGCTTCATGAAAAATATTTTTCTGAATTGAAAGGCTTCAAGTTTGAAAAATAGAGCATTTTTTTTTAAAAAAACGATTTTTTTAAACCTCCTTAACACCCAGAAAAAGTTTCTCGGATTTTTTTTTAAAGTGCTACTTAAAATTACGGAAAATGCCATAATTTATGGTATATTAAAGTATATACTTCTAAAGATATGGAGAAACTTTTGTGGCAAGTGACCGGAGCAAATGACATGAAATGGGAAGGATCGATCCGCATCTGCGGGAAGCTCGCAGGTGCTTTGCACACCTGCAGGCAGCTGAGTTCGAGGGAAAAATCCTTTGAAGTTGTTCTCACAGAAATTTGTAGTTTCACAGTATTTTCCTAGTACACAGGAAACCTGGTCTTTTTTGCAAATTACACAAAAATAAAGTTGAAAAAATGAGTTGGGAGCTTGAAATCTTGAAAAATTTCTAGGATTCAAAGAAATGACCGTGCAAGATGAAGCTGAAACTCAATTTTGAATTTTTCTTAATTCTGAATTTATATTTTGTTTTGAAAAATCTGAAAGTTTCAAAAAAAGTTAAAACAGCTTAAGCTTGTACTGAGTAAGGCCAAAAAAAACTTCAATAAAATCTTTTTTTTTTCAAATTTTGAAAAACTGGATACGAAGTTCGATATTTTCCTAGAATTTTCCATATTCTCAAAAAAGTTTCTGACATTTTTCAAACTTCAGTTCAATCACCGCAAATTTTATTAATGCAAGAGTGTTGTAGAAAACAACTTAAAACAGCTCATAAAGAATCATTTCGCTGGAGCAAACTTGTGCTGTTCGAAAAAGCTACGATAAAATCAATTTTTACGAATAAATTATCAATTTACCTTGAAGAGAAGAGACTAGTCGACCATTCCGCGATTAGAAATGGCAAAAGAGAAGCCTCACCTGACTACGAAACGGAATGGGTGGGACTTCAAAGTATTAAAATGGAGCGAGATTTTCGCGTTCCCATGGAGATTCGTTAATTAAGAGGCTTGGTGAGAATTAGTTTGTAGGATACGTTTCAAGGATCAAAGACCTTTTGCTACTCAAAAGGAATGTTAAAAGAAAGGTTTTAATAAAAATAAGAATTTAGTTGCGAGATCGCCAGCGACATCGCTTTCACCTCGGCAGTTATTCTTGACCTATCTTTAGAAAGTTCTGCTCCCTCTTAGTTCCCATTTTTGCTGTCTACAGGTCTTTATATGAATATAATTCAATTTTTAAGAAGAAGAATGGAAACGAACTGGCGATACGCCTGCATGGTCGAGCCGGCGAGACTCATGATCGTGTCCAATGCGACCGGCGTTTGTCGGCCTTCGGAGTCGCCCCCCGCCGACACTCGCTTCCACGATACTTCTGAAAATTTTTCAAATAATCTAGAAATTTCCCATTTCTATAAAAAACGAAATTTGAAGAAAATGAAGCTCAAGAAGTCTTCTACAACTTGAAAGATACAACTTTTCGCGCATTCTCTTAAATACTTTCAGATGATTTTTTTGGAGAAGTAAATTTAGACTTGCTCGATAAACAAATTTTTGGAGAAAGAGCTTTTCAAAGGGTAAAAACTGTCTACTCAACCGGTAAAAGACGACTTTATAAAACACTGGAGCGTCAGACTGCAAAAATTTGAGAATTCAATGTTTGAGAATAAAAATGAAATTAGCCTCCTTTTAAGGAGAACGAGAAGTAAACAAAAGAATATAGAAGTGCATAAAATTATTCAAAACAATTTTGAACTTTCTTAGAACTTTAAAAAAAAATTTTAAAAGTCTTCTGAATGGGTTTATAGATGAAGCATTACCAAAAAGCCATTATTGAAAAGTTAATCGTTAGGTTTTGCTCTGGAGTTAACATGTCGATAATTTTTTCAGATTCAAGAGCGATGTTTTCATTTAACTTTTTTTCGAAAAGGTTTGAGCTTTTTCAGCTTAATTTTGATAGAATTTCATGATTCGCGCGTAGTTTGAACAAAAAAATAACTTCACGCATAAAATCTGAAAAGTTGGAAAAAAAAGAAATTTGCGAAGCCCCATTTGAAAAATAGCAGTTTATGAAAAAAAAAAAGGATTGATCCCCATGCTGTTTTTTTTTATAATTTCAAGCAAAAGTTTTTTTAATTGAAAGAAAAACTGAAAAATTTTTGCTCGCGGAAAGAACTGACATCACTAAGAATAACTGACGAGATAAACGCGAGCTCGGTGGCGGTACATTGACTAACTCGCAAAAATGTCGCTTTTTTCTAGGCGCGACCCCGCATTTCTCTCGGCGCGACCTCGCATTTTTCTCGGCGCCATCTCGCATTTATCTTGCATTTCGGAAATTTTCAAATTGCGAGAGAAATGCGAGCTCGCGCCTAGAAAAATGCGAGCTCGCGCCCAGACTAATGCGAGACCGGCGCGAGAAAAAAAGCGAGATGTTTGCGAGCTCGTCAATGTACCGCCAGTGTCTCGCGTTTATCTCGGCAGTTATTCTTAGTGATAGCGAGAAAAAAAAAATCCAAAACTCGTGTTTTTTTTCTTCTGGGAATTTGTGATTTGTATTCAACAAACTAAATTTAATCTCTTATTTTTCATAGGAAGTAAATCCGAGTGATAACAACAGAAAAACTAAAAAACAACCAAATAGAATGGAGAGAAAAAAACGAGAAAAAGTAATGATTGAAAAAAACGAGTTGAGAGATGAGAAGAAAGCCGATTTCCGGCCCCGAAGGCTATAAAAACCAACGAAAAGGCCGTAAAAAGGCAAAAATGGACGAAAAATGGGCAGCGAAATCGTCATCGAGTTCAATTTTCCATTGAGATGGTGGGTCAGGAAGAAAAATTTTTGTTTTTTAGATTAATGAATTTCAAAAAAATTCATGAAGCTCTACCGAATAATAGGAAAAATATTTGAAGACCTTGGGAAGTGATCACTTTAGAGATTTGAGCTTTCACATAGTGTTTTTTGAAGAAATCAGCTCAGTTTTTTTTTGTATAGAATTTCACAAGAAAAGTTTATTTCGAATATTTGAAGATGAATAAGAACGAAAAAAAGGAGAGTTAAACTATAATAATATTCAAGTTAAATTTCAGAAATTAAAGAGACCGTAAAAAGAAAGAGAAAATATTTATATGCTTCTGAAGTCGGATATAAGTCAAGTCTCCACACAAGATTAAAGTCAAAAGCTACCAAGAGAGGATTATTTTGAACATCATGAAGTAGAAACTGAAGGAAAATGAAGAAATCACACTATAGTTAGAGGCCACGAAGTCCCGCCCCTTTTCGTGAGAAAAATTTTGCATTTTTTGATAGTTTTTATTTTGAGTATCCTACAAACGCAATATTCCAGTATAAGATTAACATTAAAACTGAAGGAAAGCTATCAAGAAAGGATTATTTTGAACATCAAAAGGAAAAGCAAAAAAAAAATATACAAGTCAAGTTGAAATTCAGAAAACGTTGAAAAAAAATATTCGAAAAATCCGCTTTTTATGCCTCATAAGTAATTTGTTATAAATCAAGTGTCCGCTCAGGATGAAAACTAAAAATAGGCTTTAAAAAAGTTCAAATTTATTAAAATAGGGTTATTTGGAGCATCAAAAGGAGAAATCAAGAAGCAAAAGAAGAGCACGAACTATAGAGCAAGTTAGGCTAGACCTTCAAAAAAAACAAAAAAAAAAAAAAAAGACATGAAATTTCGCTTTTTTTCTATGCCTCATCAATATTCTGATATAAATAAAGGAACAGAATAAAAAAAGAAAGACAGGTTTAGAAAGAGTCAAAAGCCTATGGGAGCTGATAGTGGATTATTTTGAACATCAGGGAAAGAAATGGGAATGAAAAAGAAGAGCTAGAACTATAGAACAAGTTGGGCTAGTCCAATAAACAATTTGAAAGAAAGAAGATAAAGGAATTGCTTTTTCTATGCCTCATCAGTAGTCTGACAAGAATCATGTGTTTCCACAGGATTAAAACTAAAGTAAGGAAGGAGTCAAAAGAGAGGAGTGAAAAGCTTCCTTACAAGAACGGATTATTTTGAACATCATGAGGAGAAATCAGAACGAAAGAGAAGAACTCGAACTATAGTACAAGCCAAGTTGAACCTCGGGGAAACGTCGAAAAGAAAGAGGGGAAGGAAGAGAAAAGATGAGGGGCTGGGATTACAGAGAGCTGCTCCCGAAGAGGAGAATGAGCCGCGGCGGCGGCCTCGGGACATGGCTCCAAATTCATTTAGTTGCCCTCTTCGCCTCCCTCGTGTAGCCTTCCTTTCGGGCTGATTGTCCGCCATTCATCCTCATTTCCCAATTAAGGCCTTTCCTCGCCCCTTTTTCCGTTCTAGACCACTTTAGCGACCCTTTTTCGAGCTCTTTTTTGGGACTTTTGGAGATCGAAAATCAGAAAATTGACTTTTTTTCAGTTGTTTTCATGTATTTTAAGTTACCAATAGTCGCTAAAAAAAAACTTGGGACTTGGGACATCTTGGGACACAACTGTAAAACTTGAAATGTTCATGGAACTTTTTATAGGGAAGAATATTATTGAAAAAAACGAATATTTATAATTCTCATTTAATGGATTTTTTTGCATAGTTCGATCCCATCCTGCAATTTTTTTCAATAAAATTATTCAAAAAAATCTTAAAAAAAGAAAAAAATGTATGCCTGAAAATAAATCTATCGGAGAGCTTTTACGTTAAATAAATAACTACTAAAAAAATTTTTTTCAATTTGACGAATTTTTTTAAAATTTTTAGCACGATTTTTTTAAAAATGAAAGAATTTTTCCTAAGATTTTTGAAAAATTGTGCTCGAAGTTCAAGTAACGAAAAAGTACTAATATTTAAACTGGAATTTTTCTAAAAAAATAAAGAATACAAAAAAAGCTCTTTCTCAAAAAAATACTTTTTTTCTCGGCTCTATTACCAGAATGTTTTCAAGTTATTCAGACATTAATTTAAATTCTCCGCAAACCCTATCCCTAACTTCAAGAAAAAAAGCTCAAAAAAACAAGAAAGAATCGAGAAATGTGCAGAAAACGAAGAAAATAATCGAAACGCTGAGGCCGAAAAAGGGAAAACAGAAAAAAAAAATGATGAAAAGCGCTGACGACATGGAAAAAAAGCGTTAAATCTTGCTTTTCTATTCTTTGGTGACCGGTCTCCGGAGTTCTTCGCGGCTATTTCTTTTGTTTGAAGTTTGCGCCAAGGAGAATATGTTTTTAGACTAGGATTTTGAATTAGAGATGTTTTAAATGGAATTGAAAAAAGAAAAAAATCAAGTTGTAGTTGAGAGGATTGGATTTTATACGCATGTGAAGCCGATTCTGGAGTTTATTTGAATATTTTTGAGATTTTTACTTTTTCTCATACCACTGTAGGGTTTTGAAGTTTTAGTGGCCACTATAGGGTGGTTTCAAAATCCACTTCAGTGTCCTCTCAAAGTGGTCCTTGAGGAACCCCTATAGTGGCCACTAAAATGTTCCAAATATCATCTGGACTTGAGAAGCTTCAAAAGGGACAAAGAATGGCTCATTGCGCCTTTGATCCGACCTAAAACTACTTTCGCGGAGCGCCATATTGTAAGAAAAGTTAAATTTTTTTTTTGTCAAAAAACAGCCCATCCGCCATGTTTTGAACCTTTCAAACAAGAAAAAAATAAAAAAATTCAAACTTCAAAAAAATAATAAATTCCGGAACTTATTAGCCCAGAAAAAAAACTCTAAATAGCTTATTATTATTTCCCGACCAAAACTGAAGCTTTCCAAACTGGGTAAACAATTATTTCTGGTCCAGAAGCTTGGTTTTTCCTCAGAATTGGTTTCTCAAGCGAAAAAACACAAGAATCTTGTTAGAGGCGTCGCGACAAAATTGGAACAATCTGATCCAAAGGCGCTCGTTAGAGAAGAAAAAAGGCACGTTTCGCAATCTTTGAGCCAAACTTTGGTGTTTGAAGGAAGAAAATCTTCCATTTTTTGGACTTTATTTGAGGCAATCTGAGAAGAATTTCGCCTACTTTAAAGGAAAAAACGTGAAAATCGAACCGAATTATGAGGACAGTGTTTGAAAAAAAAAATCCGAAAATGATGTCGAAATTTTTGAAAAAAGGTTATTTTTTTCAACAATTTTTTTCTAAAAAAATTTTAACACTCTCAAAATAAAAAAATTTAGGCTTCTAAATCAACAGATAAATAACAAAAAAATGTATTATTCAAGTCTGAAAAGTGCATTAATTACACCTTTTTCAGAGTTCCACCTACTTTATTTCAAAAATAGACCTGCTTTCTAGTAATTTTTCACGATTAAATAAAAAATATTTATTTGAAAAAAACTCACTTTTCTTCCCCATTAGAATCATCGTAGTTTAGGAATCGATTTTGGAAGGATAGCTTTCCCTCAAAAAATGGAAATAGGAAAATTTTGATGGGAAGAAAAGGAAGGAGAAACTCTCATGAAACAAAATTTTTATGGGAAAGAAAAAAACGAACGTTTTTTTAATTCTCTAATAACTTCTATTTTATTACTTATTTTTTCTCAAAAACAAAATTTTCAATTTGAAAAAAAAGTCAGAAAAAAATAGACTAGATAATAATCTATGCAAATTATATTCGTATGTACAAAAAATCGAATTTATTTCAAGCATAATCTAAAAAATTCCCTTTATTTTTGAGCGTTTTTTTAAAAGTATAAGCTGTTCAAAGTTCCTTTTTTTCAGGACCAAAAAAATAACTCTGAAAACGGTTTTCCCTACCAAAATCTTTATTAAACTTGTCTATGACACTTTTAAAAAAATCCAGAGAAAATTTTTTTATACAGATTTTTGATTGATAATAAGATGCTCAACCCTTCGATGAATAAGTTGAATTATTCTCAGCGTAAATGAAAAGAATTGAAAGGAAAAGGACATAAATGAGGACAAAGAATTAAGCAAGGCAGTGTGGGACTGAAACCGAAGACGACAGTCCTCAGAAGACGTAATTCGACACGGCTAATAGCGTTTTCCTCAGCCTCGGCCGTCGCTCAGAAAGTGTTCGCGTTTTACTAAAAACGTTCAGAAAAATATGATTTTTCTTGGATAGACTCGAAAAAAATACTCTTTGAACAGAGAAAAACTTTAAAAAAATAGGCATTTAACGCATGAAAACGTGTTTCGAAAACTGAAAATTGCGTTTTGAAAGAGCAAAAAAATACTTTCAAAATTTGAAAAACGAAAGAAAAACGCCAATTTTCACCTGAAAACGTTTTTAGAAATCGAAAATGGTCACTGATATTCCAAAAAATCAAAAACTTCCAAAAAAAAAAAACAAAAAAGCTCAGAAGATGGTAGTTATTGCATGAGCACGTGCTGAAAATCAGGGAATTTTTTTGAAAAATTTTTAAATTTGGAAAATGCAAAGAAATTTTTTTGCTTGAAAACGTGTTCCAAAATCGAAAAATTCGAAAAATAAAGAAAAAAGACTTTGTAAAAAATTGGTCTGAAAGTTCTTCTAGATCAAAAAATGCATGACGCAATTTCCGCAAAATACAAAATTATCTCTGACTCTCCAAAATTAAGTTGTCTTTTTTTTTCTCTGACATCTATTTTGGATTTCGCGGAATCACTTTAAACATGGTATTATGAGAAGAAAAAAAGTTAAAAAAATCCCAAAATAGACTGATTTTTTTGCGTGAACACGTTCTTTCAGACTGATAAACGCATTTGGAAGGATAAAACGTCAAAAAAACACGTTAGAAAAAAAAAATAAGTAGAATAACTCAAAGAAAAGCCGATTTTCGCATGAGCACGTGCCTTTGGAAAGCACGAAACGCAATCAAAACGGAAAAAGTCAATCTCTTGTTGGAATAAAAGTTGAGGGATGGGTCTGGACGTTGGCCGAATGGCCGAACTCTCGAGGGACCACCGAAGACGGCGGTCATATCCTGAAACAGATTGGAAACAAGGGCGACGAGTCTGACTGACGACACGTCGAGGGGCCGACATCCGATACGTCCGATTCGGCTCAGACTGATCCTCGGCTTCTGACAACTGGAGGTGTAAAAAATGGACATTTTCAAGTCCCGCCAATCATCGTTATCTCGTGTTTAGTTTCGGTGATAAAAAATACAGAATCAAGCAAACAAAATTGCATGGATTATCCATGGAGAAGAAAAAGCACGAGACCAAGGGAGGCCAGATGCATAATGAGTGCGATTAGACGCCGCGGGGCTGATTTATCGCTGCCAAATGGGCTTCCAACCACAAAACCCGCTGACTCATGCTCTCTGATACTTCAGTTTCGGCCTCTTTCTCTTTAATATTTTTTTCAAAGAGAAAAAAAGCAGTCAGGTTTCTGGAAACCAAGGGGTTTATTGACGAAAATAATAATTATTTTTAGGGCTGAAAAATTTTTAATTGATTAGACCAAGCCAAAAAAATTATTATCTCCTTGATTAAATTTACACAAATTCTTATAAAAAAAGGGATAGAAAAGACTTTTTAATGTTTTTCGGAAAAAAACTGCCGATTTCAGAGAACCAAAAATGATTTGGAGCCAAAAAAATGAAAAAAATGAAAAAAATAACGTGAAACAAAAGCTTTTTTTCGATAAAACCATGCGAAAATGATTTTTTTCTGGGATCCAATTTATTTTGGGTTCTCATGAAAAAGGGGAGAAAAAAACCAAAGTTTTTTTCTTCTCGCAGAAAAAAATGAACCGATTTCCCGAAAACCGGAGTTTTATTGATAAAACAAATAACGATTGATTTCATAATTTTTTTCGATAGGACAGAGCCGAAAATAAAAAAATTTTTCGCAATTATATTTATCCTTGTCCAAAATTGGGTAAAATGACTTTCAACTTGGATTGAAAATATCATTTTTTTAAATTCCATTTTTTTCGACTGATCCGACTATTGACTTTTCAAGGAGCTTCTTCGCCTTATTACCCACGACTTGGAACAGTCTGGCCTGTCTGCGTCTCTTTCTTCTCACCGGCAAGATAAAAAAATGACACAGAATAGAGAAAAGAGTGCACAGACAAATCAGAATGAGACGCATTAAATAAATCATTAACCTTTAAAAAAAACATTAACCTCATAAAAGACAAAATTGAAGAAAAATTTGTCCCAATATGGATCAGAGCCGGAAAAAAGGAAAGAGTAGAGGAAAAGGCTCAAGGGAGGATTGCTTTTCAGCACGTAACCATTCGTCATGTCCCTCCAGACTCGTCGAGTTGCTTCTTTCTGGTCAGTTTCGAGGAAAAATCGTGGACAAATGTAAATGAGAAGCTTCGAAAGTCGTCTTCTTGTGGAAAAATTTGAAAATTACGGATTTTTAGCTATGCTTTGCGTAGACCTTGGTAACGGACGCCTTGGAGCATTTCTAGTGGTCACTTTAGTAACATAAGCCCTCTTAAGTGATCCCTAGAAACGTCCAGTTTTCGTTATCGAGGTCCGATTTTGATTAAAATGTAAGGAAAGATCAAAAAATGGACAATAATAATTTTTTTCTTTGCGAACTTGAGGTGAAATAGAAGCACAGGAAACAGGAAACTATTTTATCTTCTTGACAGACTTGCCTGAGAAAGAATAAGGCGAATATAATATTTTTAAAAATTTCAGTTATCGATGTAAAAAATAGCTCTGGTTAGGTTCATAACCCTCTTTTATCCACTTTTCATCAAATTGTGGCCCAAAATAATGCTTGAAACCTGAAAGACAATTTAGAAAAAGAACAGATCGATTTGAAGAAATAAGAAAACATGAACATGATCCAAGAGCGTTTTAATACCCAAAAGATCGATAAAAGATATCCTCCAAACTTGTTCCTGATGAAGTCCAACCAACAGACTTCTGTCGAAAAATAATCGGAGTTCCACAAGTTTTTAAAAAATCAGAATCTTTGCTTCTCGAAAAAAATAATCTGAAAAATTCCATTAACACGAAGCAAAAAACGAGCAAGATTCAGAAAACAAGAAAAAAGTCGCCCAACGTGACAGCGAGATAAAAGTCTAGTATATTTTATTGCCCATTCTTGTTGAATGTTATTTTTTATCAAAATCTCCGAAAGCAAAAACACGAAAATTAAATATTGGAAAGACCTGAAGAGATCGATTTTTGCTCACTTATTACACTTTTTGATCGGATACTTCACTCGAGTTTTTAGAGAATTCTGAAAAAATGTTATCTACTCGGGCAAAACTGAAAAGCTCCCCAAAAGCTTTTCTCAAAAAAAGACCTTGAAAGGGTCCCCAGCAGATCTTTTTTACATCATTTCAATTCTTTTTTGCATCTTTTTCATATCCTCTGACAAAAAGGATGCTGGAAAGCAACTAAAAAGATCCGAGAGGATTCAAAAAGGATCCTCTGAGGCTATGAAAAAGGTGCTCAAAAGCTTTTTTACATCATTTTAGGAGCTTTTAGAAGAAGCTTTTTATCTCCCTCTCAGGATCTTTTAAGGATCCTCAAAGGAACTTTTCAGTTTTACCCATGTAGGACGATTTTTATACGAAATAGTATAAAAACGAATTTCGAAACTATTCTCTCTGAAAAATGAATAATCATCTCTAGTTCAGTTCAATAAATGTAGCTTGATCACGACGTGAGACACGAAAAAAAATCGAAACTTCTTCGTCTCGATTTTCTTTTCCATTTTCGTGTCAAGACCCTTTCTTCAGGTGGGTCCAACCGTGAACAGGCTTTAAGCTTGAGTTTTTGAAACCAAATTAAACTCTGAACCACACAAATTAAGACGAAAAAGCTTTGAAAACGACCGAAAAAGTGCGCGAAACAAATTTTTAAAGAGGAAAAGCTGAAGCCCGAGGAGCTGCTGGAATTCCTGAACGGCTGCAGCATGCATTAAAAATAAGGAGCCTAATAACTTATGGAAACTCGAAAGAGTTCCCTAGAGTCCTTATAAAATGAAAAGAGGGATCAAAACGCAAATGAGAGAGGCAGAGAAAAAAACGCGAAATAAAGTTACCGTATACTAAAAAAGTAATCTTCGTGGGTGGTCTGGTCTTTTGCGCGCGCCGCGGTCGCGTCAAAAAATTGGAATCCCAAAATTTTATTGGGTTTTCGTCTACTTTCCGTCATTTTCTTTCATTTCAAGTCTCCAACCTGTTTCAGAAATTTTTTGAGGCTCTTTTTTTTTCAAAAAAGGCGTCGATTGGAGATGATCACGGTGGTCCCCCTTTTTGTAGCTTCAAATTTTAAAAAAATTGTTTTTTTGGAGAGAAAAGTTTTTTTGTGTATTTGAAAAAAAATTGAAATTATATTTCTGAACATTATATAAAGATATTTACTTTACAGGGCAATCAAAAAAATAGCATTTTTCCCGTCTTTGATCATCTCCAGTTTTAAGCTTAATCAGCAACCTTTTTCTGTGAAATTTTTCCTGTATCAAAAATTGCTAGAGGTTTTTTTTCAACTGATTAGATGAAAAGAAATCATTGAATATGTTTCCAGAAGAGAATTTTTGGAGTTTGATCATCTACAGATTATTCCTTTTTTCGATTTTTTAAAATTATCTCCGATTTTTCTCACCTTTCATGAGACTATTAATTTTGTTCAGGTAGGATGTACTATTCGAACAACGGTCAGCCGGTTTCCCATCCGAAGATCCGTCGCGGAGGATCTCTTTCGCAGCGGAAAGACTCTCGGACCACCCAGGAGCGGTTTGGCCAAAATCCTCATGCTCCGGTCGCCGAGCTCACTGAAGTCTTTTCAAATTTGGTTGGGATTGTTTTTAGAGCTTTATTGAACGTTCAAACTTGCTTCTTTTTAAAAAAAAAGTTTTTGTGCAGGAATATAAGTTTTCGTCTAGTAGAAGTTGATCTGAAAAATAAACATCTGAACCTCGATTTTTTGCCTTTCGAAATCTATGAAGAAGAACTTTGAACTGCTTTTTTCCACAGGAAGCTTTAGATTGTGAATATTGGATTTTTCCTATCAATTAATTTGATTCTTGGAAAAAAAATAGCCAACAGACAGCCGGCTGAATTTTATCTGAAGCGAAGATCAGAAAAAAATTTTTAACTTTTAATTGTAATTTTTTTCTTAAGATCGAAGTCCGTTTTTTTGATGCTTTTTCCAATCAGAAGACGTACCTTTAAAATTACATAGATTGCAAGAAGGTTTTTTTATTTGAATTATACCAAATTTCTCACAGGAATATGTGACTTTTGTGTTAGTTTCCTATTTTTCAAGTCTGAATAATTTCGCAAAAAAAACTCCTGAATCGCCAGTTATGTTCAAAGTTCAAATTAAAAACTTTAGATCTCTAAAACTTGAATCGAATCACGATTTTTACGACTAAAATAGCTTTTATTATTGGGCCATTGACAGCCGGCTGTCAAGTTTGCGTGTATTTTTCAGCTCAAATATTGAGTTCTTTGAGAAACATTTAAAAAATGATCACATGTTTTTTTCCGGAGTTTAGCCACCACTTTTTTTATATTTATAAAATTATTGAGATTTTCAAGGTATATATGTCGCAAGGAATTTTCCTTCGCCATGAATTTCGGACTTGTTCCGAGAAAGGAGTATGTTTTTAGTATCCTCTAAAATAGCAAATAGAACATGATTTATACTTATTTTTGATCCAGAGAATTCAGATTTTTTTTTCTAGAAAAACTCAGGTTTAAGCTGTGATTACCATTTTTAATTCGACAAATTATCAATCATTATGTAGCATCGGATAAACGCAGAGATTTTTTAAATGAAAAGATGGTTGAAATTGAAATTTTTATATTTTTTTTCAATCTGTAACTTGTTCAGGGACTCCAACACGATAGTGGCAACCATTCCGTTGCCAGTTTCTCGGACACGCAATTCAGTAACGGAGAAGATTTCGGGTACCCAGTCACTAACACGAGGAAAAATAGAAGGAACTTCATTCCTTCTTTTTCCGATGATTCGGTTGCAAGGTAAAATTGAGTGGTAGATCATCAATATTATTTTTCCACGGGTAGAGTTGGTTTAAAAAAAGAGCATTTTTTTAAAGAAGTCAAAGGAGAGAAAGAAAACAGGCTTTAATAAAGAAACTTTAGAGAGTAATTATTGATTCAAAAGTTTTTTTAAAGTGTTCAATAGACCATGAATTCAACTACTAAAGCAAGAAAAAAAGTTTCTCCGTGAAAATTTTAAAAAAATATAAACTTTTATGGTTTTTAAAGAACTTCGCAATCCAAATGGTAATAAGAAAAGGAGAAGTATTGCATTGGAACTAAATTTTCGTTCTGAGAAGAATCTTCCCTTTGAATTAATGATAAATTTGAATTTTTGAACTAACCGTTCAAAGTAATTTTCGCGAAATGAAATTATCTCTGACTTTCCAAATTACAGTTATCTTTCTCACTCTGACAGCTATTTGGAATTCGCGGAATCACTTTGAACCATAAAAAAATGAAAAAAAAAGAAATGGATTGAACAAAGGATTCAGGGATAATGAAAACGAGGTTTTTTCCTAGTGGGAAAACAAGGAAACTAAATTATTCGATTTTATCTAAATTTTGAATGAAAGATTCAAAAAAGGAAGTTTTTCAGCATGAGCCCAAGCCAGTACAATCTTTTCTCCCCAGTGGAAGGATCCGTCGGCTTCCAGGAACATTTCGAACATGAATTGGCCTATTTCAACAACGGACAACAGTACAGTGAATTTCCGATGGAGCAGAATTACTCGACAGGTTATTACTGAACCGAAAAAACAGAAGCTTAAGTATTCAAACTTGAGAAAAATTCTCGATTTCAGAATGAATTCCTGAAGATTAAAACAGCAAAAATATTAGCTAACTAAAAAAGCGGCGCAATGGTCAATAAATCTAAAAAAAAAAGTAGAAGAAGGAAATCCCCTAACATGCTACGTATAGTAGAACTGGACTTGAATTTAAAAATTATCAAAAATTATTCCAGTAGAGAAAAAGTACTGCTATAAAGTTTTTAATTTGGTTAAGTGTACAGAGGGATTACCGACAAGGATCGATTGAACATCTAAAAAAGCTACAAAAGGGAATAAAAAAACGTAAGCGTTGTTTTGCTGAACAGACTTACGGACCCATGTTTCCAGGATCAATAATAATATAAATTCATAGTTCTTCTAAAAAAACTCAAGATGGATTAACGATAAACAGACTAGTTTTGAAATCGGAATCTTAAAAAAATTTTTTTCACAAGCGTTATTTTTCTGTTTTTTTCACGAACCTCAAATTTCACGAAAAAATATTTCTATGTTTTTTTAGATCTTTTGAAAATTCAAAGCAACACACTGTTGTTAATTTAAATCATTTTAAAGTTTGTTAGATTTAGCATTTTTTGAATTTATATTTTAAATTGAAGCTACGCAAACTTTATCATCCGCCTTAAATAAGTTTTTGTTGAAAAAAAAACGTTAAAAATCAGTACGACAATAGTCTCAATCAAATAAAAAAAGAACTTTTCTAAAAAAATTCAGTAACTTTTCAGAGGTCTCGCAGTTGCGCGGAACATTTTCTCGAGGCCGCGGTGGAAAATCCAAAAACAATAACCATGCGAGGAATGGAAGCCTCAGAACGTCCTCATCGGCTAGCTTTTCGTCCCCGACGCCTTCTCGCTGCTCGTCTTCTGCGGCTCACAATCTCCTTGGGATTCCGGAGATGCAACAACACCTCGTGTCTCTGATCCAATCGCAAAAGTACAATGAACTGCAGCAGTTTGTGCAGCTGCTCTCCAGCGAGCCAATGTGCAACTTCCTACTTGAGCAGAGTCAAGCTCCCTTGCAAAGTAAGAACTTTGGGTAAGAAGAAGTATTGAAACGGATAAAAAAAATATAAAAAAAATAAACTTATGTTAATGACCGAGAAGACGTCAAGAGTGCACCTTGGCGCAGTTTAATCTTGCTCTGTCTAATTACGAGACACATTTTTTCAAGATTTTTTTTTTTCGTTTTTACAGTTTTTTGTTCGAAATGGGCTATAAGTTTCGAAAAAGTAGCTTCAAATGTCATTTTGTATCTTGGTTTTCTTGTTGAAAAAGATATTTAAAAATAGAATCACCTTTTTTCAGAAATAACTTTTAAGCATTTTCAGGTTACCCTTTTAATATTATTTTTATTATAATGTGGAAAAGAGCCAGGCGTTTTCTGAATCGAAAAAAAAAATGAATTTCAGAAGATTTTACTGAGTTCTGAGTGCCTTCCGTTTGAGAAGCGGTTATTGTTCAAAAGTTTCTTTTTTCTAACCCTCTGTAAATTAATTTCAATCCTTCCTCTCATTTTTAAAAATTATGATGTGTTTCCAAGTTTTCATGTTGCGCCTTTCCAGATTATTTGCCGTCGCCCAAGCCTGAAAAGAGGAATCATGTGTTCTACGAGCCGGAAATCGTCCACAAGTCGGTCAGCCAATGCTCCATGCGATCCAACAAATCGCGAGTTTATTCCAACAAAGTTTTCGTCGGCGGAATTCATCCCAACATGAGCAAATGTTCCCATTTCATCATTCCCTTTTTATTCATTGTTTACAGCTATAATTGAAAGCTTCTTCTCCTACTTTGGAAACGTTTTCTTCGATTGGCCCACGAGAACCGTGCTGAACAGCTTGGGTTTTTGAATAATTCCGAAGAGAAATTGAATAATTTGATCAGATCGTCTTGACCACAAAGCGACGCCTTATCTTTTCTTGGTTTATCCGGAAGAAGACTCGGTTCGATCTCTTATCAGCCACTGCAGTGTCAACGAACGCGAAGAATACTTCGTCAAAGTCCAGGGTTTCGAGCAGTATCAGGTCGAAAATGCCCATATTTTACCAAATAAGGAAAATGTTTTTAAGATTCAAGTCCGTCCTTGGCTCATGCAGAACGCCGTCTATTTCGCCAATGATCTTTCACTCGACGACAAAATTATCGAAATCCATCGAACCGTTTTCGTCGGAGGCTTGCCAAGGATCGTCACTGCTCGTAATTAAAAAACGATTTTAAAAACAAAAAATATGAATTCAGGTTCGATCGCTGAGCTTTTTTCCGAGTTCGGGAAGGTTCTTCTGGTGAATATCGACGTGGACCAGGATTATGGTTATCCGAAGGTAAAACAAACTTTGGAGGGGAAAACTTAGAGCTTTTGGAAAAAAATTTCCCTAGGCCGAAATTTGGCTTTCAAGGACAATTCGTCAACGTTTTTGGTCGTTGTTAAAATAAAAATAGTAACCTTTTTTTTTCGATTTTCCCTTTCGATTCAAGAATTGCACATAAAAATAAAGGAAGTGTTTGAAAGTTTTGAACGGCTCTTTTGCGGCTTTCTCCCTGGAGCGCAACTAGTTTTCTATCTTTTTTTACATTCTTGTTTTTTTTTTCCGTAGATTTTATCCTTGAGGTGTGTTCAAAGTGATTTCCGCGAAATGCATAATTATCTCTGACTCGCCTTATTTTATTTATCTTTCTCACTCTCTGACGGCTATTTCGAATTCCGCGGTATTGCGGAATTAAGTGCAGCAAAAAAGCAAATACATGAAAATTATAATGATAAAAAATCAGGGAGCCGCTCGTGTGACATTTGAGAAGGATTTTTCCGTGCGTGAAGCTCTGAATGCTCGTTTTTTGAAGCTGGTGGACATTGATTCCAACAAAACGGTAGATTTTCCGAAAAATATTAATATCCTTGACGGATGAGCTTTGAAGAACGTGGAGATCAAGCCGTATGTGATGGAAGACGTGGCCTGCGACGAATGCGGGGGTCTCTGGTTCAATCCCGTCGCCAAAGTGATTCAAGGACTTCTCGACGTGAAAAAGTGCCGCGATTTGGAGAACGGCCTGTTACAGAAAGAAAACCGAGAAGGAAGATGTTGATAAAACGGCTGAAGGAAACGGTTAGGGCTTATAGAAAATTTGAAATTAGCCTTTTTTTCTTGATTTTTAGAGAGGAGTTCGTGAACCTTGAGAAGAAGTAAAACTTATGAGAAATCGTGTTTTCAGGCTTTATATATTTTAAAAAGGCGAGTCTAGACCAATATTTGAAAGAATTTTGAATATGAAAAAAAAGAAAAACAAAAGAAAAAATTGTTTCCATTATGAAAAGAAATGCCTAAAAGTTTGCATTATTTTCTTTAAAATCTCCCGAATTTATAAATTATACATGTTGGTTTCTAACTTGTTGAAATTTGCATATTTCATGCGAAAATAATAAAAATAAAATTTTATTTTTTTATCCCGCTGCGAATAATATTTTGGTTTTGAACTCTCTTGAAAAATTTTTTTCTGACTACTCGCTCATAATTTTTTTGCTAATATTTTTTTCATATTTTTTTATTTTTCCTTCTAAACAGTCCTCTTTTTGTATCAAAAAAATAAAAGTCGCAATATTTTTTTAATCTTTGGATTTTCAAAAAAATATCCATGTTGATTTCAAAAATAGTTGAAATTTGCACTGTTCATGGCAAAATATCAAGAATACAGTTAATTTTTCTATACTGCGAAAAATTTTTGAGTTTTAAATCTTGAAAACATCTTTTAATTAAAGTTTTCACAAAAATTATGACATATTTTTCAGAGATGAAACACTCGAGCAGCTGGCCGCTTTCCAGCAACTCGCAGCACAATTTCGAGTTTTTGCCCGAACGTCCTGTTTCTGAAACTCTTGGCTATTACAACATCTGGAGCTCCGACTACTTCCGTCCCAACTCGGCCCCTCTTCCTAATACTCTCGAGTAAAACTAGATGTCAGAATAAATAAAAAATACATTTTTCGCAGGCCTGATAACGTTCCGAACGTGGCGATTCCAACGATTTCGAGCTCGTTGGACGACGTAAACGCTCTGCTGGAAATGAAGACGTTGGCCGAAATCGTCGTGGAACTCGCCAAGGAGTTGAACATCGGCTTCGGAGAAATCTACGATCATTTTCTCGCTTCGCCAGCTCCCGTTGATCAGACGCGCTCTTCTTTCAAGATTTATAACTCGGTTTGTTTCTTGGGAGAATTGGAAGCCGAATAATTCTCTTGTCTCAAAACCGCGACAAGCTAACGCGCAATGAGCTATAATTATTCACAGAAAAGAAAAAATATTCATATCTGTATTTTGAAATAAGGAGCCTCTTTATAGACTATCTGAATAAAGCTGTTTCATCTAGTATTTGATAATTTCTTGTTTGAGTAAGTTTATCTAACTTTTAAAGTCTTTTTTTTTAACCAGGACAAAGAAAATGATCTTTTGGCTAAGAAGAAAATCTTGGCGGATCTTTTTTTTCAAATTTGATAGAAGATTTCTACGGCTAGGTACCGGATTTTTTTTTATGAATATCCAAAAAATTCGTTTTTCTTTCTATTTCTGTACTAAGGACATTTGTCTAGGCGCGTTTAACGTTCTTTTTTAACAACATAGGGTGAAAACTTTGAAAACCATATCTTCAGCAAGTCCGCAACTCGCTGGAGCAGTTCTACAAGGCGCAGAGCGGCGGCGCCGGACCGAATATCAAAAATCGAAGCTCTTATTGTCCAGATCCCATCTGTCGCCAGTATTTCTGTCCGGTTTGTGAATTTATGATTAACTCACGATTAAAATAATGAAAGAAGGAAAAGGATGAGTAATTATGACCGATTGGGTCAGTTTTTACTTCCAGGAAGAAAATAAGAATTCTTGAAGGGAAATTTAGTTGGGACCATTTTCACTTCCTTTCCAGTTTTATTAAATTTTTCAAGTTTTTCTTCAAAAAAATATTAATGAAAATCGAGAAGATGTTAGAACTCGTTTTCATTTTAGCATTAAAAAGGCCCATTCCGTTGAAAAAAAATTTAAAATATTTTGAAAAACAATCTTAAAAATAAATTTATTCAAGTGATCAGTTTGCTCTGAACTTTGTTACAAGTGGTGGTTGAAGCCAATAAGTTATTCAAGCATTCTTTTTTTAGTCTTGCAACCACGCCCGCCATTTCGATCAGGATCGTCCGATTTTTGGCCCCGAACATCTCGTTGTTTCCAGCTTGAAGAATGTTCGCCTATCACTGTATTAAAAATCAAAAATCTCCATTTTCAGGACCAGAAACGCAGTCGCAAGGACAAGCCAATGTACCTGGTTCAGCAGATTTGAACAAATCCCGTTGTCGAAAGTTCCTACTTTGAACTTATTTTATCTCATTGCTTATTTGTTATTTTCCACGTTTTCGTACTTTATTGGGAGTCTTCCTTCGCATTTTAACCATCTGTAATATACCAATGGTAAAGGTCTGATCATTGAAAATAACAAAGAAAGTTCTTTCGATTTTTTAATTTTACTGAATATTTTCAATTATCAAGCCATTTACCTCTTTTTATCCATGTAAATTCTCCACAGTTCGATTTTTCATATCTAATCTGATTGCTCATTTTCATTCTAATACAGCTAACTTTACCTCACAGTAAGTTTTCTGCTTTTTTAGAGCTCATTCCAAGTTTTCTATACGGAGACGAGACCTTAAGGACATTCAGACGCTTAGGAAAAGTATTTTCCTGATCTTCCAACATAATGAATTGAAAATTTTGGAATTTCCCGCTTTTCTGCTCTGGTCTAGCCCGTTTCAAAGTCAATACAAGACTCTAATTTACACTTGTTTCATTATTTTGTAACTCTTCTGAAGCGTCTCCTTATCTTCTCATAATTTTGATTATTTCTCCTTCCATTGTTACCATCTGAACGGATAGGTTCAAGTTTTGTTCATCGTTTTTTTTTCTGTGATGTTTGAAAATTGGGCTGTGAAAGCATCAAATTTCAAAAAAATCAAATTTTTTTCAAATCGCGTTCACTTTTTTCTATAGAGCGCCATTTTGAAAACTTTCAGAAATAATTGGTATCAAGTCTGAATTTTCAATCTTGCCTTCAACAGCCCAGTTTTCGTACATGCCTCTTGGACCTTGGTAACGCGAACAGGACGCCAATCGGACGTGTCAGGGCATTTCTAGTGACCACTTTAGTAGCCTCAGCACTCTTAAGTGATCCCTAGAATCGCCCAGAAACGTCCAGAGCACGTGTGTTTCGCGTTACCAATGTCCGAGCTTTTTCTTTTATCGTATCACCCTGATTGCCACCATTATCCATGGAGCACCATTTGCCCGCCCGGTTTTACTGCATTTTTGTCATCGGTTCCTCGGTTGGATAGAAATAACGCACTTATACATACAATTGCTTGCTTATATATGTGCCATTTTTCCCCATTCGCTTTGTCACACGACTTCCACCATCACCGATTGAACTCTTACGCAATGTCGCACGTCTTTCCCATGAATCCTTGTTCATCTTTTTATTCAACATCATCGGATCAAGCTGTACCATCTCGTTTTTCTTCTGGTTTCTACGTTCATTTTTTCATTTTTACCCACGTTTTGCTGCCCAGCAGGGACTCTTGTATTGTGTTTCGGTGAAGGAATCTGAGTTCCATTTGTTCCAAAATTTGAGCCGAGAAAAGAGCTACGGCTTCATTTTTCTCGGCTTGAAGTTCTCAAAAATCAAAAAAACTCGAATTCTTCACCGATTTCACACAAATTCTCCATTGTGTTAACAATTTCAAACAGTTTTTTCTTTCTCAAAGAAAAACAATAAAATCAATGTTTGAAAAAAAAAAAGTAAAATATATCAACATTTATGTACAGATAACTGACGAAAAATATAGAGTTCGTTCGAAATATACAGATAACATACTCCATGAGCAAATAGTTTTCCATTTCTCCGTATAGTTTTTTTGTGGAATATTTCTCTCTTCTCTGCGTCTCCTCGATTGACGTTGTCTATGCGACGATCCATTTGTTGTTGAACTTCATGACGCATGCGTTGTACCCGCAAAGCGTGGGACAGCATCTGAATATTTTTTTCGGATTTGATTATATTTTTTTCGCGGGAAAGGTTATTTCACTGTGGACTTTAAAATTTTCGGAAATTCGCTTAGAAATTATCTAAACTTCTTGGAAATGACGACTGCCAAAAATTCTCTAGTTTTTTTAAGCTTTTTGAGAGCGATTTCAACGAATTTTTGAGCATTTTTTTTTAAAAAGTAGTTACTTTTTGTAGATTAACAAGACTTTCATCTAGTAAAAAAACAAATTTTCAGGAATTTCCAAAATTTAGAGTGAAATAACTTTCCATATGAAAAAAATTCTGAAGTGGCCACTTCAATTTGACTTTTTAAATGACCACTAGGCTGCTCTCTTAAAAGGGAGGTCTAAAAGTGGAGAGTAGGTCCTGAAGAACCTCTGAGCAAATTTTGATAGTATAGCTAGGGACCGCAGACGAATTTTCAAAAAATTTTTTTCAGCATTGAGCTTTGTATGGTTCGATAGCTGTTTCGATTCAAAACTCAGAACCGTTTAGTTTTTCAAAAAAGATTGGGTGGTATGAAAAAACCACCAGCGAAAGTTCGAACGGCGACTTTTCCGATTTTTTCATATCGCTAGGGAACTTTCCGACGGCCACCTTTCCGACGAAACTTTTTCCGACTTTTTTTTCTCGATAAAATTTTCGTTTTAAATCTTCCTATATAAAGTAGGTAGTTGGTTAATGATTAAAACACAAAGAAACAGGAATAAAAAAATGTGAATAGATGTTTTATAAACCGAAAAAAATAAGGGAAAAAAAAGTCGGAAAGGTGGCCGTCGGAAAGTTACCTAGCGATATGAAAAAATCGGAAAAGTCGCCGTTTGAATTTTCGCAGGTGTTTTTTTCATACCACCAAAGATTGAGGATGAAAAAAAGTTATGACGGAAAAAGGTGGCGCGCCGCGCACCATTTTTTTAGTACTGAAATTTTTGGTATTATCCATTTTTTTGACATTTTTTTCGATTTTTTTCTTCTAGAACAAATTTTTGATACTGGTCTATTATGATGTAACAAATCATACTAGAGTGCTAAAATGATGCTAATCAGCTAGTTTGTCGAAAAAAAGTCGGTATTTTTCCAGAAAAACAAAAAAAACTGCCGCTTGCGGGCATCGAACTCGCTACCTCAAAATGTAAAATCGGAGCGCACGCGTTGCGCCAAAGCTGTTAGGTCCAACGCGGGGAGCTTCCATCCGCCATACCCTTGAGCCGTTTGAATAGCACAGATTGTCTATTTCAAAAAGAAAAAAACTTGAAGTAATTTAGCTATTTTTTTATCAGAATATGTTTGCAAATCTTTACTCAAACGGTTCGTGGAAATTCACTTCGAAAAAAACTGTTTTTTTAGTGCTTTTTTTGCCTCGTTTAACGATCGCTGCATTAAAACGGCCCCGTAAATTTTTTTGGCAAAGACGAATTTTTTTATTTTTATTCTTTTTAATTGAAAGATTTTTTTACTAATAAATGTATATAATCGTTTAAAAAAACCTGCGTTCGACCGCTTTCTGTGTGATAAACGCCGCTAATTTTATCCTCTAGTTTCAAGAGCATTTTTTTGCGTATTAAACAACTTTTTTTCAAGCACATATTCTGTGGAGAAATATTTAAGTAAGCCCGTGATCTAAATTTTTGAAAAAGAAAAAAACTCGATTATATTCGCATATTAACGATATTTTTGAATTACGACTTTCGGCACTCCCTAAAAATTTTTTTGGCAAAGACGAATTTTTTTATTTTTATTGTTTTAAAATTACCGTTACTTGAATCAAAAATCATTATTTAAAAAAAGAAAGAGTGCGTTCGACCTGAAAAACACATGAAAAAAAGCAAAAAAACGACAAAATTTTTTTAGTTCCATTCACGTTTTTTTGTACGACATTCCGCGCGAACGCATCAAAAAAAGCGTGAAATATTTTTTTAAACGAAAGAGGAAGCTTTTTTCTGTACAAGTGTGTCAAATTTTATTTGCCAGTTCCACATATTTTACAACTACATCAAAATGAAAGTTGAAAACCAAAAAAAAGCCACTTTTTCTATCGCGAAAAGGGGCGTGGCTTTGCGGTCCCTAAGTATAGCTGATTCACGGGTAGCTTGAGCCATCGAAAAACGGTCCTGACACGATGAAAATGAGATAGCGCCTGGATCGTGGAAAGCGCAGACAGGCCACGCCCATCCATGTCCCAAGCTAGCCGTGAATCGACTATTATCAACGCCAAATTTTTTTTAAAGCGGTCACTTTCCCAGAAAAACGGCAAACTTCCTGGTGTTGATCCCACTGCGGCATTCGCTGTCGGAGTTGCACCAGCTGGTGATTCGGTGAGACTGGCATTTGATGTCAAGTTGGTACGAGTCGGGACACGAATCTCCAGAGGCGGAATGGGCCATCGAGGAGAAGGCTACAGAAAGGGGATTGAAGGGAGGAAGTTGGGAAGGGTCGGACCGATGCTTCGACGGGGATGGACGACGGGGAGGCCGACGTGGACGCACATGTTGTAGTTGCACCCGGTGGGGCAGCACATCGAAGGCGTCGTCGAGCTCCCGCGGCAGTCCGCGTCCGAGTTGCACCTTCAGTGAATAAGGATGGATTTTTCGATAGATACAATCTTTTTTTAGGATACAAGACCTCACAAACGTCACTCGTTCATAGTAAAACGGCCTCAAAAAGAATGTTTCTTTCAAAATTCCTAAGAAGGTGTCAAACGTTTCTCTGAATCTCTTCAAGCTTCCCGTCTTCTTATTTTTTTTCTCCTTAAAGGTCCTTTTTTTAGAAAAAGAGTCAAGAAAAGTGCAAAAAAAGATTTTTCTCAAAAAGTTTCTTTTTTTAGGTCCTTATGAGCATTTCCCGTTCAGAAAGACCTGTAATTTTTGAAATTTGAGATCTTGAAAATACAGTTTAAAGATTGCCAGATTCAATTATTTTTGCAAAATTAACTAATTTTTACTTCTTAAGAATACGAAACCCAGCTAGAATTTTTTTGATTGGAAAAAAATTATGATTTTTGGAAGAAGAAAAATGAAGAAACTCAAATTTACACGATTAATAAAACCAGTAAAAAAATTAAATTAAAAAAACTTAATTTTTCTTTTTCTTTACCAAACATTCAAAAAGCTGTACTGAACGATCAATGAGACCTCAATAATTCAAAAATCATCACAAAAATATAAATTTTATTTATTGTTCACAATTTTTCTGGCCGATCTTGAGCTTCTGACCTTTCTAGTGAGACTTTTGGGCCGATTATAAAATCAAATAAGTCTGACTTCATTTTTCCCTATTTTCCTCTTCTCATAGAAAAGTCCATCAGATTTGATCGAAGCAGAAAAATCGCCAAAAGTGCTTTAAAATGGCCACGGGATCCGGACAGTCCGGTGTTGTTTTTTGTCGAGGCTACTTTTTTGGCGGCTCATTTTTCCGTCTCAATTTTCGCGACTTGATTTTCAGATACACACTTTTTGAGCTCCTAAGCCGAAATTTTAGTTTTTAGATGGGAAAAAACTGTAACCAAGAGGTTGCCTTTGGCGTTAAAATTCAAAAAAATATCCGAAAAAAAATCTGAAAAAAATGGGAGGGTCTTGAAATTTTTGAGATGTCATAGATTGGCTTAATCATCTTGGTTTTCGCTTTCAGTTAAGATAGTTCTTAATAAAATAAAACGAACCAATTAACACTTCTCAGCTTGCGGCAGTTGATGTTGAGTTGAGTGGCTGAGGGGCAACTAAAAAAATTGTAATTTTTTTGGAAAATCCCATTTTTTTAAAAAAATTTTCAATTAAAAGCACCTTTTGAAAATGATCTGAAAACAGAGAAGTGTTCAAATTTAAAGTGCCTAGTACTTTTAAAAATGATTATAAAGTTAAAAAAATTCAAAGTTTAGAGCCTTGATTTTTTTCAAAAACGACCTAAAATGAACAAGTATTCTCCATTGGAGGACCTAGCTTTTTTAAAGTTCCACAAAAATTAAATATTCTTATCAAAGCACCTTCTCTTTTGGTTATGAATCTAGGTCTGAATTAGATCATTCGGCTTTTTCAACAACCAAAAATAAACTTTTTAAAAAAATTAAAAAAATTTGAAGATTTTTGAACGGAAGAGTCCCTTTGACTCCTAAAAAAATGATACAAAGTTTTATGGAAGCACCTGGCTCTTTCTGGACTCGTGCAACACGACCCGAGGCCAGTTCCGATGGTGCAGACTGTGCCAGATTCGCACGTCGAAGAACTCATGCACGAGTGGAAGTAGTTGCGACAGAGGGGCAACGCGGCGCCGAACGCTGAAATTCGTCTCGAAACGATGTGCTTGGCTTCACTTTTTGCAAAAGAAGGTAACATTTTATTATTTTTTCTTCATGGTGTCTGATATGTGGCGCCTACTCTATCATTGCTAGCTGGGAAGTGACGAAAAAAAAAATTAGAGAAAAAAAAAATCTAAAGCACTCGTTTTCCTGCACTGCCTCACTTATAGTTAGGGACCGCAGGCCAATTTCCAAAGTCAGTGATATAAAGTTGAAACCTATATGAAAAGAAAGCTGATGGCAATCGAGAGCTAACTGCGAAAACAGAAAAGAAAAATATGAAAAATGAAAAAAGTTATAAGCAAAAAAGTGGCGAAATCGGGGGAACCACTTTTGTGTAGAAACTTTCGTCAGGGTCGCAGGAAAAGGGGCGTGTTTATAGATGCCGCGCGCTCCTTGCTGTGCGTTAATTCACGCAGGAGACGTTTCGAAAACATATTTATTTGAGTTTTTTTAGAAGTTTTTAAATGAAATATTAGAGTTTTTCATATTGAATATTGCTCTTTTTTTCAATATCAGCCTACTCTTCAAGCACTCACGCTGCTGAAAAGCGAGTTTTGAAAAAGGTTTCAATGCATTGCGTAAAAAAAGAAAATAACCGACAAAATAGACCTTTGCGAAGGACGAACAGCATTAAACCAAATTGAAAATGTAACAGTCTACTAAGAAATTTACTGAAAAATATGTAAATAATCACCAAGTCCTTTTTCAGAGAGTTTTTTTTTTAAAAAAAAAGGGCGAAAGCGTTTTTACTTTTGATTTTCTACTTCTTTTATTTTTCTCCGAAGTTTGTGCGTCTACATGGAGTGTACGTAAACAATCTTTTTAGAATTCTTTACTTGACATTCTGAAAAAAAATTAAAGTATTTTTCTTTTTATGTAGGATTGTTAAGCATAGCCGTTTGTATGTTTTCCCCAATTTTTTTCCCAAATCGGTACAAGAAAACTGTTTTTAAAATATAAAAAAAGAACCAAAATGCAACGAAAAATGACGAAGTTTTTTTGAACAGCGAAGTGGGCGTGGCTCTGCGGTCCCTACTTATAGTGTCCAGACCATTGGTATATAATTTTTTGAGCGGGATTGAATCCAGAGAAAACATTTCTGGCTTGAAACAAAAAATAATTTTATCCACTATTTTTGAACAGTAAAAAGCTTTTTTTCCAAGGTCAAAAATAATCTGAAATTCTGATGAAGAAATTTTTGGTGAGCAATTTTTACTGATCAAAAATATTGAGTCAGTTTGGCCCTTTTTTTGTAAGTTTGAAGATTTTTTTGGAAACAAGCGTATAAAAAACGTTCATTTCAATAATTAAGAATAAAACTAATCAAAAACGGCCACTGACTTCTCCTATTCAATCTTCAACTAAAATCTGAATTTAAAAACCCGAAAAGCTTTTTCCTTCGCTATTGAAGCTTCCGAGCCCTTTGAAGCTTCGAATTAGCTCTACGCTGTGTTCAAAAAAAGCTTCTCGTAAGCTACGCGATTCCAGTGCACTTCAACTCGACCAAAAATCTGTCTATGTTGTCCTAGAGGCGGCCGCGCACATTGCAAAATTAGGAGAAAAAACGGACCGAAAAATCAACAAAATACTGGAATCTAGTGTAAAAAAACAGCGAAAAAAACGTGATTTTTTTCAAAAAAAAAGTGACATTTCAAAAAAATGATTTTTTTGACAGTTCCGTAGCCTCCCAATGAATTTATTGAACTGGACTTTTTCTTTATTTTTTTATTTCTTGTCCAAAAAATACTCAGACCTTCTGGGAAACTATCGAAAAAAAGGGGTAAATTTCTGAACTTTCGGGAAAAATAGTGACATTCTGATGCAGAGAAAATCCAAAAAGCTGTGAAAATTTTGAATTTTTTGAAGAGTCAAAGAAAATGTATAGCTTCATTAAAAATTACCATTTTTATCTGTAACTAGTTTTAATCTAATTTCCAGCGGTAAAGACAAAAATTCAGGGAAAAACCCACAAGCCACTGATGAGGAGCCACCTGCCAAGGAATTGAAAGCGAACGAGTTGAAAGTTGGTCTGAAAAAAAAGTTAATGAATAAATTTTAATGAAATTATCATTTCTTCTACATTGTAGTTTCGCTGAAAATTTCCTCAATTTAGCAACGCCAGAGTGGTAACTTGAGGGGTTAGGGAAAAGAGGCTCCCAAAGGACTTCTTGAAGAGGACACTAAAGTGACCACTAAAACCACCTCTATAGAGACAACTATTTGTGTATTAGTCGCAACTTCAGTAGTTACAGTCATCTAATAGTACCACTTAGAACTCTTTAGCGGCCACTAATTTGACTACTATAGTAGCCACTAAAACGTCAAAACCCTATAGAGGCCCCTAAAAGTTTTGCTCTCTAGGGGGCTAGACCATTTTCGTATTTCTAGGGAACACCAGGATACTTCCCTAGAGTGACCACTAGCTCAAACCCTTAGACTAGCCACTTCTGAAAGCTTTATTGCCTTCCATAGAGCGAGGTAAGGTGTCCTTGCCCCTCTAGTGGCCACTTCGGCGTTCCTAAGAAGTTTCTCTTAAATAAACTCCCCTCCGTGATGTTAAAAATCATTTTTATCTTGTCAAAAATGACTTTTTTTTTGAAGTGCTGTATAGCTGATTCACGGCTGGCTTGAGTCATCGAGAAAAGGGTCCTGCCACGAAAAGAGACGAGACAGTGCCCTGGTTGGTAGAGAGTGCAGACAGGCCACGCCTTTTTGCGTCCCAAGCTAGCCGTGAATCGTCTATACTTTCCCATTTTTTTTTAAATTTTTGCAGTTTAACCTCTCTTACTAATCTAGTTGGGTTCTGTACCTGCCCAGGTATGATCTACAACTCAAATTATAAACCTGAAAGTCGGAACGTTGAAGTTATTGAAGGTTCCGACTGGTGCGTAGGCGTTGAAAGTGTTGAAGGCGTTGAACGTCGGTTTCCGGATGATGTGGCCGCATTCCGGCTTGGCTATCCCTGAAAAGGAAACATCAGTTGGTATAAGACTTCAGGAAGGCTCCAACCGAGCTTCTCGAAATAATCGCAGAGGCTCATTTGTTGAGAAGCGACGCTGACAACGAGCGTCGTGCAGAACAACGCGCCGAACACCATTTTCCCGTCTTTTCCTTGGCTTCCTGGAAAGATTTTCAATCAATGACCAGCCATTTCGAAAAGATCAATATAAAAAAAGAGAAAAAATCAATGATTGAATAAAAAAACAAAACGCATAAATTGAAAAGTTCAGGAACGCGAGAGAGGTCACTAGAGGGGTTAGGGAAACCCTATAGGGGACGAAATAGTCCTCTCTGAAGGACTGAAATTTAAGTGGCCCCTATAAGGCCTATAGCAAATTTCCCCCACAAGGGTCTTCTTTGCTTTATAACCGTCATTTGGAACTTCGTTTATTAAGATTTTTGAACGGATCAAAGAAAAATAAGAAAGGAAATTTGTAACGATATCAATTAAAAATAGGAAGTTCCAATCGAACAAGATTTACTGAACAAAATTCACAGAAAGTAAAAAATAAAAAATATTTACATTAAATATTTAAAGCTGTTCTACTCTTTGAGACTTCCAAAATCAAAAATTTCTAACCGATCGAACAAAAAAAAAACGAAAATTTGAAAAAAGTGGTATGAAAAAATAGTACGCCCTCCTTATAAGCAAATAAAAGAAAAACATAGTGAAAATATCTTTCTTCAAGGTTCTTATACGTATAAAGAGCTGTTCTACAAAAATTATTATCTGAAAATCGAAAAAAAATTTAGATTATACGGCTAAAAAACTTATAAAAAAATATTAGGAAGTCTTCAATCAAAGATTAAATTAAACAAAAATCAGAGAAAAAAAAGACTTTTTTCGAGGTTCTAACGCATGAGCTGTTCTACGGAATAAGAGTCCAAAAATCTGAAAAAGTGTCGAAAAAAATGGGAGAAGCTCGAATTACTTGACGCGCCACAACGGCAGGAAGTGATCAAATTTCCTCGGTATTTGTTTTCTGAGAAATTAGAGGCGAATGATGGAATTAATACTGAAAATGAAAGGAAGTGATAGTTGAAAATATATGAATATAGGGAACACAAGGAAATTTTTGTTTTCAAAATACATTCAGTTTTTTAAAATTTAAGAAAAAAAGCCCGTTTTTTAGGATGAAAAAAAGAGTTGATTGGAAAGGTCGTTCGAAGTATATCAACTAAATTCATATATTTGAAAAAAATTGCTTAATTACTGAGTAAGTATCAGTAATAGTGATTAAAAAAACTGCAGAAACTTAAAAAAAATACTTCCAGACGAAATACCTGTCAAAACTCTAAAAAAACCCCGAATTTTTCGAGAAAATGGCTCTGATAAAAATTTCAAGTCCAAGATTATGGAGATGAGATTAAGAAAAAAAGCTTACCTTGATCTAAAAATCATCAATTTTAAAGATCTAGCAGCTTGGTTATAACTGATTGTTGAAAAAAAGATGGAAAAATTTCGAAAGAAATGAGGGTGAAAAATTATTATAAGTGAAGAATTTTTTTATTAATTTTTTTATATTATTATAATTTGTTCAAAAAGAATGCAAAAAAAGAGAAAGAAGAACAGAAAAAAATCGAGAATGATTGACCAAAAGGAATTTAATTTCAAAGTTGAAGTCAAGAAATCGGAGTAGAAACGAATTACTGAATTGCTAATGAGTGAAATAAGGGAAAACTGAACTAACTTTGAAATTTTTAAATCAAGGTTATTCAACTAATTTGAGCTTCTTTTTACTTCCAAATCCTCGAAAAACTAAAAAAAAACTATTTTTTTAAGCATATTTAGATAAATTCAGAAACGGGATGATCGTTTACCTAAGAAAAAAAGATTTTTTTCCGAAAACATATTTTGATTTGATTTTTTTAACTTTTGAATCTAAAAATTTTTCTGATCGGAGAAATTGATCCTTTTTGACCAAAAATGAAATAAAAAATGAAAATTCCATGCATCGCATTAATATTCAATTTTATTCTGTTTATTTTGAAGCCTGTCTGAAAATAGGCAAATTCAAACACTGGTTTTTTAGAGTTATTCAAAGCCAACGTGTATAGTCAATTATTGCTGACTTAAAAGGCAAGATGGGTAAATTGGTCAGGGTGACGCGTTGCGTGCGCGACGCGGTTTCTGGCGGGAAAATAAAATTTGAATTCGAAGCACGATTTTGATGATTTTTCAGCAAATTTCAAATTTTTACGCAACGCGTCCCTATTGTCAATCTACTTATCTCACATTTCGAGTCGAGAAGGATTAACTATAAAAAAAGGGCGAGAAAAAAAAGTATTATGCTTAAAATATATTCCCTTTTCTCTGAAATTTGATAATAGATAAAAACGCGTTTTTCTATTCAAACGTGAAAATTCTTTCGATGAAAAAAAAAAGTTAAAACATAGCTTGCCCTAGTATGATTCATTTGTAAACAAAAAGGTAATCAACTCAAAATTAAGGTATTCGTTTCTCTGTACACTTGGAAAAAGGCCAAAATTTCGCTGACCAAATACAACAAAAAATGTCCGTCGGATAGTTTTTTGTTGTTTCGCGACACTTTTCGTCGGTTTCAAGACAAATTTGAGCCTTTTCTGCAAAAAAATGTGGCTTCATTTAAAAAAAAACTGAGTATGGTAATCCGAAGTTGTAGGTAACTATAACACTTTACATCTTTTCCAAATATATAAAAAGAGCTATTTTTAAATTTTAGTGATGTTTGTAAACTCCTGTAAACTAAAAAAACACAACAAAAAATCATGCGGCCTGAAAAAAATATTTCAAAATAATCCCAAAAAACGTGAGGAAGACGAAAATAAGAAAATTTTCTTTTGAAGGAATTGTTGTAAAGTCTGGAGTTAACTTTCAAATTACCTTAAAAATAAAAAAATAAATATCATGGTTAGCAAAGACTTGAGCAAAGGATACAATATTATATATATATATATATATATATATATATATATATATATATATATATATATATATATATTATATATATATATATATATATATACCCCTAAAGTGGCCACTAAAGTTTTTTTAGGGTTCTAGTAGTAGCACTTAGACCTCTATACTGGCCACTAACTTTAAACCCCTTGAGTGGCTACTAATTTGACTACTTTAGTGGCCACTAAAACGTCAAAACCCTATAGTGGCCACTAAAAACTTTTCCAGTCAAGTAAAACTTTCTTCTGAAACCTAAAAACCAGACAAGACAAAGCTTCAAAATGAAGGAAAATCGGAAAAAAATATTTTCGAACCCAAGAGAAACCATCTCTAAGCTTGTATAAGCTACAATAGTTAAGAGGATGGCTCCTTTTTTAAAGGATTAAAGTTGAATTTTAGTTAATAAATAATCAAATGAAAGCGAAAAGAAATTGGGCAGGAAAAGGTTCAGGGATATGCGGAAGTTCCGGTGTTGATCGGGCGGACCCAGGAGAAACACAAACGCAAACAGCGCCAAAAACACACCCTCCGATTTCTCGGTGGGGGCCAATCGTCGATTTCAGGTTATCAAAAACGGGCAATTCATCTCGCGCAAACAAATGAGCCACCTCAGACGGAGGCGCTTCTTTGCCCCCCGATTGGACTGGTCCTTTGACGGATCCGTCGTCCGTGTTATTACCTATGATATGACCGCTTGGGAATTTTTTGAGCCAAAAAATTGTTCGGTTCAAAAAATATAGTCCATTCAGCGTTAGCTTTGAGAGAGATACATAGAAACGTCGGGGTGGTTTCCTTTAGGGGTCTTTGAAGGTTGTCCTTCTCTAAGGACCACCTTAGCTCTATAAGGGGCACTACACCTGAGGTTTCAGTTAGTGACCACTCTAGGGAGGCATGCTAGTGGTCCCTTGAAGCCCCCGCTCTATGGATCCCCTTATCTCTCCTTATAAGGGCACTGAGTCTTGCAAAAGTAACAACTCTAGTGGTCCCTAAACGTCTTTTTATCTTTCGAACTATGGAAAAAAAAATGAAAGACCACTATATGGACCACCATGCTTTAGGGGTCAAAGGGTCAGACCGTAAATCACTATAGGGATCGCCAAAATTATTCCCATATAAGAGCTGTATTTTTGCCTAACCCCTCTAGAGACCACTGTAAAGTAACTCGCAATTTTGCAGTTTTTCCAGCCCTCCGAATAATTTTTCTCTAGTCAACAGTTGCTGATATCTATTTTAGAAATTTAACAATTCACAAATTTTTTCTTCAATAACTGAAACTGAACTGACAAAAATAATGAATATCATCAGAAATTGAAGAAAACGGAGGCCTAATTTTCCAATCGCGGCTATTTTTCGAACTTCCGTATTCCCGCCAAAAAGCACTCTTTGTATGATAAAATGATAGCTTCAAAATTCTGAATTTTAAATTTTGATCCAGTTTAAAACAAGATCTACAGTCTATTTCGCGCTAGCTCATTCTACAAAAAAGACCATGATTTTTTGCAAATTTTCTCTTCGAGACCTTTGTTTCTTTTGCAGTAGAAAAAGTGCAAAAAACTGTGTTTACGGCAGCTTTGCGTCTCGGAACACGTTTTCGTGAATAAAGTTGATCAAGAAGACGTCATTTCAAAACAAAAAAGAGCTAACAAACACAAATCGTAACAGCGGCGGGGCGCTAAAGAGAATGGAGGGAGAAGAACGGTTCAATTGGCAAAGAACGGCGATTTGGAGCATCCACGGAGCCGCGCGGATTGAGCACAAACATTGCGGAAGGAAACTGTTTCTGGCGATTTTCGGTCGTCGCATCAAGAATCATCGTTTTCCCATGGGTACAGTTTGTTCAGATTTCAATTTCCAGCAGCATCTCCGTCCGGAAAAACGCTCAGTGGGAGGCCCGATCTCTGATTGGTTTGATCTACGCGTAAGGGGCGGAGTTTGAGCGATGAGTAGACATTCAAAATCTGAACAGACTATATAGTGAGTTGGCCGACTTAAAAGGCGCTAATGACTGTTCAGAATTCAAATATGAAGTCGTCGCTCAAGCTCCGCCCCTAACCTTGCGATAAACCAATCAGAGAGCGAGCCATCCACAGAGCGTTTTTGAATGACGTCATTGTGGCTTGAAACTTTTCAAGTGTCTACGTCTCTCTGTTCCCTCGCCGATGAGGTCAGAGATACAGGAAAATAGCACGGCAACATGAGAGAGTCGCTGAGAAAAACAGCAGTCGCAAAAACATAGTAAACACGGAATTCCTAACGGGGTGAGGTGAGCGAGGCGTCAAATTTTCTGAATTTACAATAAAAAAGTAAGTGCGCGCTTCGGATAAAAGGACTGTGACGTCACAGCTACCTATCGTTGCAAATCAAACTGAGTATTCAACGGCATGAAGAATACATTTGACTGCGTACTTGAGATTTCAAATTTCGCGCCAAAATTTTTTTAACCAAGGTCACGAAAATTATAATATTTTACCGATCGCATTTTGTAAACGTTTGCAGTTCCGCCTGTCCATAAATAAAAATTGGAAGAATTTGCAACGAATAAACTTTCAATGAAACATTGAATCAATATAACTAGAATTAAAAACAAAAATAAACAAGTTTTTCAAAAAAAAAGGATTTTTCAAGATGATGCAATGGAATTATGTCTGAAAAATTGTAAACCTTGTCATCAAAGAAAAAGGCAAAAATATGGAAAAGGCTTTTTCGATTAAAGTCAAGAAGCTTTAAATAAAACTCATATAAGTGAAATTTTAACCAGGGAAAAATTTTTAGATAGAAAAGCTTCAAAGTGTGCAAAATACGCAAATTAGGCCGAGAAAGCTTCGTTTCGGGCTTTTGAAGTGTCCTAACTCGGAAACGAGATCTATTGCGAGAAATTTTTTTTGACTGTTCTGGAATCAGGGGGTCCTAAAGTACACTTCAGCAAAGTTTCAGCAAAAGTTCAACTGAGGGCTAAAATACGTTCCCAAGTAAGATACAAATAGAAAAAAATAAGTTCAAAAAACCTCGGATTGTTTCTGATCAAAATATTCGAACTATCAAAGTCTTTTCCAGATGTTAAAAACCTGACAAAGAGAACAAGCGGACGTGAAGCAGCGAAAAGGCTTTTGTAGGCGTTGGCAAGGCGGACGACGTGGGCGGCGCCTCGAACAATAACTCGACAAACGAACGCCCAGAGGGGAACTGGTCGCCTTGGCTCGTTCCTCTAGGTTCTTGGCCAACGTCCGTCGATGCTCCTTGCCAACTCGGTTCAAGTCGGGTGCAATCATAGAGTATGAAGGATCATGAATGGGCTAAGATAGCAAAAGCTTCTTGGTTGTACTTTCTTCATCATTTTTTTCAGAATACAAAGAAATATTCCTTCCGTCTTGCTGTATTCTTCTACTGCTACTCATTTTCTGATTTTTGAAAGAAAAATCGAGGGATAAAAATTCCTGCAAGCATCTTTACCCCACAAAAAAATGGTGCTAAAATTGACTGCTCAAAACTGTGGCAAAGAAGAATTATGGCCATTGGAACCGTAACTTGCGGTTCATGAAGGTTAAGACGATCGGTTTCCCCAAATAAGGTATCATGCGCGAAACAATATATTGATAGCCACTATCTTTATCAGAGTGAACTTTTTTTCCTTTTTTTTTTTTTAAATTTTTAGGCCTAAGTTTTCAGCAAAAAAAGCTTTACCTACTGCAGAAAAATCTTAGTTTTCATCGATAATTGCTTAATAATTACAGCTTACACCTTGAAACAAATAAATTTTAAAGCATTTTTCATAACTTACATGAAAGCTCCGTTTTTTTCAGAACGTGGCGAAAAAATCGAAATCAACTCGACTTCATAGAGTTTTGAGCCGAGAATCGGTTCGTCGCGGATTTTCAAGTTTGAAAATTTTCCAAGATCACTGATCGACAGCCGATCTTATCACAGAGAAAGTTTTAAAGGCCCAATTGCATTTTTTATAGTGAAATTTTCCCAATCGACTAGAACCTTGTGGCTCAAAATTGCTCTTTTTCCGGGTGACCATGATCAAAACTTTCTTTAGTTCAAAATGAACACTTTAATTGAAGTTTGGACCTCGATCTTGATGAATTATTGAAGTTTGGATCTCGATCTTGATTTAAGCTTCCGTACCGAAAACTGATCGAAAATCGTGTTTAAGCATATGAAACAGTTTTCCTATGGCACTTTGGAACTCTTTTTTCAGACAAGACTTTGGTCAGGGCTTTGTGGTTTGGTTAAAACCGTCAAAAAACTCATCAGTTTCAATAAATTCATCGCCTTCTTTTTCGCCTGATTGAGGCAAGATGACTAATTTTCCTGAAAAAAATTAGAGAAGATATGTGGAAAACCATTACCTAAACAGACCTATAGCCTGTGTACCAAGACTTGGAATTTCACGGAACGACATTCCGCTGTGCCGCTGCGCGCCTTTGCGAACCTTAGTCGCGTTTTTAATCTTTTTTTTTTTAATGAGGTTTTCTACTTTCATGTGCTCCCACAGCAATAACAATCGATTGAAAGCTTGACCTAGATTCGAAAGACGCTTCGCGACCGCACGCAGCGGAACAGCGGAATGTCGTTCCGTGAAATTTCAAGTCGTGGAACATAGACTATACAACCGATTTGATCATAAAAAGCTCGAATAATATTTTTATCGTGAGTTTTTTTCTAATCAAACAGGAATCAAGGCTGAGCTTTGAAACTTGATTCGAAAGATTTTAAAAAATTATCAAAAATTTTTTTTATCGTGAATTTTCTCTACAAACAGTCTTCTAGCCAGAACCTCGTGGCTGAGTCCAAAGGATCACTAAAAAACTGATCAGATGGGATACTAGAAACGTTAAGTGAACATCGCTCCTTTTTTCGGGTGATCCGGAAACTCCATTATTTACCTCGCGCCGACGGCGGCCAATTGGACAGGTATATGTGAAGAGCACGTGTCTGTTAGACTGGCAACGTGTGTGGAGCAACGTGGGGACAGCTCTCAACAGAAACGAATACTCAAACGGACATTTCCATCTTCAAAAGCGCCTCTGTTTGCCACCTTAGAACGCCGTGCCAACTTTCTCGAGCTGGTCTCATTGAGGGGGTCGAACTCTGGACCACGGAAATTGTGCGCCAACGCAACAATTTGACAAAGTGCGTGTGCGAACACACTACTGTAGGCTTTTGATCATTTGCCGTGATAGATTAAGGAAAAACGAAGGAGAAAATCTTGGCAAAATTAAGTCTGAACATCAAAATTTAACGGGAATAATTTGGATGCAACGGTACATAATCCAACTCAACACTTCATAGTTTTAAAAAAGACTTTATGCAAAGAATTTTTTTCTTTCAAAATTAACAAAATTTCAAGTTTTTTTAACCATTTTTTTGCCATTTTAGAATAATATACTCGTAGCTTCTTTTGCTTTTTAAAGTTTTTTTTTAAAAATAAACTCTTTGAACCAACATCTTTTCTACATTCTTTTTAGATTTGAATCAATCTACACAAGGCCGAAAATTATCCAAAATTCATGAAAATGAAAATAAACATACTGCAATGCTCACGATTTTCCATGCCCTCGAAACCGAATGAGGGGGCGCTTCTCATCTAAACATTTCAAGTCTATCAAATGTGAAAGTAGATCTCCCGTCACCTGTTCTCCACACTTCAAAATCGCTACTCATCAAGAAATAAACGAAAAAAATACAATTTTAAAATCCTCGCTTTTTCGCGTAAGATCTGGTGCTTGTGACGTAAACACTTTCTCACCAGAAACTCGGCATCACGGGAAATAATTGAAAAAAGATTTTTTTTTTCTTTTCCCATTGAAGTGCGTGCTGACTCGTTCTTTTTTTTATTCATTGAGTCAATTATTTAAAACCAACTTTTTTTTACAGTATTTCCCCCATCCGAATATCATCGACGAGACGAAGAACAAAAGCAGGCATAATTGATGTTAGCTAACTCGCCTGTCTGTTCTTTGTTATCACGGAGTTTGCAGGTTTTTCGAAGGGAAAAGGGCCTTTTCTCGTTGATTTTCATGAGTCTGACGCTGATAAAGAACAAAGAATGGATGGATCGAAGGTTCGTATTCTTTTAAAAATGATAAAAGACTCAAAACTTACAAAAAATGTACACAAAAAATCAAATTTTTATTTTTCGCATCGGTAAGTTGAACCACTTATGATTATTGGCAACTGACACTTCTGTTTTCCTCACATGCCCTGAAAGTGTATCAAAAAAGGCGCCATCTCGATTAAGCCAACTTTGGGATGTCTGGAACCTCCTGAGCAGAAACGCTCTCTCGGCTGGCAACTGGCCAATGGCCTGGGAGGTCCCCCCAAAAACACATTTCTCTCTCTTTTCGTCGTCCCGCTTTTCCTCCGAACGCCCTCCGGCCTAATGCCAAAAAAGGGAGAGGAAAAAAAGCGAGCGAGGAAAAGGAACGGCTCTGGAGCTTGAGTTATAACTCGTTCTCTTCTTGACTTTTGCCGAAAATTTTGCTTGGTTTCGGTTGGAGGGATGGATGTACTTATGGACTTCCAAGTAGAAACTTTCAAGAACCTACCGGAATTTGTCGAATTTCGATGAAAAAGTCGTATTTTTTCCTAGAAGCATTATTTTCAAGGGTAATGACCGCTATACAGCAAGGTTTGCACTCCAAAAAAGGCAAAGTTTTTCAAAGTTCACAAAAATTTTAAGCGAAAGGTCAAAATAGAAGAAGCACTTTTCTCTCCAATAAAACCTCAAATCTTTCTTCTCGTTGATTAGTTACTTTGTTACGAGAAAGTTGACAGAATCTTGAAAATTCGATTTCGCCCGAGTTCTCAAGGAAAATGTCCGTTTTTCTGATTTTCATTTTTTTTTTTTGAACAGAAATTTGGTGTCAATTTGAATCTCCTAAAGCGTTTTTCAAAGTTCTAATTATTTTTTTCAATGAAAAAAATTGTTATAAACATGTAATTTTAAAAAAAACTTGAGAAAAACCCAGAGTTTCCAAAAAAACCTTATCAAATAATCTATGTAGTTTTGATCTCCCCGGTACATTGGGTTGTCCATATTTGAAAGGTCATGGTCGCACTTGGAATGGCTCGACGGGTAACGGCTCTCAAACGGTTGCGTCCGACCGGAAACTGGTTTACGCGCATTCCTATTAAGAAGGATCAGAGCAATCTGATAAATATGATAAAATCTGATAAAGCTTTCTCTCAACTTCGAAGCTCTGAGCCCTTCTAGGTGCGACCGCACATTCATGAAAGTAGGTCTGAAAAAATTCCATTAGAAAGTTTAAGCTCTCTTTAATATTGATTCAGTCTGTTAAAAAGAAATGTTGAGGCGTTAAAAAAAGTGCAGACGAACTTTATGAAGTTATCATAGCCTTTTTGAGCAGTATTGGATCAAGTAAGGCATTTTTTTCTAGATCATATTAAAGTTATTTAAGCTTAAGAAAATTTTAGATTCGGTTACAAAATCTTTCGAGTCGGTCAAGACTTCCAACTTTCCAAAAAAAAAAATTTTTTGAACATAGTAAATTTTATAAATTTTGATCAACTTGAAATCCTCCCGTCCTTTTTCAGAATTAATATTGATATAGGCTATTTAAAAATGAATGTCCAAGGTTTTTTTAAAAAAATAATATAACAATTCTAAAAAAATAGTTTGAATTAATGAGCCGTTTTCAACGTATTTTTTTGGACCAATTAGGACTTCTAAGCTTTCCGAAAAGACTATTCTCAATATAATTCGACGAAATCGAAATCAAGACGTGTCTTTTCATCCGAAATGCATCGTCGTCGGCTCATTTTCGCCGCTTCCTTTTTGTTGTTTTGCCCCGGGCTCTCGCCCCCAAAAAAATGTTGACCCTGCCCATGATTGAGTGGTGGTGGTGGCGTTGGGTGAGCCAGCAGGCTGGCTGAGAATGAAAAAAGAAGAAGTAGAAGAGAAATGAGAGAGAAAAGCTCACGTGTGTGCGGGAGCTGCCCACAGCACCACAGCATAGTCATAGCGTCCAGCTCTTTTTTTTTTTTTCATTTCTTCGCCTTCTTTTCGTTTCTGCTCTCCCTTTTTGGTGAGCGAGAGAGGGAGTTTGAGCGCGTGAGCCGACGTATCGAGCCGGCCACACCTCTTTTTTCTACTTTGTATATAGTTGGCCTTCTGTTTGTCTTTTTTTCTTTTAGAAGTGAATTAAGTGATTTTGAATAAAATTGACTTTTTTTTTTGATCAAAATGGACTTTTAAAGGCTGCGCTGCTCACTGCTCATTTTTCAAACCCTATCGAGTGAAAAC